TCAGGTCTGCAGTCCTGGGGCTTTGGACCTGCGAGTCAGGAGGCAGCTGCTCTGGGTCTGTGGGTGTAGCGTCAGCTCAGGCGCCATCGGTGCTGGTCGGCAAGTAATGTTTCATCACCGGACCAGCCTCGCGGACGAGGCCCCTGCGCCTTCCCGGGTTTAGTGGCTGTGACCCTGGGGAAGAGCGCGGGCTCTGTGGGGAGGGGCGGTTCAGTCCCACCCCTGGTTTCCACCAGCCCTACCCCAGGAGGAGCGGCAGCAGTGAGACAGGAGGGCCTGGCAGGACACGGGACGGGGGCTCAGCTCCAACGAGCACGCTCCATGCTCCTCTGGTAGAGTCCCAGGGGACCCTTCCTGTCCCTGTGCAGTCACAGCGGGCAGTCACAGCGTTCACGAGATGATTCACCTCATAGAGCGTGAAGCAGGTTTTCTGAGACGTGGAAAGGTGTGAGAAGATCACCGGGGCCTCCCTAGTCGTGTCCCCGACGGGCGGGGCCGGCCCTGACGGGTGTGCAGAGCCTGACCGGTCCCCGCTGCCCGGCCGGGCCTGCTGGGGACTGCCCGCCGGTGCCCTCCGCTGTGCGGGGGCCGCTGTCACAGGTGCGACAGCACGTCACCTGGCACGACAGCTTCAGAGCCTGCTCCCTGGCACCCCCTCGGCTTCCCGCCACCCTGGGTGTCTGGGGTCCTCACGCCCCTCGTCCCGCCCGCAGCTCCGAGAGGCTCGCCCCCTCCGACTGCAGTTTTTCGTGTTTTCTTGTTTTATGTGCTGCTGTTGTTGCTGGTTTGTCTCTCATTTCCGTCTGGAGTCTCTGAATGTCTTCAGTGGCGTGTGGTTGCTGCGTTGTCTCTGAGAAAGTTCGCGCTGACCCCCGCCCCCTCCCTGCCCCGGGTCCTGGTCTCGGCCCCTCACGGTGCGCCAGCGAGCCGACCGCCTTCCCTCCCCGTTCTGTTTCAGTCTCGAGGAGGAGCTGGGGCCAGCAGCCCCCGGAGCCCCCGGAGCAGAAGCCGTGGCCCCCCAGCAAAGAGAGCCTTCCTGGCAGCAAGTCCAGCGACTCCGGGGAGGAAGCCGAGAAGGAGTTCATCTTCGTGTGACGGCCGCGGGCGGCAGAGCTCCGCCTCCTCCCAGGCCGCTCGTCTGGGTGCTCTTTTCTTTGCCTTTTCCTTCTTCCTTCCTCCTCCTCCTCCTCTTTAAACAGAAACAGATCCATGTGTCGGTAACCAGAGCACACGAGTCAGGGCTCCTGCAGCCCTGGCATTTCATTTCCAAGCCTTCGACGAACGTCAGCCAGCATGACCTGCTGTCCCCGGGGCGGCTGCCGGCTGCCCAGCAGGACTCGGGCAGCCCGGGGTGGAGCCCGCAGGGCACGGGACATGCGCTCGCACGAGGACAGCGTCCCGGGGACAGGGGTCCTGCGGCAGGCGCCCCGACGGAGCGGTTTACCCCCGACGGACGCAATTGCACATTGTAACTATATTAACAGAGCACACTAATAAGTCCCTTGTATAAATTATATACGCGAGGTCTTGGGTGCGGTCTCCGCCTTCTCTCGTGGGGAGTGTCCTCCTCCCGGAGGCCGACGGGGTTCCCGTGGGCGCCGCGGTCAGAGCAGAGGGGAGGCCGCAGCCGCGTCTCCCGGTGCCCAGACTGATGTACATAGCTGACTCTAACCAGAGTTTACGGATATTTGTGTTTCCTGATTTCTTTAACTTCTGTCTGCATATTAGCTTTTAATGTGTGATTTTAAGAGAGAATACTTTGACACCTGTAAAAAAAAAAAATCAAAATACTACTCTTTTTAAGACATTTCACAAATATTCACTTACAGGACAAGCTGAAGCTATTTTATTCATATGTATATTTATACCAATAAAATGATTTTACAAGTGAAACCTTGACCTGTGTGGTATTGGTTTTTAGTTAAATTTGGTCTCTGGTGATGAACTTTCTGTTTGTGTCCAAAAACCAGGCCAACCTGAGTCCCCAGATGAGCAAACCAAGTCGCACTGGACCTGAGCAAGATGCTCGTCCCATCCCCTGCCCTCGTCTGTGGGGGGAAGACGGGCCGTGTCCACAGGCCGATTGCAGGTGCTTTGGTCAGTGCCTGGGCCTCAGACCCAGGGTCCCAGGGGGTGCGCGTGGGAGCTGTGAGGGACGGGAGCTGCGCGGGCGTCTGGGGGACAGCGGAATCGTGTGGAGGGCGTGGACAGGACTGTAGTCCCCACCGGGCACATGCACACATGTGCACATGCACACGCAGAGGCACACGTGTGGCACACGTACGTGGGCACGTGTACGGGGCGCACACACCCAGGTGCCTCGGACCGCAGACCGGATGGTTTGCTGCCTCCGCTGAGGGACCACCAGGGTGGCAGGTACAAGGCTGTTTCCTGCAGACGCAGCTCCTCTGTCACGAATGTCCTTGGGAACCACCTGCTCTGATGGCTGCCACAGGAGCAGAAGAGGACACAGGGACCTCTGCGAGCTAACAGGCCCGCAGAATGGATGAGACTTCACTGAGTGTGGCACAGGGTGGCCACGCCTGTGTGTGTGTGACGAGAAGGGACTAGTTCTGCCTGTGACGCTCGGGAGGCCGCAGAGGAGGCAACGTTTGCGGGACACCTCGCAGTGGCACTGGCCACCCTAATGCGCAGGCTCGGTCTGACCCATGACCCGACCCGTGTGGACTGTGGGCAGTGGCGGAGAGAGACAGCGCTCGGGAGGGGAAAGCGGCTCCCAGAGTCTACAAAGAGGAGCTGCCACGTCGCACGCGGCATCCCCTGCGAGGCTGACCCCGGAGGGAGTGTGCGTGGGCTCAGCTCTGGGCCAGCGGCTTCCGGTCACGCGCAAGAGGGCGGTTTTCCTCTGTCACAGTGACCGGCAAAGGCGTCTTCATGCACCTGCAGCCGACAAGGTGATGGAGGTGAGTGGAGACCGAGCTGGGTCAGGGACGCTCCGCCCTCTGAATCCTGGTGTGCTGTTCGCGTCAGGTAAAAAAACACTGCGGGAGAGGAAAAAGCCTCTTTTAGGTGAAAAAAGGGCCCACTCACCAAGAAAACGGAAGAATTATAAATCAATTATAAATCACCTAGCAAGAGCCTCAGAGGACATAAAATAGACATTTAAATAACTGGAAGAAGAGACAAAGTCCCTCATCCAAATTTTGACACACCTCTCCACAAACTTTAAATCAAGCAGACAAAGCGGACCAGTAGGGATAAGTCAGTTTGAACAACATAGTTACCATCACTTCAGTGAAATGAAGTCACGGAGCCGTATAATCCACCTTCATGCACAGCAAAGACGACCGGAAGACACACACCAATAGTTACTATCCTTCGTTGTCTTGGGGCTGTGGAATCTTTCTCATTTTCTGATCTGTATTATTCAAATGATCTTTAGGATTCGTGTGATTATTAAACAATACAAGGTGTATATTTTAAAAGAGAAATTAGCTCTGTTTCCAAGATTTTCTTATCGTAGACATTGTCCAGTTTTTTTTTTACTTCCTTTTTTGCCCTTTGGAGCCAGTGAGGCATTCGAGCAAGGCAACTGCTTTCAGTGCTAAGGTCTGCTAGAGGCTCCCCCAGGTGTCCCCACGTTTCAATGCTCCGTAACTATTGGGGGGTGAAGCCACAGGAAGCCTGTGGACGGGCCCAGCTACAAATACCACTCCAACGTGGCCAAAAGATGTAGATACTGTAACCAACTGAGAGTGTAACGCATGCGTCAGGGTTCATTAGCAATGCTGCAAATTACAGGCCAGTGACATTTCCGATGAAGCTAATCATCAGTTAGGGATGCTAACGAGCAGATCGGGCCTGGTCACAGCAGGAAATGAAATCAGCCAGGATGGAAAGAAGAACAAGCCGCTGCCATCCTTTGTTTCAGCCCTCCGTTGCTAAAACTTGTCAGAGTGACGTATAAATTCCAGTCTCCTTTTAAAAAAATGATAAGGTATTTAAAAAAAAATGGAATGAATGCCCCAAAAGTCTGTTTCTTTTCCAGATTGTCCTTCAGAGAAGCTGTGTCCAAACAGTCCAGTGACCAAAATACAAGCCACAGGACTGTAAGCCAAAAGGCTGGGCGGTGGGTTCCGATATCCTTAGGGAAGACTTTAAAAAATGCCGCTGCCAAGTGCTTGCTCCAGGCCATGTAAGTCACAGTCTTGGTGAAAGGGACCAAATTCACCCATAAGGTGCATATTTGTCTCCTGTTGGTTACAGTGCTTTGTGTGTGCTGTGCTCTGAGTTTCACGGCTGGACAGCGAGGGTCTCAGGTCCTCCCACTCCCAGCCCCCATTCCTGAGTGGGAGGGCCTTCCAGGGAGAAGGGCGATCGCCAGGATGACCCCCAACTCCTGCTGGCCCTGTGCCTTTAAATGCCTTCCTGTTGGCTCTCTTCTTCGTCAAGTTTTGGACGATTTTCTCAAAAAGAAACCTCTGCGTGAGCGAATGCAAGGTCCCTGAACGGGACCCACCTCCTCCTGGGACAGGCAGCGGATGCTGCTCCGCCCCTCGCCCCTCCCTCTCACACTCTCCATTTCTACAGCATCAGGCGCCAAGGGCCTGACGGAACCACTTCCAACCCTTTAATGGGGCGGGGGTGGGGCTCTCTTGAAACCCCCTCAGACACAAGTTTGCAAGGTGAGTCAAAGGTAAGGGGGTGTTTTCTGTGAGTTTGACAAGTTCAAGGGTGAAGGGTGTGGACTAGGGACGCCCCAAGACAGCGCCCCCAGCGCCCTGGCAGATGGGAGCTCCCGTGGGTGGGTGAGGGCCGGGCGCAGGGCGGGGCGGATGGAGGGGCGGGCAGGCTCCAAGCAGCTGTCGTGCGGCTGAGAGAGCTCGCGGGGCTTGGGGACTGCTGGGCGACACCGGGGTGCTGACCTCCTCGCCAGCCGCAGACAGGGGCTGAGAGCAAGTCGGAGACGGAAGACAGCTTCCTGACCAAGTTCTCAGGCTGTTCCACCCGCTGCGGCGCCCGTACTCCGGGTCAGCACCATGGACAGCAGCGCCCGCAGCCTCGCCCTGGGGAGCTGGGACGCCGAGGTCTTCTGGCAGGTCTGGCAGCGCTTTGACGCCCAAGGTGAGTAGAGCAGATCACCTGCACCCCACACGGGCAGGTGTAGACGTGGCCCCGCGCCCGTCGGCCTTTCCCTGCAGAAAAAGGGAAGTTGTCTTCCAGCGCCGTTAACGCAGGTTCCCAAAGGTGGGGTAGGAGGAGGGCTGCGCCCCCTCCCCAGTATCTCTCTCTGTCTCCGTGTGTGCGCGTGCGTGATACACCGCACGTATCATCGTGGACGGCATCATTATGTATATTCGAGTGTGGGGGCTCGCTCGCCCCCCAAATGTGCTCAATTTCACCGTGACTGTCATATAAGCCCCTGCTCTTTCAAAGGAGGGTGAATTTGATCAACTTTCAAAAAGGCGCTGCTCCCACTCCACAAACCAAACTCCCTGAAAATAAAAGGGAAGTTTTATTTTCATCTGCTTTGTCTTTATGAATAATTAACCATAAACGACATCTGCACTGTGTGTTTTTACCCTGTGGCTAGATTCAAAACTCGTGTTAAATGTTTCCAAGTTCCCCAAATCCTTGCAGTATATCATATTCTAAAACTCACAATTATGTTTGGATTGAAAGTGTAGTTTTAAAATGCAAACTCAGTTGAAAGTGTAGTTTTAAAAAGCAAACTTTTAAATGTAAAAGGAAGAGTTTTTCTTTTCTAAATAGTCACATTTAGACGCTTTTGCGCAGAGCATTGTCTCTAGAAAGTGTGTTTATCGCTCGAATCCAGGTCTTCAGGAAGTAGATGTTGGCACGTAGTTATTGGAACAGCAGAGTCCCCCAGATCTACGGGATTTTGTGAACTGTGAGATTACAAACAAATTTAGGTACATGGTAAATGCCACGTGGTTTTCCGTGCATGTGACTTATTTATGCATATCTTCTTGCATCTAGGGAGAGGTTACCTAGAAGAGAAGGAGCTGGATGCCTTCTTCCACCAGATGCTGATGAAATCGGGCGCTGATGTAAGTATTGGTGCCAGGCAACATTAATTATGTGTCTCTTGGTGACATACGAGGGGCGTTCAAGTCTCATGCTGATCCGCACCCATTAATCCACTCTGGGCTTATTTCTTCCTCGCATGCATGTAATTTTTCTCCATCTCCTAGCAACTCGGAGGGGCTGAGGCAGGTTTTACGGGAGGCACAGCTGCAGAGTTAGGCGCACCGACCGCTGACTTCCTGTGGAACAGCTGTCACCCACTCAGCCTGTCATCCGAACCAAGGTCTCCTTGGTTCTGTCTGTGCTAATGGAGTTAGCCTGGCGATGAGGTAGCTCGCTCTGTTCAGGAGGCAGAACAAATGGTCAGCGCTTCGACGCTCTGAGTGGTTAGTGCATTTGGTTCTCCTTCGATTGCAAACCACAAATGAATCATTTAAAGTCATTCTTCCTGTTATTCATTTAATTTGTGGAGGTTACAGAGTTCTTGGGGAATGACAAACCAGAAAATAAGCCACATCCCCAGAGCCCAGGTGTGAACATAAACCACCCTACCGGTACCCATGTCCTGTGCTGGCCGCAACTCTGGCCTGGAGGTGTAGGTGGGGTTTTGGAGATTCCTCTACCAGACAGAGAAAGAACTCAGAGTGACACGGGGGCCGGGTGGGGACCCCACTGGGGACTCATGGAAGGGGAAGGGCTCCGGAGATAAGACTTTTACAAGGAAATGTGCGGATGACTTACCCTCAGACATAGTTGTTTTCATGGAAGATACTGAGGGCACGTTGCTCTGTGTGGGACCCGGGTGAGGGAACTGGGGGCTCCCCGCCACCGTGGGGCTCCAGGGGCAGCCGGATCAGAATGAAGTCAGCTGCCAGCTGCTTCCGACAGACGCGCAGACCTCTGGGCCTCTGTCTGCCCGTCATATTCTGTCTCTCTTTTCGTGTAAGTGTCTCCCTTCCCTGCCCCCTGACTCTCCCTCGACTCCGTGTGTCTCAGTCCCTCGTCCCAGTGTGCCTGCACTTCACCGCCGACTCTCGGTCTCCTACCCCTCCCTCGCCGCTCTGATCTCTGCCTGCTTCCTACCTGTCTCCCTCCCGACCCCACCCCCTGCCCCGTCCCTCTCTTGCCTCTTCGATTCTCTTTCTTTCCATCTCCACTCTCTCCGTCTTCCAGTCTCTCTCGTTCCTCGTCTTCACCCCGCCTTTTGTGCCTCTTCCCCTCCATTTCCCATCTCTCCGTCTCGTCTCTTCGCCTTCACTTCTTTCATCAGTTTCTGTCCCTTTCCTTCTGCTTCTCTCCCCGCCCCCCCCTGCTCACTGCCGTCAGAGCTGAGCCCCCCCCCCCCCAGCATTCCAGGACCCATGGGGCTGATGCCGTCTAGTTTGCATGACAGGCATATTTGAGGAAAATGAGAAGATGCTGCCCCCCACCCACCTGGCTGAGTGACTTCCATCATGTGTGTCCTGTATGGTGCACATACATGAGCATCCACCCCAAACACACACACACACACCCCACAGTACCAAACCCGAGAGTCCTCTCTCTGTGCTCGGGGCCGGGTCCTGCGTGGAAGCCTGGCTGCAGGGGAGTGTGGGCGCCTTTGGGGGAGTGGATTTGCATGACTGATCGTGTCTGGGGTTTGGGGTCCGGCCCTGCTGGGGAGGGTCTCTGCCTCCACCCCCTGCATCGGAATCTGTTCTCCACGTTGACCAGCTGTCCCCTGCCTTGTGACAATCCTGTGGTCCGCCCACAAAGAACGGTGTGAGGTGTAGAAATGGTTGCACAGGGCAGGGAGAGGTGGCATCTTTGGTGATTCAACAGTGACTTTACTACTCTGGTGTCCTCTTTAATTGCTTTCCCCATTTATACTTTCCTCAGTGTGTGTGAGGGAGGGTTAAGAGAGTGAGCCCCGGCAAACTGCTGGCCGCCGAGCTGGGCTCTTCCCTGGGAGGTAGAACAAGGTCCCCGAGCTCTGCAGGGCAGGGGGAGAGTCTGCGTGTCCCTCACACACAGAGTCCAGTCGCAACCAAACGTACAACGATGGTCACACGTGTGCTTCCCCACCCAGTCTGGGAGCTGCTCAGCAGCTTGTTCGCTCCAACTCTCAAGGGAGTCAGGACCCCATTAGAGGCTGTTTGCTCAGAAACCTCTGGTAATTGGTGACTTCCACCAAGATGAACACATAAGTGGAGATGCCATGCTTTCTCCCACAACCAAGTTTAGAGACAACAAAATATTAGCAACAGAAAACACAGCCAGAACACAGAAAATTGAACTTTTTGGAAGTCTGATAACAACAAATTCTTCAGCCTGACCAGTAAGAGGGGCGAAGCCAGCAGCTGGTGGAGTGGGGTAGCACAGGAAAACTCGGTCAGACAGACTCGGGCACACGGAACCCAGGCGTGGGGTTGTGACGGGTGGACCCAGTGAGCGACCGGCAGGGTGGCAGGTTGACTGTGGTCACGCATTCCTGTGCAGATAGACCAGTTAGGGAGTGGGCAGTGAGACGGGCCCCAGCGGCCCCAGCGGCGGGAGGCAGCAGGAGACAGCAGAGAGGGTCGCCATTTCCCCGCTCTGACCCCGCCCCCACATGTCACAACCCAGCGACCCCACCCTGGAGGCCCCGCCCTGCCCCTAAGGCTCCGCTCCTCATACTTAACAGGTGCAAACAGACGAAAAATGGCTCAAGAAGATCTCAAAGCCCAGAGCCCATAACTCTAAGCCACAAAGAAATAGCCAAACTTTCAGATGCACAGTTCAAAACACTGGTGATCAGGATGCTCACAGAACTGGTTGATTTTAGCCACAAATTAGAGGAACATATGAAGGCTAAACTAATTGAAATGAATGGAATTGCACAGGAAACCAATAGTAATGAAAAGGAAACTGGGACTCAAATCAAGGGAGTGAACCAGAAGGAAGAAAAAAAAATGACCAAACAGGAAAATATGAAAAAACAAAAATTCAAAAAAATGAGGAGAGACTTAGGAACCTCCAGGACATCTTTAAACGCTCCAACATCTGAATTATAGGGGTACCAGAAGGGGGAAAGGAACAGCAACAAGTGGAAAACTTATTTGAACAAATAATAAAGAAGGATTTCCCCAATCTGGCAAAGGCAATAGACTTCCAGGAAATCCAGGAAGCTCAGAGAGTCCCAAAGAAGTTGGACCCAAGAAGGAACATACCAAGGCACATCATAATTACATTAGCCAAGATTAAAATGAAGGAGAGAATCCTAGAAGCAGCAAGAGCTAAGGGGACAGTCACCTACAAAGGAGTTCCCATCAGACTGTCAGCAGATTTCTCAAAAGAGACCTTATAGGCAATAAGGGACTAGAAAGAAGTATTCCAAGTCATGAAAACCGAAGACCTACACCCAAGATTGCTCTATCCATCAAAACTTTCATTTAGAATGGAAGGACAGATAAGGTGCTTCTCAGATAAGATCAAATTCAAGGAATTCATCATCACCAAGCCCTTATTATGTAAAATGTTAAAGGGACTAATCTAAGAAAAAGAAGATAAAAGAGATGAACAGTGAAAGGACAGCCAACTCACAGTTATTAACAACCACACCTAAAACAAAAGCAAACTAAGAGGACAGCTAGATCAGGAGCGGAAACATAGAAATGAAGATCACATGGAGGGTTAGCAACAGGGGAGTGGGAGGAGGAGAAGGGGGGAGAAGGTACAGAAAATGAGTAGCATAGACAGTAAGTAGAAAATAGATGGGGGGGCAAGAATAGTATGGGAAATATAGAATCTAAAGAACTTGAGATATATGGACATGAACTAAAGGGGGGGAATGGTGGGGGAGGGGGTGTGCAGGGTGGAGGGGAATGAAGGGGGGAAATAGGACAACTGTAATGGCATAATCAATAAAATAAAAATTTAAAAATAAAAGAAAAGAAACCCCCGTCTCCACCCACCGCTCTTCACCAGTGCGACAGGCCCCTCCCACGGCCCAGTGACCCGAGTTCTAGGAGGGACAAACACGGTGGCCAGGCCCTGTGCCCGGAGTAGCTGCTGCCTCGCTGCCGCTGGGAGTCCCAGGGGCCGAGCGTGGTCTCTCTGACCTCTCGTAGGCGGTGGCCATGGGTGAACGTGCGCAGAAGGTGCAGCAACAGTTCCGGGCGGCCCACCGTGTCCCTGAAGACGGCCGCGTTCCGATGGAGCAGGTGCGTCTCCTGCCTGGGCTCCTGGATGCAAGTCCCTCTGCGGGAGAGCAGGCCCCTGGCGTTGGACGGGGCCTCGAAGTCCTGTGCCTGGCGGTGGGTCAGGACGAGGTTCTGGAAGTCGACCCTGACCTTTTCCACCGGCTCAGGACCGGAGAGTGCGCGGTTCTCCCATCGTTTCCTCCCCGGCAGTTGGTACGACCCCGATTTTTTAACTGGGGAATTGATGTAGCGGAGGCCTCGCAGCCACTGGGCATCAAAGGTGGTGTGGAGCACAGTCCCTCTTTCCCCAGCAAGGAAGCTGAGTTCTTGAGCTTCCTCGCCATCCGGGGCAGCACTGAGGGGGGTGCTGCCCGTGCTGAGACCCAGCCCTGCTCCCTGTGGCTGTCACCGGCTGCCCCTGGGGGCCTGGCTGCGTCCCTGACGGCTGTGTCTCCCACTTGGCTAGCTGGCCGGCACGTTCTTGTCGGAGGATGAGAACTTCCTTCTGCTCTTCCGCCGGGAAAGCCCCCTGGACAGCAGCGTGGAGTTCATGCAGGTGGGTGTGTGGCGTGGAGGATGAGGGACAGTGCCAGCCGCCCACTCCGCTGGGGCTGCCTCCCGCCCACTGCCCACGGGCGGAACCAGGCGAGGAGGCCCTTGTCGGGGGGCCAGGACAGCTGCCCCGAACCCCTGTGTGCTCCCTCGGAGCGCTGGCCTGGGTGGCTCTGGAGCTGACCAACAACTTCGGCCTGGAGTAGAGGACGCTGAGACAGGCCGGGAGGGACGCCGAGGACAGTGCTGGGTCGGGGTGTGGCCGGGGCCACGCCTCCGGGGACCCCCAGGGGTGGCTGCCTTGTGAGGATGCTGTCCGATGTCCGGACTCTGAAGCTCCTGACGTGTAACTACTGACAACAGTTCTAGTTTTGAAGGCACTGGTCCACTTCTCGTGAGTTCTCCCCGGACATTCCTTGTCACCAAAGAAAACCCAGTGTCCTGTGCAGAGTCGCATGTGTGCCCAGCGAGAGATGGTTTTCTGAGCTGAGCCACAACAGACGGCAGCAAAGCCAGCCCCGAATTACAGGCAGGCGGTGGGTCCCGGCTTCCGTGTGTTTCAGATTTGGCGCCGGTACGACGCAGACAGCAGTGGCTTCATCTCGGCTGCTGAGCTCCGGGTGAGTGGCAGGGCCCCTGCTCCCGGGGCGGAGCCTGACGCCTGTGTGTTGTGAGTTCAATTCCTGGGCACCCACAACGAAGCGTCTGAGCCTCTCCCCTAACATGCAATGCAGTCCTGTTTAGAAGGTTTAGAAAGTGCCGGCAACATCGCTCCCTCTGGGAAAGACACAGCTGAGGGGGTCTGACCCTGTTTCACGCCTGGCACTATTTTCTGAGCCCCCCGAGCTTGCTTCCAGGGACAGCCCCCACCCTTGGAGTGGCCCACAAACCGGCCTCCGGGGGTCTCAGCGGTTCCGCGGCTCACTGTGGGAAATGTGGCTCTTGTCTCCACGGCACAGGACTTCCTCCGCGACCTCTTCCGCCACCAGCAGAAGGCTGTTTCCGAGGCGAAGCTGGAGGAGTACACGGAGACCATGGTGAGCGGTGGGGCCCAGAGATGGCGGGGCGGGCAAGGAGGGCGTGCTCAGGAGGTGTCTGTGCACCTCATGTACAAGAAAGTTCCGGAAGATGCTGGCTGAAGTGGAGCCACTTTGGCCTGTGACTTGGGACGTGGGACCCTAAACGTCACGACCTTCCAAAGGCAGCGGCAGTGAGTGTTTATTGGAGACCAGTGAGAACAGCCATTCGGATGCACTGGTTCCGGCAGGAGCCAAGATGGCCTTCTGATGCGGGGCCGGAGGCGAGGGGTGTTAGTGAGAAGGGAGGGGACAGTGACGTCCGTGGAAGGAAGACATGGCTTCGGGCATCGATGACACAGGCTGGTCCTTCTGAGCAGTGTCTCCCACGCTCCGTCTGGCAGTTGCGACATCTGCCCTCTTGTTATCTTCCCAAATGTTCTGGGCCCCGTGCGGCCTGGGGCCCGGGCGTCCAGTCCAGACAAACAGGATCGGAAGGGCGGCCAGCAAAGCCCTTCAGGACTTCGGAAGCGAGTTTCCGTCACGGCGGCTCCTCACGGCTGCTCCCCTCCTGTGTTCCAGATGCGGATCTTTGACAAAAACAAGGACGGCCGCTTGGACCTCAACGACCTGGCCAGGTGAGTGGCTCCGAGGCGGCGTCACAGCTTCCGGAACAGCTCCGAGGGGTTTCCCGATGGCACGTGCGTCCCGTGGAGAGGCAGAGACCCAGTCTCGCCCAAAGTCCTCGAGAACAGGCGAAGCGTCCGGGGACACAGAGTCCCTGCTCCCCACGTGCGCGAAGGCCCCCCTGACAGCACCGCCCCGAATCCCGCTCAGTGGCTCTGGGAACACTGAACGGCCAGGTGACAACAGGGACACCCGGCCGGACCCCAGCTGCGCTCTGGTCTGCGGTCGCTGTGGCCGCCGAGTGCCGGGCCAGACGTGGGGGAGGAGAGGGTGTCTGTGGGTCCGGTACCGGGACACAGGATGAGGGTGGCAGGTGTTGTGGAGGCCACCTGGCCCCTAATTGACCTGTGGATGTCAGGAAAAGGTAACAGATTCCGAGTGGATGCACAGAGCTGGAGTCACGGGGTCCGGGGTGCATGGGCATGAGACCCTCATGGGGACCGTCCGTAACCCGGGTCCCCAGGGCCAGCCCGGGCGGCATTCATCTGCTGGACCGCGAGTCGGGCTGGCGGTCAGAAGCACACAGAGCTGGGAGAGAGTCCTCAGTGAGTGCCTTGGCGTGGGGTCTCCTCGGGGGCCACGAGAGAGGTCAGGTCGGGTCGGTTCTCGGGGAATCCGGCTCCGACCGAGCTTCGCCCCATTTTCCCACTACGGCAACTGCCGTGCTGCGGGCCCCCCGGAGGGAGGGGTGCTGGTTTTCAAAAAGCTGGGGATGGTGGAGACGTAAGCAAGTTCACAGGCCACAAAGCCCACTCTTCCTACCAAGACGGCCTCGTTTGTCCCAAGTAAACATTCCTCGGATTTCTTCTGGACTTCAGAATAAAAGTTATTCTGACTTTTTTTTTTTTTGCCAGTTTTCTTGTTGCTGTTCCAGAGGAGAGAATTTTCCTAGTCTGCTTCTATGCCCTTTTCCACCACGATAAAATTGTAAACCTCTCCCTGGGGTGACGGCTAGTCTCTGAAAGTCTTTCCCTGTTAATTAATTTATTTGTTTGTATAGCAGGTGCACCCTTGTTTTTCGAGCGCCCACCCTATTCTGCAGAGTAATCTGGAAATCTCTGCCCGTTCCTCCCACCGGCGTTATGGCTGGGCTTGCACGGGACGTGGATGGGCCCTCATGTCGGTTTATTTATCCTTTCCCGTGTAGGATTCTGGCTCTTCAGGAGAACTTTCTTCTCCAGTTTAAGACGGATGTAAGTACTGAGGTTTCTCTGGGTGGTGGGTTCACGGCCTGTGCGTTTCCGCGCGGGTCTCAGAGGGCGGGAGAGAAGAAGGCATATGTCCGTCTTGCCTTCTGCCTCCCCCGGGGGAGTCCGGGGAGGGTTCTGCCTCCCCCGGGGGAAGGGAAGGCGGGAGACTCAGAGGTGGAACTCAGGGTTGAAGGTCATGACCACAGTGTGTCCCAGTTGCCTGGACTGGAAAAGGTGTGATTGCAGTTCCGCACTGTCGGAGTGACTGACAGCCGTCTTCTCCACACACAGGCCTGTTCCACCGAGGAAAGGAAGAGGGACTTTGAGAAAATCTTTGCTCACTATGATGTTGTAAGTGTGCCCTTTGTGCCTGCCGGCCTCTCCGTGGGGGACCACCCCGCCCATGGACCCCACACCAGCAGGGTGTCAGGGCGCCCTGAGCTTCTCTGTGTAACTTCTGAGAACCCAGGGAAAATGGATAAAGGAATATTTATCATTGAGAAGGTAATAAAATCACTTTTTTGGGGGTGCTTCTTGGATCCAAACTAGGAAAGGTTTCCTTTTCATGCTGTCTATGGAGATTAGGAAGCTCAAAAACAAAAGCAAACAATCAAATAAAAAAGTGCGTTGAACCCAAGGAAAGAGAGGCAAGGTCAGGCCTACATGACGTAAAAACTACTTCTCTCATAGGATGAATTATTTGGTCTTCTGCAGGGGGGGGGAATAATCGTTCTAAAGCACAGAGCATGGCATTAAGGTTGACTTTCTTGGGGACAAGGTGCAGTCACACGAGGAGGGAGGGAAACAAGGAGAAAGCGGGGGAAGGTCAAGGAGAAGGCAGACCGGGAACCACCCAGACCAGGTACGTGCGGGTCGTGTTCCGGGCAGGAGAGAGGCACCTGGAGGAGGTAGCTTGGTGTGAGGGTTTGTGTGTCCCTTCTGGGAGTCGTTCCCTGGTTTGGGTCACGGCTTATTGGCCACGAGACCCCAGGCAGGTCCTTTGCCTCTGGCACCTTATATCCCTGCTCTGTAGAATAGGGTGCCAAGGCTTGTAACACCTGCCTCTTGGCTTGTGACGAGGGTGCCATGCACCGTGTTTGGAAAGGTGGTCCCGAAGTGCCCGGCGTGTGACAGGTGCCAGGTTAGTGTTTGGTAGACCCTCTAAGGAACAGATTTTTAAGATGTGTTAAAGGTTCTGATGAAGAAAGTTTGAAAGGAACAGATGGGTTGTCATAATGGAACTTTGGAGAAGAACTGAAATATTTTAACATGTATTCTATTTTATAGACATTCTCATAATATGGGTGGAAAAAAAAGTCTTATATACAGACCAAATAATAACTCTAATATGCTCACTCAATCTATTAATAGTTTCTCTTGGTTTTAAAGTATGCGTTTTCCTAATGGTCAGATCATTGGTAAATCATAGAGCAAACTAAAATAACGTCAGCCTACCTTGCAAAGGACTAATGTGATGTGTGCTTAATGCTTGGGAACTGAAGCCTGTCTGGGAAGCAGGTCAAGGCCACGTGTGTCGTGTTAGTGGGTTTGCAAAAGCCAAGGAGCTGCCGCTTCCCATTTGGTGACCTGGGGCTGGGGGGTGGGGGCGGCATTGTTTACAGTGAATTTTTTTAGGTTATGTGGGTCGCTCCCACCCCACACAGGGAACGTAAGTTGGAGTGTGCCGTTTTGAGCCTCTGTGTGGTCACCAGAGAATCCTGGTTTGGTCAAGTTGCCTAATTCGCTCATTAGCTCTCCGACATAGGGAGGTGCCATGTGGATGATGGGAGGTTTTATCTTTCAGAGCCAGACCGGAGCCCTGGAAGGCCCCGAGGTGGACGGGTTTGTGAAGGACATGATGGAGCTTGTGCAGGTGACCTCTCAGTTCCACAGACCATCAGCACGGGGGCTGCCATTTCCGTTGATTCTACTGTATATTCTGGGGACTTGGGGCTTAATGCTGGACAGAAAGTCTAGGGAGGTGGCCTGTTTAACAGTCTTGAGCCCCCGGGAACCCCATGGTCTCCTTCTCTCTTACGATCATTTGTCATTTCAGTAAGTGAAGCCCCACAGGGGAGCTTCTTGTCACCATCGTTGAGGTCACCCATGTCACCCACGAGCACATGCCACTGCACGGACGACTACTTTAGTGTTGGATGCAGAGTCTTTTTCCCTTGGACTTAGTTATTAAAGTCACAACAACTTTTAATTTCATGTAATAAATCCCATACTTGGGATTTCAATTATTTTTTTATTTTCCTGAGGAGCTGCTTCAACAGCCACGATTAGAGTCTGCAGTGCCCCTCTGGGCACTGCCGTGGCTGGGTCCATGGGGCTTGGGTGACAGCTGCCTCATGCTGAGCGGTGAGGACAACCACCTTGGAGGCCCTGCGAAAGGTGTGGACCCAATGGCTGACCCTGTTAGGCCGATACTTTCCACGACGTCCCCTCTCCTGCTACTTTTCTAGGGGACAGCAGAGCCACTGAATTTAGCAATCTCACGTCCTCAGGGACTTTTTGAGGTTGGATGGTTTTGTCCTGGTTGGCCCAGGTGGCAAGGAGTTACAGTAGCAATCAATCAATCAATCATTCACTGTGTTTGGGTCCCAGGCCTGTCTCAGCATCTGGTTACAATTGCGGAGTTTTGCCCCAGAATATTTGCCAGATGCCAGTGTTTGCCTAAATCTTCAGGAAGGTCACACCATGGAGGAGCAGGCACAGGCACGCTTTCTGACATTCAGTCAGAGTGACAGAGGTGTTTGCTTGGGCATCTCACTCTTGCTGTTCCCATCCCGACGGGTCCCTTGCTCCGCTCAGAGCTCGTCATGGGTTGGACTGTCCCAGGCGTTTGCGCGGCCCGAGAGCAGACCGGGGTTGGCGGCACTTTGCACCGATTACTAGGGTAGAGTCCCGCCTTACTCCCCGTCCATGTGATGCCCCAATGGCTTCCCTGATGGGTCATGAGCACCCATCAGTGGGATGCTGATGGCGCAGCAGAAGGCGTGCGAAGCTGGAGTTTTAATTTGCTTTGGACAGCACACGTGAGACTGAGCCTGCTTTCCGGAGCCGCGCGGCCCCCTGTGCGCGGGGAGGCTGGGCTGCCCATCACCCGAGTGCCCGGTCTTGGGGCTGCACAGCTCCCAGACCTGACGCCGCCCCACCCCCTCCACTCCTGTGGCATTTTGGAGCAAAGGCGGCACCGGTCAGTGCAGGTGGAGCCAGTTTGAGACGCGGGCGGGGTACGGAGCGGCGGAGGCGCTGATTGGTTGAGCTACAACACGTGTGCGCAGTAGCCAATGGTGAACGGCCCCTGCGAGGTCAGTTTGCAGCACGTAGTCAAGGGAAGACCGTGGCTTCATAGAGGAGAGTCACATCTCCTGTGACTTTTTCTCTCTTTTTATTTTATAAGAAAGGGCCACGGGACAAACAAGCAAACCAGTATGGAATTTATTTGAAAAGCAGCTCTTGGAGCAAGCCCAGGGCCCTGGGGCCGGCTCGGGGTCTGGGCGTTCAGGCCTGGCCGGGACCCTGGTGCTGGCAACGGTAACCCTGGATTCGGCTTCTTTCACAACCTTTCGTTGGACTCGCGGGGCCCGGTGCTGGACTGGCATTAATGAGATAATCAGGTTCCCACGATACCCCTTCACCTTGGCACGGGAAATCGGTGCCCAAGGCGGCCCCCTGTCTGTGACAAAGTAGCAAGTCCCTGGGGGAGCAGACACAATAATTTCTGCACGAGGTTTTGTGTGCACTTGGAGGTAGCACAGTGAGAAACATAAACACAGGGGTCTGCAGCTTGAACTAGGAAGTGGAAGGAAGACGTTCAATACCCAGCACCCACCGCGAAGTGGAAACGTGAACAGTGACGCTGGAAGCTAAGAAAGGGGGCACCAGGAACGAGGGGGTGGTTGGCCTGGAGGTGACCAGTGCCCGGCCCTGGGCTCCCGGAGTCGTTCTTCCTGCTCGGTGCCCCACCTGCTTGTCTCTGTCGTTGAAAAGAAGATGGCTGGCCAGAGGGGACAACTCTCAGCCTAAAGGGTCGACTCTAACATACGTCCCTCTAAAGACCGACTGGCCCTTAGCACACAGGTTATCATTTATTTTTTAATTGTAAAAATGATGCACACGTTACAGAGAAATTTAAAAGCAGAAAAGAGAAAAAGAACCAGGGCATAACGTCTACCCTCCAACAGACCGACTGCTGAGCGAGTTCCTTTCCATGTGATTGATTTCTGCGCTCGAGATCACACTGCACGTGCGTTCCCGGGCCAGCTGTTGGTGTAGGGGCCGAGTGGCAGTTCACCCGTGGTTCTTAGTCATAACGTCGCGGAACTTCCCCTCCTGCTAGCCATCTAAACCGATTCCTAGGTCCTTGATGTAGCCTCAGCCTGTTACACGCGCTTTTGTGCACAATTTTCTGTTGGTGGCCTCATTACCGTGTAGACTTCCCGGCGGAGGGTTCGACCTCATTTCAATGCCTGGCGCCTTCTGTTGGAGATGGCGGGCTTTGGAAGAAAGAGCCAAGCACGGGTCGCATGTCCTCCTTCAGTGTCCTTCCCCCACCCCTCCCCAGAAAGCCCTTGACTCCCTTTTGAGCCCAGCTTGTCTGTCAAAGAAGAAGGCAGCCTGGCGTGTGTATCCATTCTCACCATGGCGTTAATGGCTTCCTGTGCTGCCGCCCTTGGGGGATAAACACCTGTTAAGAAGACTCATGAATGGCAGGAGGCAGCGAAGTGACCCAGGTCCTAGCAGCAGATTGCACCGTGGCACCTGGTGACGGGAAGATGGCTGAGGCTCTTCCTGGAGCTCCTCCCATTCCCGTTCGTCACCTGTGTGCACTTCCGTCTGGGAGACGTCTGATCAGACACTTCCGTTTGCCTAGACATGGGGCCCTGCAAGAGCCCTGACCTGCTCCTTGCTCGCCTGCGCTGTGAAATACGTGAGGGCAGGTGCCGGGGTGGGGGTGGGGGGACCGCATCAGGATGGTGCCGGAAATGGCTTTGAGTGTCACTGCCTCTTCCAGACAAGCGGAGGCTGGCGGGCAGAGACCTGGCTAGTCTGAGGCATGAGGTCTGGGCCTCTCCCTGTCACCTTGGTGATTTTAGACACTGAGTGGCCACTACTTAGCAATGTGGAGACAGAGAACACGCCCTAGTTTGGCACAGCTGAAGAATGAAGTTCTGGTTGATTAAATGTTCTGACGGGTAGAGTTGGTCCAGGCAGGTTCCAATAAAGGCACTTGCCACCGTCAAAGCTGAAATTCTGTCTCCAGGGGTCCGAGGTGGCACAGGGCCTCGGCATGGCAGAGAGGACTCTGGATCGGAGACACGGGGGTGTCAGTGGGGAGAAGGCTTGGATGCCAGTGCCATTGTGGTAGATGAGCTGGGATGTAGAGGAAAGGGGGGATGTGACAAGAGCACAAAGATGACATTGTATGTGGCTGAGGCAGGCAGGCCGTGTGAGACAGATTGAACCCTGCTTCCAGAACTCAAGGGGGCGGGTGAGCGTCTTTCAGCCCATTATCCCAGACCCACCCTCAAGCTGTCCCACGGGTGGATGGGAAGACGGACATTTTTACAGGAAGGCTGTGATGATTTAGTGCTGTGACACAGACACAGGCTCTGGGGCCGGCCGGTCACCAGCGTTTGTGTCCTGGCTCTGCCAGGGGCCTGCTCACTGAGACAGACCTGGTCCCAGAATCCCCTTGGAATAAATCAGATGTCCCGCACTCAGCATAATGATTAACGTTTTGGGTTGTCACTCATTACTGCCCCGCTGAGACTAGAGGCACAGGAGCCTCCCACGGGGACATAGTAAAATGCCTTCTGTCAACAGTGGAGCAGGACGGAGCTTGTGGCCGTCACCCTCTGCTCCAGGGCAAAATATCGTTAGTAAAGTTGCAGAAAAGTCAGTCTTTCTGCAAGGACTGCAGAGCAGTGATGTGGGAAGAGATGCTCTGGGACTGAAGGGACACCTGAGAAGTGAACTTGGTCTTTGGCTGCACTGGTCAGATGAGGTGGCATTGCTCAGGGCGGCCCGGCTCCCGGGAGGCCTCTCAGAGCAGGTGCCACCCCTCGCCCCGCCCTGGCTCATGAGCAGCAGGGACGGGGTGGTGCTGAAGGGCTGCCGTGGTCTTGCCTGCTGACCTGTTGTTTCTGTCGCCCCAGCCGAGCATCCGCGGGGTCGACCTGGATAAGTTCCGGGAGATTCTTCTACGCCACTGCGATGTGAACAGGGACGGGAAGATTCAGAAGTCTGAGTTGGCTCTGTGTCTGGGGCTCAAAACCAACCCATGATCCGCAACTGCATGGCCCTCTGTGCTTCGGGTGTCTCTGTGCTTCCGCTGGTGAAATCGTGTCTATGCTTTGCTGTTGGGGACACGCCAGCAAACCCTGTTATCAGTTGGTGTGGTGTTTGCTATAAAGGACCCGGGGCCCTGCTTTTGAATAACCCGGTGTTTTCGGCCTCACCAAAGGCCCCCGTGCAGGGTCTGCGCTCTTTTCCTTCCGACCTCAGGCTTTCCTGTGTCCCCAAAGCCTCAGGGAACCTGCTGGTCCCCCGCAGTGCCTGGGGGGTGGGGTGGGCAGCTGAGCCGCCCTGTGATCTGCGTGCTGCTGTGCATCTCTGCTGAGTCTGCATGTGTGCGCGTCGCCGAGGTCCCGTGTCGTCTGCAAGTAGATTTTCACCTGGAAATAAACCTGCAGCTGCAAACAAAGGTGCACTGGTGGCTGTTTTTGTGTCGTGACCTTTGAAATGTTCTGTTTGATGGGTGGAGAGATGAAGGGCCTCCCTCTCTAACACGGGGTGGGAAGGAGGAGAGGGCGGGCACAACCCCATGGAACCCAGCTCTCCCTCCCGGCTCTCGGGTGCCCCGTGAGTGGTAAGGGAGAGGATCGACCCAGGACGACTACTTGCAAAACCAGGAGATACATGGCCCCCCAGTACCACGCTCGCCCCCACGCCCCAGGATGTACTGTGTTTCTCCTGGTTTACCCTGCCGCGGCATTAGCTGTGTGATTTCACTCACCCAAACTCCGTGCAAAGCAAGAACAATGGAAAGAACGAGCGTGCAGGTTGCTGGGACATGTTAGAGTATGTGTTTAGAAATAACCTCATTTCTCACTGCTCATATGAGAAGCTGCATCTCGGTTCAAGGTGTTCTGATGTCTGTGATGGTAGAAAGAATCATTTTGGAGAATTCTGGCCTTCCCAGCCCTCCAAAGTGACCAGCGACATCCTTCCTGCTCTGTAGCGGGGCCAGCCTCGTCTGTGAGTCCAAGACCCTCGAATTCCCCGTTGTCTTGCTCAGCACTGTCTTGAGATGGGCATATTCACATTAAATAACAAGGCAGCTCTCTTTCGTCTACGAAAATATAGCGACTGCTTTCTCCTAGACACGGAAGCACAAATGCGAATGCAGATGGTAGAAGAATTGAGAGAACCTTGTTGGTCACATGGTTGGGCCAGAGGGAACGGTGTGTGTAGAAATCCTCGCTCGGCACACACTCTTTGGGTCTCGGTTATAAAGCGGTGCCGTTCTGAGTCAGCACTGGCCACCCCACGCACGGTGCCCGCCACCGGCCGGCAAGCGGTTATGCGGCAATGACACTTGCGGCGCAGAGTGGCAGTCTGAGAGCCAGTCAGCTGTGCGGCGGGACCGCAGCGTTTGTGAAAGTCCCTATTGAGCTGGTGGTGGAACGGGCAGGGCGCGCAGGTAAATGAGGCTGCGGAGCAGGCAGCCCTCAGTTTGATCCAGCACAGCGCTGCCAGTGGCTGGCAGGCCCCGCCCACGTGCACTGCGGTTGGTGGTGAACTTGAACGGTTGGAACTTCTAAGCAGGAAAATCTTTGGGTCCAAAGCGCATGCGCGAACAAAGCTTCGCGGCGGCTGCTTTGCCTTCTCTGGGCTGGGATGAGCGTCTTCTGCCCTTTCAAAGTCGGCGGAGTCCTAAGGAAGCAGACCAGCCCCCCGCCCTGTGATTTCAAGTTTGGGCACCCCGGAGTCCGTTGAGCCCAAATCACTATTTGGCCAGTCTCTTGAACATGGTCTTAATAGTTTCCTTTTCATTGTTTTGAAATTCCCCCCGCCCCGCCCCGCACACACAAAAATGACATTTTATCCAGTCGTTCCTAACAAGAAAACTTCTCCACACATTTTGCCTAATATGTTTACCTTACCTGGACACCTAGAGTGGCCTTCCGAAGATCTGTCCTAATATCCAAAGACCCGGTGACCTCAAGGCAGGGGTGTATCTGCTCACGGCCCGGCCTGCCGGGTCCTCCCCCTGACCCTCTGTGCCCGCTGCCCTTCTGCCGCGGAAAGCCCTGGCTTGTTCGGAAGCCCGACCTCGACTGGTTGACACACTCAGGTTCACAAACACGTCACGTGGCTCCCTGTTGGCTGCAGCATTTCTCTCCGGTGGATGTACAACCCACCGAAGGTCCTGTTTATAATACTCAGCACGTGCGAAAGTTTTCACCAGGTGCTGCCCTCTGCCCGTCCTCCGTCCCAGCCCGACCGGCCAGGAGATGTCCCCGATCCTTGGCTACCCCGGTTCCCACACCTGGAAACCCTTCACCATCAAGCACAGCTCAGAGCCACCTCCTCCAGGAAGCCACCTTTGACTGGTGGCGGGGGGAGCACCGACGGGTGAACTCGTGCCCCCGAGGGAAAGTAAGAGCAGCAGAAAAGTAAGTTTTATAAAAACACAAAAACATCGAAGAGCAAAGTGAAGCCCCCAGGGAAGATGAGCCTGGAACATCCCACTCGCGGGGGTTGTGGAGTTCTGCATGAAGGAAAGAGGTGAAGTTCAGACCAACCATGAGGGAGCAAAGGGGCAATGAGTGAGGTCAGCGACTGGGCAGTGTGTGGAAACTTCTGACCTCCTAGCTTAACTTTATTATTATTATTATTATTATTATTAGTAGTAGTAGTAGTAGTAGTAGTAGTAGTAGTTGATGTTGTCGCATGATTTTTTGTTTGTTTTTATGCCAAGGAAAGTGGTTTTCACTTAGTGTCTACGTGATTTATAAACAAAAAGTTGATTTGTTTTTCAGTACACTTTCTAACTCGGAATCATTTTAGATTTATACAAAAGTTGTAAAGATGGAAAGCCCCCCTGGTCGAGCAGCTCAGTTGATGAGCGCATTGTCCTGATACACCAGAGTTGTGGGTTCAATCCCCAGTCAGGGCACGTACCAGAAGAGTCAACCAATGAGTGCATCAGTAAGTGGAACAGCAAGTCGATGGTATTCTCTCCCTTCTTCTCTCTCAAAAAAAAAAAAAAAAAAATCAATAAATTTAAGAAGAAGGAAGTCCCCATGCATTCCCCACCCAGTTTCTTTTATTGCCAACATTTGTGCATTCGTCACAACTAAGGAACTGGCACTGTAAGGTGGATGCTAAACTTTGGGATTCATCGGATTTTATCTAATGTTCTCTTTAGTCATAACGTCATGTATTTTATGATGTATATTTAATGCCTTAGCCATCTTTGGCTGTAACAATTTTTCAGAATTGCTTTGGTTTCGATGGCTTCGATATCTTTGAGGACTCAGAGTCAGAGAATGTTCCTCCGGGTGGATTTGCCTGTTGATTCTCTCAGGGTTAGACTGGGATTATGGGATGTTGGAACACCAGAGAAGTAAAATGCCTCCTCAATACAGCCTGTTAAGGGCACATGCCATTAACAATGCTTACCACTGATGCTGCTGCAGAAATGAATAAGCGAACCCTCGTTCAACCTGGGGTCGAGAGCGCATGAAGGAGAGTTCTCAGCCCTGCATTTCCGGCAGCTCTGCACAGTCCAGCAGGAGAAAGACTTCCTCCCGGCCTGGTGACAGCAAACTGTCTTCTCCTGCAGCCAATGAGAAGTTACCACCACTTACGATGCTAACTTTTCTCCAATGAGATTTTGTTCTCCAAACAACCCTTCCCTGCTCTCTTCTTTCCTCTATAAAAGAATGCTCTTCTTTATTCTCCAGACCTGCCTGCCTTTTGCCATATTTTGCTTGTCCAGAATTGCAGTTCTTCTGCTATCGCCAAAGAAACCCGTTTGCGATGCAATAACTTTGTTGCTTATTTTGAAAGTTGAAAATGGTAATGGCGATCATCCAGCTGTTTCCCAGGTGTCTCTGCTGTGACTCCCTCCCTCCCCTCGGAGTTTTGGTGAGTCTGGGGCGGGAAGCTACACTTGCTTGGCGGGGGAGCATTTATATAAAATTTTTTGAAGTTTTTGTGTTTAGGAAAAAATGTTCACATATGGACTCAATTCATTTCATTATTCTGATTTTAAAATTTCACATTTGAAAGATTTTAATTGTAATGAATGTCTAAGCATCTAATTTTGTCCAATGTTCAACTTCTTTTTCAGTTTTCAGAATTTTTTTTGTGCTTTTCCCAGTTACAGCCCTTAATATTTATGTGCATACATTCAAGAGATCATTGGCTTCATAACTTGACCGTCCCTAATTAACATATTATGTAGTTTATTCTTATCTTTATCTTCTTATAGGACTTTATACTTTTCTTCACACTTGCTCCTACACATGTCTGTGTAGATCTCAAATATTTGGCAATGTTTGTTTTTGATAACCAATAAAATTCTTTGAGATACTTTAAACTGTTCAATATTGTACAGCAGCAATTTTCTACCTTCTTTTAGCTCATGGCTCACATAACCTAATCACTAAACTGCTGCACACTAAAAATATATACTTTTTGCTAATCTGACAAAAAAGATTGGGTGTAATTTCTATTCATTCACACCAGACAGCTATTGTTGTGTTGGCTGCTGTTATTTTGACAATTTAAGGGAAAAGAGGTCAGTGCCCCGACTGGTTAGGCGTTGAAAATTTTAAAATATGGGTGTGTTGCCATGCATCAGCTGGAAAATTGTTATTGTACATGAATTTTGTATTTGACAGCCTCACTAAATGTTCATGTGCTCATTTCTCTTGGTATTTGCAGTAGAAACAATAACTCAAACTATCTTTTTTTGGTATCTAGTTACCACTTTTGAAAATGACCTAAATTCCCTAATAATTTCAAAGTTCTGATGGAAGACCTTGCCACCTCGCAGTCTCCAAGAATTACACCATTATCTGTCCATCCCACATGGTAGGTACCAAACCTGTATTTGAGAATATTTTTACATGTTAAGGACATTCTTTTTTACTAAGCATTTGTGTGAAGCCACAGGTATTAAATGTGCACATATGACCATTTATGAAATGTTAAGATTGACTTTGTCGGTTTACTGATTGATGTCACATCTAAAAATTCCATGTGAAACACACTAGCATGTTTGAAAACTCTTTAGAGACTTGAGAAATTCATGCAGCTTTGCTAGACTAGACTGGCCGATGTCCTGTAGACTGCCACGGTTCAACTGGAAGCTACATGACGTCTCCCTCTGCTGGTACCAATTAAACCCCTTACTTCATTAGAATTCCTGTTCATATAAATATACCAAGTTTGTTCCTTCTCTCGAGAAGTCCAGCAAAGAATAAGCTTCTTAGGCTGCATGAGCTCTAGGTCAAACGCAGATCCCACACGAAGACCCATGAACTTGTTTTACAGGGAGACTTCCAGCCTTAATTCTCAAGGCCCAATTATAACCACCAAAGAATGTCTCCAGAGTACTGTGATTTCTTTAGAAGCTACATCAGAAAGCCGTCCACATACAGCTTTTTACTGTGCACACAGTCTTCACAAATTTGGGTGGCTCTGAAAAGAGCCTTTGGTTTGTTTTTCTCTTGTCTAAATGTTCAGGTTCCTCATTAGGCTTCACTACCGTTATTACTTGCCCTTGCTCTTGTGGTGGCTCTCAGTCTTCTTGGGCAGCAGCACAGGCTGGATGTTGGGCAGAACCCCACCCTGCGCAATGGTCACACCGCCCAGGAGCCTGTTGAGCTCCTCGTCGTTACGGATGGCCAGCTGCAAGTGGCGTGGAATGATACGCGTCTTTTTATTATCACGAGATGCGTTTCCAGCTAACTCCAGAATCTCAGCAGTCAGGTACTCCAGCACGGCCGCCAGGTACACGGGCGCACCAGCCCCAATGCGCTCGGCGTAGTTGCCCTTGCGGAGCAGGCGGTGGATTCGACCAACTGGGAACTGAAGCTGGGCTCTAAACGACCGCGATCTGGCCTTGGCACGAGCCTTGCCGCCCTGCTTCCCACGCCCAGACATACCTTAAGACCACACTACCTGTAACAACAATAAGTAAGTACAGGCTGTGGGAGCCTATTTATAGTCTGCCGTAGGTTGTAATATGCCGTCTGATTGGCTGGGTGCTGTACGCCTATCCAATCAAAAATTACTTATAGAATCACCTTATTTACATTTACATCATTACCTATTATCCAATCAGATGTTGGTTGTCCAGCCTGGCAGTTGAGCACCACCCTATAAATTGTAGGCTTTTTTTTTTTTTTTTTGCCATCAACGGCTGTTTGCTGACCTTGGTCCGTTGTAGTTTTTGTCTGAGCGTTCATCATGCCGGAGCTTACTTCAAAGGGCGTTATTACTTCTAAGAAGGGCTTTAAGAAAGCTGTAGTGAAGATGTAGAAGAAAGAAGGGAAGAAACGCAAGAAGATCCGCAAGGAGAGTTACTCAATTTACATCTATAAGGTGTTAAAGCAGGTGCATCCCGACACAGGCATCTCAGCCAAAGCCATGAGCATCATGAACTCTTTTGTCACTGACATCTTTGAACGTGTTGCAGCTGAGGCATCGCGCCTGGCGCATTACAACAAGCGCTCGACCATCACGTCCCGGGAGATCCAGACGGCCGTGCGCCTGCTGCTGCCTGGGGAGCTGGCCAGGCACGCGGTGTCCGAGGGCACCAAGGCCGTCACCAAGTACACCAGCTCCAAGTAAATAGTTCAGTCATCAAATGAGTTTTATAATGAAAGGCTCTTTTAAGGGCCACCTATGTTTCCTTGAGAGAGCTGTGTGTTTATCTGATTGTTCTCTGTGTTGGCTTCAGTGTAAGAGCATGGTACTTCATGCTGTAAGACTAAGCTGTGGTGTAACTTGAACATAGTGTAAAATACTGCCCTTAGTGTCCCCAAGCTTCATGTTAGTGAGTTCTTAAAGGGCACCAGCATTTTTCCAGGCACCCGGAGGGTCTTGTATATCAGGAACAATACTCCAAAGGGGAGCCCTGTGGACTGGATTGGGGATGGTGTGCGTGGGTTTGTTTGCTGGGCATGATCGCCCATGAGGGACAGTATGCGTTTCTCTGAAGGTGTCTTTTTCTTCGTACCTTTCAGAAAGAAATAAGCCCACAGCTGTGGGAAGATACTGGTGTTTCTGGAAAGCGGGGTTTAGGGAACATTCAGGCTCTGCTCCTGGGACAGTGCTGCTGAGCATGGAGAGTTGGTTCTGTAGACCGGCCTCGTTGCACTTCAGCAGCAAGGATTTCAGGCCCTTGAGTTTTTAGTCTGATGCAATTTATATTTCGGGGCTTTAGACTCAGGTTGAGGATCTTAACATCGAAACTCCACAATCTGGGCTAACTACTGGCTAACGATGTACTACAGTAGGTAAACTGACAGGCTTTCCTCACATTTTCTTACAAGTCATGGTATAATAACTTGTATGATGATGTGTCATTAAAAATGGTGTGTGTGTCCTGTTACTGGACCGTCCGGACTCATCTCAGAGAGCAGAAGTTAAAAAAAGGAGTAAGACACTGAACTCAGCAACCTTAAAAGGCGGTTATCAAAATTACTGCTATACAAAAACTGGCGGCAAGTAAGCATATGATCTTTATTAGGAAAACGTAAAGTAAAACAATGAGGCTCACGCATCTTTTAGAAAGGCTGAATTCCAAAACGTGACCAAATGTTGGCAAGGCTATGAAGGAATAGAAATCACTGCCAGTGGTAAGGTGGACTGGCGGAGCCCCTTCAGCTGACTTTTAGGCAGATCCTAATCATTATAACCAGCAACCGTGCTTCCAGTATTTACCCAACTCATTTGTAAACTAGTTAAATACCCCCTGCAAATACTTGACAGTAAATGACTATTCAGAGTTGAAATATGGCTAAGTCACCTACTTTGCTTGAATTTATATTTAAACATTAAAGTGAATTTCAAAATGAACAGTATACTTACTAGTTAACCTGGCAGAATTGGCAGTGTATATCCACATAGACTAACTCATTAAAGACCTAGAGCCCTCTAAAAAAATGTTAAGTGGCTCTTAAAAGAGCCTTTGGGTGGAAACTCGACTGGACAAATTTACTTGGAGGTGGTATACTTGGTGACGGCCTTGGTGCCCTCAGACACGGCGTGCTTGGCCAGCTCCCCAGGCAGCATCAGGCGCACGGCCGTCTGGATATCCCAGGACGTGATGGTCGTGCGCTTGTTGTAATGCGCCAGGCGCGACGCCTCAGCTGCAAGGCGTCCAAAGATGTCGTTGACAAAAGAATTCATGATGCTCATGGCCTTGGCTGAGATGCCTGTGTCAGGATGCACCTGCTTCAACACCTTATAGATGTAAATTGAGTAACTCTCCTTGCGGGCTTTCTTGCGCTTCTTCCCTTCCTTCTTCTGAGTCTTAGTTACAGCTTTTTTAAAGCCCTTTTTAGAAATAGCAGGGCCCTTCACATTCAGCTCCGGCATGACAAGAACTCACTTCAATAAGTCTAATAACTGTCACCAAACAGCTGTTACGGGCAAAAAAGCCTGGTATTTATAAGGCGGGCTCAACTGTCAGGATGAATGGGCAACATCTGATTGGATAATAGGTGATGACGTAAATGTAAATTAGGTGATTTTAAAACTACTTTTTGATTGGATAGCCGTACATCATCCAGCCAATCAGATAGCAAGTCACAAACTATAAGTCTGCCCTGCACCTACTCAAGAGTAGTTTTTTGTGTCATGGGCTACGGGTCTTCCATCATGTCTGGTGCGGAGCAAGAAGGCAAGACCCGCGCCAAGGTTAGTTCTCGGTCAATTAGAGCCCAGCTTCAGTTCCCAGTTGGTCGAATCCACCGCTTGCTCCGCAAGGGCAACTACGCCGAGCGCATCGGGGCTGGTGCGACCGTGTACCTGGCGGCCGTGCTGGAGTACCTGACGGCTGAGATCCTGGAGCTAGCGGGCAACGTGGCTCGCGACAACAGGAAGACGCGCATCGTCCCCCACCACCTGCAGCTGGCCATCCGCAACGACGAGGAGCTCAGTAAGTTGCTGGGAGATGTGACAATCGCGCGGGGAGGTGTCCTGCCCAACATCCAGCCTGTGCTGCTGCCCAAGAACACCCAGAGCTACCGCTAGAGAGGCTAAAGCAACTTCAGGGGGTGAAAGCCAGGAAAAATCTGAGTCCCAGGGGGAGAAAGGAACAACCCAAAGGCTCTTTTCAGAGCCACTCACCATTTCTGAGAAAGAGCTCAGGTAGAATTGCAAGTTGGTTGCAGCCTCTAAACCAACTGGGACTGTGAAACTGGTCTAGTTTAGACTGAGGTTTCTGAAGCTGGTCACTTCAAGTACAATAAGTCGACAGCGTAACTCCTGGTCTCCAGTGGTTTGGCGCGTTAACACCAGATAGCTGTCCGGCACCTTGCGGCAGCAGAAGTGCCATTCTTGAGGAAAGGGGCAAGTTCACTTAGGGCTTCTGTGCCAGTTATAAAGTGGAAGTGTGCGATGTCATCCTAGGGTTTGGATTTTACTGAGGATGGAGTTAGACTAAAATGGATTACAAAGAAGGGAGGAGGTTTGCAAATTTGCAGCTTTGGCTCAGCCGAAAAATAGGAAAGCAGTCGAACTCAGTATCGCACAAAAATCCTCAAAATTCCCAAAACTATAAAACAAAACAATGCACACTTAGAAGTACAAAAATCCCCAAAACATGCACAGTTTAGAATTAATACTCTGATCATAAAATTATACCCAAGCCGATAGAATTGATATTTTAGAATTACAAGGACATAGTTTTTAAAAACCTGTTAGCAAACTTAAAAATAATAATGAAACATGAATTAAGAAAAAATACAAATGGCTTAAGTGGAACCTAGAAAACAGTGCAGACTAAGACAAATGGGAAAAAAAATCCTCAAAAATCAGATTTCTAAATCTATCCTCTGAGATAGTTAAAGAAAAAGATCAATCTGTCACCAGTAAAATCATTTCAGGTTATGTAAACAAGTTTTTATATTTTTTGAGGAGATGCAACAAAATCTAAAAGAACAAAACATGCTCAGGGTAGCACAATTCATCCATTGCACGTGAGTAATTTATTTACACCCTTCATTGCCTTCCATTAAAATGTGCTGAAATCCTTTATTCCATGAGGAGCTGCTATAGTCTTTAATACCAGGAACTTTAATGTTGATTTAGTAGTAGTCTATATTTTCTCAATAAACAAAATTGGCTCCATGCAACATACAAAATTTACATGGAAATGTCAAGTAAGAGTAGATAGATTTATATTTCACCAAAAAATGTCATTATTAACAAAATCCCCTCCCCAATCCTATCGTTCATGTTTTGTTATTTTATTAATTTTCAACCATTTATAGTTAAAGCTTTAAAACAAATTTGAAAGAATAGTAGGATGAACATCCATCTGGCACGCATTATGAAATTTTACCTCAGTCTGCCTCCTCCAAGTAAGGATATTCCCTTGCAGAATCACAATACCATTATTATACCTGTGAAAATTACCAATTCCCTAATACCCAGTCTATTTTCAAATTTCCCTAGTTTTCTGGAAAAAAATTTTTGTAGCTAGTTTTATTTTAGTTTCCTTTCAAATTGAATGGAATATTTGTGCTAAGCCCCAACCCAATTCCCCCCAAAATAGTGTGTTATATTCACAATTTGCTAAAAGGCCACATGTACAATAATTATTACTTATTTTATCATTTAAAAGTGCTTAGCAAAACATTTTTATGTCGCCACCGTCACAAAGCAGAAAGTCCACTCACCTGATGTGCCGCAGAGCCAAATGCTGAAGGCAGACTTTTGCCCTGGGGAAGACAGAGCCATGGGTCGGCCAGCAGAATGAGGAGCTAGCATGGAAAACCTAAACTCCCCAGTGCTTTCTGATCAAGGGTTTTTAAAGGCAAAAATTGAGGGTTAGGGGTCAGGAGTCACCGCAAAGCTGATTGGTTGGTTCTTGTGCAAGCCTTAGTGATTTTATTCCGTCCCCTTCATGCAGTTCCTCACTGTGGAGGGAAAAATTGAACCACACGAACTGTCCCCTTGTCTGGTGCCTTCGGAACTGATCTCACTGTGAAGAACTGAGATTCCACAAAACTTCTTGTGGTTGTGAGTCAGTGACATCTTTAAATCGAAAAGCAGACACTAACCATGTTGTAACCTCTGCGCTTGTCAAAGCAGTCAATGTTTGATGCTCAACTAGCTACCTATTTCTATGATCTCAAGCAAAGTGGGCTTTTAAACATTTTCCCTGGAAGTTGCTATGGAGTCAGGCCTCTAGGACCTGACTTACACACTTAAAAAATAATACCAACACAAGGGAAAGTTTATTTAGAAAGTTACGGAGGCAGCGAGAATGAGCCTTAGAAGAAATAGGTACAGAAGCGAGTTCCAGAAGGGCCCTGGGAGGGCAGGCAAGAGCAGTCTGGGGTGACTGTCATCCAGCCGTCGGAGCAAAGATTCGAGCAGGTGCGTTCTGAGGGGAGAGGCAGAGAGACCGTGCAGAGGGAGAGAACGCTCTCTCTCACACTCAGTCTTTGCCTATAAGCTCCGTGACAACCAAATCAATGGACACGTTTCCTTAAAGCCAATACCTACATCTCCAGGAGACTCTACAATCTAACACGGAAACATGTTTGCTGCAGCTTGTCTCACCATCAGTGTCTGAGCACATCTCGGGATGCATTCGGAAATGTTAGTCAAGGGATCTTCCAATTAGTTATTGCACTGTGTCTAGAAACACAACGGAAGAAAGACCTGAAGACGGAACTTCATGTGGAAAACAGAACTTAACCCCTTAACAGGTTAAGGCTGGGAAGGGAAGCCATGCCATTGGTACACCTACCCCTTACTCACCACACATCTGCGAAATCTGCAGAGATTGGGGGAACACAAAAAAATGTGTATTAATGTTGTAAAGAATTCTAAAGACCTCTAGGAAAATTAACATAAGGTTAGAAGAAATGATACACTTTGATACCTGAGAGTAATCAAGTTAATGAGAGTCCTGTGATCCCTGGATTAAGCGCATATTCTTTCTCTTCTTCCCTCTCGTGAATGGCAGCTTAGGGTTTCTCTTGTCCAAAACCAGGTAGAGAAATTCTGGGAAATGTGGAGGGGAAAATTGAACCACAAATAACTTACACAGAAATATGTTTTATTTCTAGTCACGTAAAAAAAGTATAATATGATGAAACCTAATGAAGGAAACATCTGCTCAAAACTGTTCCAAGCGAGTGACCCATTCCTTACACCAATTATTAGAAGGTCCAGTCAGGGAGAACATGAAATACTTAACACACAAGGATAAACTATGATTCAAATGGGCCAATATTCAGTGATATGCAAGGAGACAAGTTTTATGTCTGTACCAGGCAATTAGATCCAGAGCAAGACACCAGGGTTACCTGGTTAGGGAAAGTTAAATATCAAGACTTACTAATTCAAAGAACTGGAGACAGGAGGGGTTGGCTATGAAGAAGTGAAAATAACTCTTAAGGACAGGTCCTGCCCGAGACCGGAGGAGGTCTTGGAGACCTTCCAGACCATCCTGGGAGGTGTGGGTGCAGAGGGCTGAGTAGTCGGTGCGGGGCTCACACCCAGAGAACCTGCTGGATGCCCCGCCTCAACTGCAGATGAAGGCAGCCAGAGACCTGCAGTCCGGAGGCCCGGGGAAGTGAGTGCGAGGACAGGGAGCCACTTGGGTTCGCCTTGGGAGTGGGCTTAGGCAGGGAGGAAGTTCAGTGACAGAGTGCTGGGTGCACCCACATGAGATGCTAGAGAGAAAATGGGGGTTCAGCTGAGGTTCAGAGAGACCCATCACCGAGGCACAAGAGCGATCGGGCCCGAATGGCGTGTGACAAGTGCCCAGGACCCTGGGGAGTACGTGGTGACAGCTGTCGGGCATGGACAGAAGGACACAGGAAGTGCATGTGTCAGCACGGAGGACAGGGACATTTCTGTCATTATCTGTTTGCTGTGAGCAGGCTCAGGAGGGACTCAGAGGTGAGGACACACACGAGCAAGCATGGCCCTTCCGAAATGCTCTGTGACACAAAGGACCAGAATCACGAAGTGTTGAAGTGCCTGTCGATCGTCACAGAAGACTCAGGGCTTTGGGCAAACAAACAGCTGTAGCCAGAAAGCCTCGGCGGTCCCTCGTGGTGATTGACCTGGACTGCTCTCCATGGAGAGCGCAGTCTATTCAACAGGAGGGGCCTGAGGACGGGACACGGTGTACCCTTCCCTGACCAAGAGCACACTGTCCCCGAGAGACCCCACAGGCAGCAGGGCAAATGCCCCATCTGTCAGACTCCCACAGAGGGGACCTGAGGCCGAGGAGGGACATGGACGGGCAGGGAGGAGGTAAATGACCCCTTCTGGGCCTGAAGCATGAGGAAGATTGAATGAGCTGCATCTACCTATTAATGAAACACAAAAGTGAAGTTAAAGTTAAACCACTGAGCCAACAAAGTCTACCCATTTCGCAACATCAAGGCTAAAGGTTTGGGGCAATCACTTGCCCCTGGGGATTTAAAAATTTAGGGAGCTCAGAGGCGTGTGTGGGAGGAATGAGGACTCTGCGCTCTGCCTCCCAGGTCAGCCTTCCTCCCTTCTCGCCCTGCGTCTGCCGGCCGGGAAGGGCTCTCTCCCCCACAGACAGTGGCCTGATTTGCTGCTCGCGCAGAGACCGTGGGGGTGGGGAAGGGAACTCCTTTTTTCCGAGATACTTCTGGAAAGCCAGAGTGGATGTCACCTTTTCCTAAAGGAGATAAGGGCCCAGAACTCCCGGGAACAAAACTCGAGGGAGTCGGGCCCCCCGAGAGGAGAGCAGCAGAGTGTTGGAGTTGCCCTAGGCAGCCGCAGGCAAAGCAGCCTTTGCCAACTCTCCTTTCTAGGGTGAGTGTCCCCCAAACACTGGAACAAGACGAGGTGAGCTGCAGCCTGAGGTCCACGTAGTGGACCTGGTTTGGTGGGAGGCGTCGTCGGTAATTGTACTTGAAAACACCGACCGCATCTCGGCTGAACAGTGAAGGTGAAGCTGGTTCTGGCAGAGGAAGATTCCTGTCCTGGCTAAGAGGTCAGCACAGATCTGACCTTCCCACCTCCATGGCTCTGGGAAGTAATTAATGAGTGAAGAGTTTGGGGCAGAGGACTTTTAAAAAAAATTCTCACCCGAGGATACATATATATTTTTAATTGATTTTAGAGAGAGAAGAAGAGGAGAACATCGATGTGAGAGAGAATCATCAATCAGTTGCCTCTTATATGCACTTGGCCCAGGGATCGAACCCACAGCCTAGGTATGTGTCCTGACTGGGGATCGAACCTGAAGTCTTCTGGTCGACGGGACGACGCTCTAGTCAGCTGAGCCACGCGGCCAGAGCTGGGGCAGAGGACGGGTGTGGGGCAGTGAGAAATGTCCGGTGCTGGGATCGGGCAGAGGGGCACATGCGATGTGAGCAGTGAGTGGAGAAGTCGGTGCGTTTGTGCGGAGGGAAGGCGCACAGCCTGTCTTGGCCGTGAAGACGGACAGGAGGGGGACGTGGGAATGGCTGGCCCTATTTCTTTGATGGTTCCCCCTCCTTCACCTGGTCTGTAACAAAACGGGTAAGACGAACAGTGTTCAGATCTGGGTTCCTACCCGGGCCCTCCGTCCCAGGCAGCTACAGACTCACAGACGGCGTCCACTTGGCCATCTGCCCCTCTGGGTCCAATACGCATCTCACATCCAACGTGTCCAAAACGAAGTTCTTGTTCTCCTTCTGGAAGCCTTCTCTCCTCCCACTGGTTTTCTCTTGCCATCGAGAACCACCCCGTTCCCTCATCTGCTCAAGCTGTCAATCTAGAAAACCCCAATGACCCCCTGGCCACGTCCCCACATCCCCCTCATCAGCAGTTTTTCTTGGCTCTGTCTCCAAGGAGACCCCGAGTCTGGTGCTCTGCTCTGGGCCCAGTGCAGGCCCTGTCTTCTGCTCAGCTGGACACAGCAGCCTCTTCCTTGGTTTCCAGGTTCCTCATCTTGCCCATGACGAGCACACAGCACGTGCAGTCTGGGTAAATCACGTCCCCTTACCTGTCCTGGACCCTGCCTGGCTCGGCCCCTGACCGCCTCTGGGATGCCCCCCACCTCAGCCTGCACACTCGCTGCTCAGCTGTGTCCGCAGACACGGGCCAGTGCACCTTGAAGGCCCCTGCTCACAGCCACTTCCTCCTCGTCACCCACCCCCACCCCACAGCTGGGCCGAGACTTCCTCCCACAGCCAGGCCCAGTGGACATGATGCAATGGCCGCCCTCTGCGTGATGCCGGTTGACAGTCCTGCCCACCTCTCTTCTGATTTCCTTCACAGCAAATGCTGTCTCCCCTCCGTTTTTTTCTCTGGTGACCTTCCCGGAGGCTTCTCCAGAGGCTCCAGAACATGGGTGGCGGCAGCGGAGGGCGGAGGGAGGGCAACGCTGGTGTGGGTGGAGTAGTCCGGCGACGTGCCAGCCCTCTGGGGCCAGAAAACCGGCTTCTGCCCTCGTAAGGGGCAATTTAGTGAGAACTGAGTCCTTCAGCCATTGCTGGGGCTCTCTCTCTCCGCAGCTATGCATTTGAAGAGCTGTTTCCTGTACTTCCGTTAGCCTGTCTAGATAGTTAAAACACAGTTCTCTTCTGGATGCCATGTCAAGGGCGACGGTCACATTTTAGCATCTGGTCCCCAGTGTAGTCAGGTGAGGCAGGAACACACAGAAAGAGCTTCGCAGGCAGCCCAGGCCAGGCCTCTTCCTTTTAGAGAAGAAGGAACCAAAGCCCCTGGGGACATCTTCCAAGGCCACACAGTCGGCTAGGGACAGAGTCCTGGAGACCAACCAGGCCTCCTGAAGCCTAGGACCAGGCACTCTTCTTACCCAACATTTTCTCCACACTCTTAGAAGGCCTGCAGCCGTGTGCCATGTGCTACGGGATTCTTCTCCTTGTCTGTACGTGCTTGCCCATTCTTTATTTCAGTAGGTAAATGCCAGACCCCAGAGGAAAGGGCCAGATGTCCCCCAAGGAAGAAGCCCCGGGCACCGGGGGCGATCGTTCCAGAGATGCCGATGTGCGCATGGTGTCTTCCACCAGCAAAGGTAAAACCACGCCCTGGTCGTGGATGGAACTGGGTGTGGGTCGCCTTGGCGCCCTCTCAGGGGTGTCCAACCTGAGGCCCACAATGACTGGGAGTGCAGCCCGTCACATGACAGTAAATTTACTTAAAACATTATGACATTGTTTTTGTGATTATATGTCACCAAGTATTTAATGTGTGGCCCAAGACAAGGCTGCTTCTTCCAGGGTGGGCCAGAGACACCAAAAGCCGGACACCCCACGGCATCTTCTTGTGACGGCCAATTGCCAAGAATTCTATATCGCTTTTGAGAATGTTTCCTGAGAATTATTTCACCTCTTGCAATAAACCTGGAAGTTATATGAAGCAGATGTGAAGACCTTATCTATGGCTGAAGGAAAAAGGTCACAGCAGACGCTACAGAAACTGTGGGATCCAGTCTTGGCTTCTCTGATTCTAAGTCATTAGTTTTCTCCAGGAGGTCAGCTTTTCGGAGATAATGCCTTTCAAAAGGACAACACGAACCAAGACAGAGCACTTTGTAAGGGCTGGCATTTTAGCCTGTGTGTCTGCTGGGAAGCGAGCAGGTCTTAAGGGAAGCGGGGTCCCCCTCCTCCTGTCCTCGCAGCAGAGCTGGGCCCCCTCGCATCCCACTCCGCACGTGGCAGTTAGCTGGTGACCGCCCGAGCTGCAGTGAACGTCCTCAGCTTCCTTGCCTGCGAACTGGAAAAGCCCGACCCCCGAGTCTCTAAGATCACATTTATTCCTAAATGTCCGGGAGTCTATTGGGCTCTACTGTTGGCCAAATTCTCCAATCTTAGCTCCCTCTCTCTCCAAAGAGCAATACAGAGCATTTCTGCACCCAAGTTTCCCACGAGACGTCACGCTATCGGAGTCTGCGGTCTCGACTCTGCCGGTTACGAGCAGTGTCACCTTAGGCAAGTGACTCACACTTTCTGAGCCTCAGTTTTGTTGTTCGGGGAAATGAAACGACAGTCCCAGTGGCAACGTCATGTGGTCTCCACGGGGACAAAATCAGTCCTGGTGTGTAAACCACTTAGGACAGTGCCTGGCACATGGTGTGCCCTGGACAGGCGCCAGCTGCCATTCTTGCCTCTCACCCTCTGTCCCCGCTCACAACAGCCCTTCAGCGAAGGTGCCACTGGCATCGTCACCATGTCACAGGAATGAGAGCTGGCACCGAGAGCCATTGGATAACTCGGACTGGCACAGGGGCTCAGGGCACGGATTCCGACAATGGCGGTGTGCCGGTCACCGTGATGTATGCTTCCAGCTGTCACCCACAGCGCTGCCCTTGTCTGGGGCCCAAGGACAACAGCACAGTTCCCCTGGGTCATGGGCACATACTGTCCGAGCCCAGACGACAGTGTCAAGATGAGGCTGAAAAACTTTTGTCCTCTCACCTCGCCTCCCTTTCAAGCCTCCTCTCCAGCCAGCCTCCGAATGTGCGCCGTCCCTGGTTACAAATGGCATGGAAAGCCATCCCAGTGGGGCCCATGGGAGCCGCATTCCACGTCTTCTCCGCCCCGTGCTCGGTCCGTGGATAATCCTCCACTGCTTCCGGCCGCTTCCCTCCCCCAACCCACCTCTTCCCGTCCCCACACGCACCAGCCCAGCCCACAGCCCTACCTGGAAAATACCTGCCTGGGCCCCCCCAACCCTTCCTGGCTCCCCATGCTTCAGTCTCCCCCTCAGCTCTGGCTCTGGGGGAGTCAAGGACCCTGCCTGCTGGGGCCACGGACGTCTGTCTCACTGTCCAGCGGCTTCGCAGGCGGACTGTAATCCCCTCTTCCAGGCTCAGGAAGTGGGCGGGGGAGAGAAGCTCCCTGATTTTAAGACCTTTTGTGTCTTCTCATCTCAGGCTTCTGTTCGGTCCGACACGGGCTAGCCCTCATCTTGCAATTTTGTAATTTCACCCTGTGTACCCAAAACATGAACTTGAGCATCGCCCTGCCCGCAATGGTGAACAGCTCCGTCCTGCCCTGCCCGGCCAACGGGTCTGACGCCCGAGACACCTGCAACGAAACCCTCCCGGGGTTCTGGGCAGCGGTGAGTGGTGACACGCGGGGCCCTCGCTGTGACTCAGGTGGCGTGGCCATGCAGGCTCTTGCTATGTGTCACAAGAACGTAATAAACAGCTCAGGGGATTGTCCCCCTCTTGTGGTGTCTGTGAGTGTGACCGGGGACTGAGCCAGAATGAAGGAAACAGCACATGTCTACAGACAGGCATTCGTGACCCAGAATATGTTTAACAGCGCGATGCCTACTTTCCCTTTCCTCCTCCACTTACTCATGAATTCGCCTACGGTGCTTTCTTCCTCTAAGGTTCGCCTACATTTTAATCAGTCCGTTCATTGTGTGACTGGGGAACTGATAGGTTGGGGGAATTGCATAGAGAGCAAAAGAGAAGAGAAGGGGCTTTTTTTTTTTTTGGCCTCAAGTCCTCACAATAAAAATCGTCAACTCCCTAGTCAAAGACCAACAGTGGCGGTCTCTCTGTCGCCTAGGATCCTGTGTATGACTGGAGTCCTGACCTTCAGGGGGTCATCCTCAGTGCCCTCAACTGCGGCTCGTTCTTGGCTTCGATCCCCTGTGGCTACGTGGCTGGACTCTTTGCAGCCAAGCAGTTGATCGGGGCCAGCCTCTGTGTTTCCTCCGTCGTGAACCTCCTGATCCCACACGCAGCCGACGCCGGAGCGGCCTTGCTCATCGTGCTCCGGGTTGTCCAAGGCGTGGCCCAGGTACCAAGGTGTTTGCTAAGTGTGAGCGCGGTTCGGCCCTGAAATGCCTCAGAGAGCCGAGAGAGGGCCTCCTCCTTTCCAGATCATCGTCATGACGAGTCAGTATGAGATCTGGCTGAAGTGGGCTCCCCCGCTGGAAAGGAATCAGCTCATCATCTTCAGTATCTCAGGTAATCGATGCCACGACCGTGCCCTTGTGCATGGTGGCCTGTCACCAGAAGCAGCACATACACCCCAGGCCTCTGCGCCCCTGCTCGAAAGCGCTGCCCTGAACTCTCCTCCTTGATCGTAACTGCCCGCTCACCGGGCAGCACGATTCTTGTGAGTGCTTTGCGTGGTTAATTTATCTTAAAGTTCGTAAGGCAAATGGAGACGCGGACAGACTAACGAGCTGCCCAGGGTCCCCAGCGAGTGAGGGAAGAGGCAGGACTGGCCCCGGAGAGTGTGGGTCACAGCCCGGAGCTGCCGTCTCAGTTCTGCAGCGCGGTCTGTCGGCAGGGCCCGCGGCTGACCAGGACCTTCTCCCGCTTGGTGCAGGCTCCGCACTGGGGGCCTGCTCTGTCGTCCTTGCCGGTGGCTTCCTCTGCGAGACCCTAGGGTGGCCTTCTGTCTTCTACGTCTCAGGTGAGTGTTCGCTTCCCACACCTCCGAACCGTGTGTCAGGGCAGAGAGGGCCAGACAGCATTTCGGTGCCACAAGCCACCCACCTGTGATGACCCGCGTCCTGACAGGGCTGGAGTTGACCAGGTGCAGAGCCGATGCGCTTTGAACGTCGCAACATGACGGCTGAGGCTCTCGGCCTGAGCAGTGACCTGGGGGCACGATCACCTGCCCGCCTGTGTCAAGTGGAACCCACGGCGGGCGCTGGGGGCATTTCTTTCCCGAGCTGTTGAAAAGGTTCCTGTGACGTGATTATCTTGTTAGATGCACTTATTTATTTAATGGAGTCTTTTGCATTTCTCTTATGAAATTGTGGGGGCGTGGCCTAATTGCAGGGAAAGTTCTGCGTGGAGCAGAGAGTGGAGGCTGTGGGAAGGAGCAGACCCATAAGGCCCAGGGCCGGACGCCCCACACAGACAGGCTCTGGAGGCCACACCCCCGCCCCTCATGGACGGGGTCCACCCAGTGGCTCTCAACTAACGACTGTGTCTGCTTGGCTCTGCAACGTCTCAGAAAGCCCAGCAGCGAACTGCCGGATTCCGGGGGCCTGCGTCCACTGCAGGTTTTCATCACTGGGTAGTGTGTGTAGATCGAGGGTCCTGGGGCCGTGCACGTGGACGGGTGACTAACTGCAGCCCCTCGGCCTCCGGAGGCTCCTTTACAGAAGCTGCTGCCGGGCCAGTCACAAACGTCATTCAGGCAGAGAGGCGGACTCACCGTGCATGCACTTTTGAGAAACGGTGAGCAGTTCATACGAGCTGCAAAGTCACTAAGTGTTGTGGAGTCCACGTGAATGTCCTCCCCACTTACGGTGCTGCTGTGCGGATTTTCCCACCCTGCCCTTCCTTCGAGATTTTAAGTTCCTCGGTGGCAAGATGGTGTGTTTGGATTCTGCTGTGCTCACAACCTGACAAAATGCCCGGCCCAAAGAGGAGCGTGTCCACGGCGGGCGAGTGAGCGTGTGGAGAGGCCCCGGGGCCCGAGAGTCTGACAGAGACTCTGTCCGATGCGTCCTGTGCCCACCGCCCACTGCTGAGGTTTCGCTGTCTGACTTGGTAATGGAGCGCGTGTGGGAGAAGCTCTCCGGGCTGAGGACGCTCCTCCGTGTCCGCGTGCTGTCTGGGCGGTCAGGCTGCGGCCGGCTCTCCGGTGCAGGAGATGGACGTGGGACAGACAGACATCACTGCAGCGGTGGGAGGCGCTTGGCAGAAGCCTGCCCAGCACGGGGCATGCCGACTGGCACTTGGACCTCGAGGGCACTTTGGAGCACACGGGGCAAACACACTAGGCTCTGAAATTCCCCCACGTCATTGGCCAAAGCAAGTGATGTGCCCAATGTCAAAGTCAAGTGGTGGGCATGTGCCCTCCACCCACGGCCAGGCCACACAGGGTGCAGCCACAGGAAGGGGTCGGGGGGGCCAGGCTCCTGTCGACCATTGGGACTGTCTCAGATCTGAGTCCGGTGCCACCGGGACCTCTTGCAGGTGGGATCGGCTGCGCCTGTGTGTGTCTCTGGTTCCCTCTGGTGTACGATGACCCTGAGTACCACCCGTTCATCAGCGCCCGTGAGAGGGACTACATCGTGTGCTCACTGGCTCTGCAGGTGCCTCGCTGCCCGCTGCGCCGCTGCCCTGCGTTTGTGTGGGCGTCTGGGAGGGAAGGTGTCTCCAGCGGGGACGCTGGTGTCTGCTCTGCTGTTGTTTTTTAGGACCGGGTGCCCTATCGGTCTCTTCCCATGAAGGCGATGCTGAAGTCCCTGCCTCTCTGGAGCATTCTGGTGTCTCACTTCAGCGTGTGGTGGTACATCTCTGTCATAACGGCGTACTTACCCACGTACCTCCACTCTGTGCTCGCAGTCAGCCTCAGTGATGTAAGTGGAAAGAGCTCACCTGTTCTCTCCAAAGGCTTCATTACATAAGTTTTCAGAGGAAGAAGGGAGGGAGAAGGAGAGGGAGAGAAGCAGTGATCGGTGGCCTCTCATACGCACCCTGACCAGGGACCCAACCCATGACCCAGGCGTGTGCCCTGACCGGGAACCGAATTGGTGACTTTTGGCTTTGTAGCACCCACACTGGCCCGGGCTCCTCTCTCTTCTTGTTACCACATCAGGGCATTAGGACCAGAACTTTCAAGTGCAGAAGGCAACCAGGTTTGCGTGAATTCTGATTCATGTCCGTGTGGCCTCCTGGGCACTGGGGTGGGTGGTTCCAGGCCAGCTGGACATTCAGAGGATGTCACAGATTCTTGAGGGACCTGTGAAAGCATTCTGCATTGAACTCCATCAGCATTTGCAAATGGGACACTCTGCTGGTAGCACAAAGGACAGAGTCCTAATGGGACACCACAGACACACTGAAAAGGAGTGTGTGTCGTCCCCTACAGGACTGACAGCAAGGACACATGGGGAGCACTCTTTCAAAACCCCTGGGTTCCAGTCTGATACAGAGAGAGGGGGGCGCAGAGATTGGCCGGCCCTCGGCTTCCACACAAATCACACGGTCTCTGTGACTGGCTGGCGGGCGCCTTTCGGCTCTGAGCAGATAGACATCTTAAAAGTGGCAGAGACAACACCAGTGACAGTTCACTGGTCATTGCCACATTCTCACCTTTGTATTCAAATAGCAGTATTCTCATATTGACCGGCCTTCCCTGGTGACAGCCCACCAGCCAGACCAGACGATGACCTCAGCAGAGGTCAGAGTCTGTGACACATGCAGGCAAAGGTAGCAGGCACAGGACTGGGACTGGAAGGCCCAGGGCTAGGTGGCCAGGTGCCTTCCCAAGGAGGGGGGGGGCCAGGAGTAGGCTGCAGGCCTGGGCATCAGAACGCGTGCGGGGTGAAGCTGGGTGGGCTCCCCTCGACCCAGAGGCCACACAAGGAGGAGGCGACCGGAGAGTGATCTGAGAGACAAGTTGACATCGTTGTCCCAAGCTCAGGAAGCCCAGACCCAGGTCCCCTGAGTTCAGTGTGCTTCCTCATGATGACCCATCCCCAGGATGGATGGGGTCTTCTCCCCGGTAAAGTGAACAGCGTGGCCCAGGGGCAGTTAGATCCTTCCCACTGTCTCCTTTTCTTTAATTCAGAGGTTGGCTCCAGAAGGACAGAACTCAGCACTTTAAAACACTATACAAAAGAAAAGAGTGAAGACTTCCTCTGGTTCCTGTCCCCCAGCCCGCTCCTCAGAGAGAGTGCTCTTTTTATTAAATTCCCATACTTGCACCCACACAAGGGTGTGCTTTTATTTTCCCAACTTTTGTTTCTTTACACAAAAGATGACATATATGTGCAGCTGTTCTTTACGTACTAGACCGCGGGGCGCTCCCACGCCAGTGAGCAGCGGAACCGTCGCTGGGCGAGCGGGGGCTGTTTCCGCCAGCTTTGTCCCTCGTTTGTGCAACTATTTCTGCCTGCACGTCACAGTCACACGGTGCACGTGCCTGACCCCGCCCAGACCTCGTGGACAGGCCGGGTCTCGCCCACCGACCCTGGATGTTTCAGAACCACTGGGCTCCCCTCTCGTCTCTGCGCAGGGCCGTGTTTTCCTGCCGGGCGGTCTTTCAGGCACCCGGTTCTGGGCCATGTGTGTGTCTGGAGGGAGAAGCAGTCGTTCTTGGTCTCTCTCCCAAACAACCACATGCACTCAGAAGTCCTATTGGCCCATCCTGTGGGTGGAGTTTGCATTATGGGCGAGTGGCAATAAGGAAAGGTGGGGTGTGGCCGCCCCCCCCCCCCCCAGTGCCACATGGGGGAGGGGACATGCCTCACCTCCTCTCTGGTCCTCAGAGCGGGTTCCTGTCGGCCCTGATGTTGGGCGCCATCTTTGTCTGCACCATCCTCGGAGGCCTGCTGGCCGACGTCCTGTTCTCCAGAAAGGTCCTCTCCCTTCTTGTCATCAGGAGGCTGTTCACCGCCATCGGTGAGGACCGGTGTGGGTGCCTGGGTGGGGAGGAAGCTCGGGCAGCCCCTCACTTTTGCCTGTCTCCCTGCCCAGGGGTCCTCTTCTCAAGCCTCTTCTCTGTGTCCCTGTCCTGGGTCAGCGACAGCTTCAGCATCTCCATCGCTTTCCTGGTGCTGAGTTTAGCCGCCAGCAGCTTCTGCCAAGTAGGATCCCTCGTCAACTTCATGGACATTGCTCCTCGGTAAGGACCCCTTTGCCTCGGCATCACTCACAGAAGCTCAGTCCGGGTCCAGCGTCCCTGGACCTGCTCTGACCACGGGTCGCACTGTGAGCGACAGGTGGACTGGGTCCCAGGAAGTGTTGGTACCACCTTACTTCCACCTGACTCCTGCAAGGGCCCAAAGCTTGTCAGCTGTTGAAGATGCAGCTCTTCCAGGCAAAGGAGGTGGCAGGTGCCATGTGGCCGCGCCTCTCTGCTGGGACGCAGCAGTCCCCAGGGTGGGTCACTGCCGGGACCACCATCAGTCCGCAGGGTGCGCTCCTGTGGGTTCAGCAGGAGGAAGGGCTGCGTGTGGCATGAGCACCATTCAGCCCTGGTGCAGGTCAGCATCAGAGGCGACCGCGACTCCCCATGTGGCCCGGGGGTCTCTCCCAGTCCACGGGGCACACTCCTTCCTCAAACATCGAACCCGTCAGACATGCGGGAGGCACCTCATCTCCAGGGAGCCAACATGTCATCCAAAGAGGGATCCTGTACCCCCCCAAAAAAGCTGCCAGGTCAGACGTCACAGCAGAAGCTGAGAGAACATGCAAAGTAGTTCAAACCATCCGTGGACATACGTCGTCTAAATGGCACTATTTAGAACAGGTCACCTCTTTGGGGTCTCGGACCCTCGCAGGGGTGACAGCAACCACCTGCTAGTCCATGTCACTTAGGTGTGACAAAGCATCAGGGCAAGTCCACGCCACCTGGAGACAGGCAGAGGACTTCGACAAGTCAGCTGAGGGGAACCCGTGCCCCCCTCTCTCCCTCTCTCTCTCACAGGTACTCTGGTTTTCTCAAGGGGTTGTCACTGGTCTTTACGAATCTATCAGGAGTCATCGCCCCCACCGTTTCTGGATTTTTCATCAGCCAGGTGAGCAGACACTCCGATGAGAGTATCCCTAAGGCGGACTCCAGAGGGCGCCAGGCAGGAGCTAGAGCAGGGGGCTCGCTCTATGAGGCTCAGCCTGGTGCTCAGAAGCCCAGGACTGCCACGCCCGTCCGGGGTGTGGCATGAGGGAGAATGCCGGATCTTCCGAGTTCTGGAGCCCCAGCACACACCCCTCGTGGAGAGGCCAACTGCTGTGGTTGGCTTGGGCACGAGGCGATTTCCCGACACCTGGAAGGTTCCCAGGAACCCGGAGAGAGGCGGTCGTCTTGTGTAGGAGACCAACGAACGCACGCAGAGCACGTGAGCTAGAGGCTGAGCGAAGGCAGAGGGAAGGGCCACTGTGTCCCTGCAGAAACCCCTGGACCAGCCTCCCTTACACACTATATTCACACCTGAACAGCCTCCCACCCTGGCAGACACATTTAAAGCCGTCAGAGCCAATTCATCCGACACCTTAGAACTTCCTCAGACTGCAGGTGGCGAAAGGATGTTCCCATTCTTCAAGGTCTCCCTCTTCCTCATGAAGAGGGAGACTGACAAGGAGCGGTATTCTTTGGACATCACGTCCTTTGTCATTTGAAGCTTCAGTTCCCTTTCCACCCCTAAGGAACAGGTTGTCAGGGAATGGTTGTTTAAAAGGGAAATTCTCAAGCTGACCTTGTCTCCCTGGTCATTCATTCATTCATTCATTCTGCAAACATGCATCAATGAATGTATGTAAATCTAACAAAACTTCCCGCCCTTCAAAGCCTGGTTGTACAAAAGAAACCGATAGAACAGGAGTGAAATTCGTCATGTGGATGGTACAGTGAAGGGCAGTAACTGTTAGAAGAATAAAGCAGGAGAAGGAACTAAGTCCCACAAGAGGGGTGGAATTCCCATTTTAAATCGGGTGGTCCAGGAAGGATGCCGTGAGACCCCCAGCAGAGGGGACAGCCAGCACACTGCACCTACCTGCCTGTCTCAGGGACAACCTGGATGCCTGGCCTGGAATGGCCTGGAATGGAGCTGGGGTGGTGGCCGGACGACATGTACCTGCCATGGCCTTTCTGAACTGGGAGGGACAGGCACTTGAAGGCTGTCAGTGATCTATAGTTTCCTGTCTTCAGGATACAGAATCTGGCTGGAGAAATATCTTCTTGCTGTCAGCTGCCATCAACCTCCCCGGGCTGGTCTTCTTCCTCGTCCTCAGCCGAGCAGACGAGCAGGAGTGGGCTAAAGACCAGATGCTCACCCGCCTGTGAGCTAATGGGAGATGCCTGAGGACCTTGGGCTGGCAGACACTCCCCTAGTGAGCAAAGTTTATCATCCGAAAAGCACAAAATACTGTTAAAAGAAATTAAAGAAGATTTAAGTGAGTGGAAAAGCATCTCGTGCACTGATTGGGAGGTTTAACACTCATCAAACGGCAGGAACCCTGTAAATGGCCCACAGAGTTAACCCACCTCTGCCAGCATTGCAGCCAAATTGCTGTTAAGTCCTAGGTAAAGGAGACAGGTTGTTTAATATTTAGAAAACAAAAAGAACTAGCGAGGTTTCAAATAACAAAGTCATGAAATTATAATCACCTTCCTCAGTTTATTCAGCCCCATGGAATTAATTCTCGTTGATCTTGATCTCTGTGAGGAGTTACAGGATGCTGTCCATTTTCCTGTGAAGTTGCTATAAATTCTCACCCAGTTCAGTAGTATAAGGGGGAAGTTATGAGAAACGTGTATTCTAGAATACTCAGAGTCATTTCCACGAATTGATCTGGAGATGAAACACTTTTGCAGGAACACTGAACACAAAACTTCAACTGAATAAAGGACAAAACTTAAAAATAGCCATGATTCAGATCGCATGACAATTTCTTACCATTCACAAGGAAATCTGCTTAGTTCTAGGACACATCACATTTTGAGGCAATTGGCATTATAACTGATAACATATCAGGACATATCAGAATTTTAAGAATTTTATACAATTTCTAGGACACATAATATGTACCCATACAGACACAATATAAAGAAGGCTTAGAATTACTCATTTTTTCCCAATGCTTCTCATACAATGTAACCTTTAAATAAGCCGAATTAATACAATATTTCTCTTTTTATAAGGAGCAAGAACAACTCCTTTGAGATATTTCAGAGACTGGAAAACAGCAGAGAGGTTATAAAACACTTCATCCAATAGGATTGTCGGCCATTGTGCGACAGTACTTCTACATGCAATCAAAGTAAGAACAATTTCACAGGCAAAACCACAAAATTATACAGTTGTGAGCAAAACCACAGATCTGATAAACACAGAAAATTACCTTGGCAAAAGGTAGAATTCTTGGTGTGTTTTTTTGGGGCGGGTTACTTTAAGGCAAAAAAAAAAAAGTATAATCTTCCATCAAGAGCACACTGCCAGTCCAAGAAAACTCTGTCCTTCCAGTGACGGAAAACAAGTGCCGGTTCCACACAAGGACACTACTGATAGACAGTAAAACTTAACTTTAAAATGTATAACACAACAATTTAATTTTAGCCAGCGTGACCATACAAAGTAAAATGCTTTTTTCTTCTGTCGTTCCAACTGTGATTTAATTTGACCTCTTAAGGAAGAGAAAACCAGATTTTAGTTTTGTGCCAGCTTACTTTTGATATTGAAAACTCATTCATTTAATAAAATTGATTTTAATATTAGCCACCCCTGATGATACATAATTCCTTTCCAGAGATTCCATTTCCTCAAAGCTTCTACAACTTTCTTTCTGAGCAAAAGCACACCTCCATTTTTTGCACTTGTTTTTAAAACCCAAAACATACATGTAACAACTTTTAGCATACGGAGGAGCTGTCCAGGACAAGCCTGTTTTCTAACACCCTGACCTTTTATAATATCCACAAGCACTTGGAGAGGTATGGGCAAGGTGTGGGGATCGGTAGTGACAGGTGGGCTTCTGCTTGCTTCTGCAGTTGCCTCTGGGAGGCCAGGCGCACTCGCCTCTGGCCAGTCCCCATCCTGATTGTTGGGGGGAGAGTCTGGGAATGTACTGAGGGGACAGGAAGGACTGTGAGGAGGGGATTCATAGTGGGCTTTCGTTGTGAGTTTTTTCTGTTCCTCCATCTCGTTCGGGAGTCCCTAAGGCTAGCCAGAATATATAAATCATTTCTTAAAAGATTGGATTTGTTTGAGAGAGAAGGGAAGGAAAGGAGAGAGTAAAAGAAACATCCTTGTGTGGTTGCCTCTCGTGTACCCTGAACTGGGGACCTTGCCTGCAACCCAGGCATGTGCCGTGACTGGGAGTTGAGCTGGGGATCCTTTAGTTCCCAGCCAGGCACTCAATTCAATGAGCCACACCAACCAGGGCTAGCCATTATATTTTTTGTATCCATTTAAAATTTTTTTTTGTTGTTTTTTCTATAGGTACTGACAAAACAATTCTTTAGGAAGTCTTTCTAATTCAAAAGTCCCATCATTTGGCCATTGACTGGCCATTGTCACTCAGTGTTCACAACACACCAGACTGAAAGCAAGGCCAAGGAAAACTGTTCCGGAGCCACTGTGCTCCCTGTGTGGGCATCTCATGAGTGGCCTGACATGCAGCCTGGGGTTTGAAAAGCACATTTAAAGGTAGAAACTGCAACCAGGAAAACAGAAAGGAGAATTGAACAAATTCTAGCCCCTTTATTGTGACCCCTGAAAAAATAGAGATCTACTAAGAGCTCTTGCTGGGTGATGAAGATCAAACTAAAAAACAAACCACAAATCAGCCTAGCAGCCACTTCTACACAGGAGCTCTCTCACAGAAGTAAGAGGAAGGCGTGGCTGAATTGCACGTTGACATTTCTGCCATCCAAACCAGCTTTTATAAAGGAATTTCTGGGATCCTAATTTAACCAATAGGACTGAGGCTTTCCCTCAAACTGTGCTGTTCTGACCAGTGAGAATGGCTCTGTTCCAACCAATCAGGACAGCCTTTCAGACCAATGAAACTTTAGGAATTTGGTACCCTCATTTGCATGAATGCAGACCAATCAGGGACCAGGGGTGGGAACTTGTGTCCATATAAGCCAACTCCCCGGTGGCTCACCGCTGTAACTTGTTTTGTTGAGTGAACGTGGTGTTGTGGTTTAATTGAAGTGTTGATCGTGCCCCGCATGCGCAGTGTAGGCCAAGCTTGGCAGGCAGAGGGTAAGATTGATTTCCAGTTTTTTTTGTTATGTTGTGCTGGGTCGCAGTTGAGGACATTTCCAGTGTGTCATTTTGTTCATCACGTGTCGTTAGGCGTTAGTGTCGCCATCGAGTTAGTGACTAAAAAGGTTAAAGTTACTTAATTTTATTTTCTTTGTAGAGATTCATCGGTGCTTAGTAGCTTTCTTTTTAGTGTTTTCTGCATACACCTTGTTATGCTGATAAATGGTCTAGAGCAACTTTCCCTAGTGAGTCAGTAGCCTTTTATGTGGTCATGGGGGCTCATGAGGTGCAGCACCCACAGTGGGAGCAGAGTCTTCCACAGATGGAGTGCATGGCATCCTCTTGGTTTCCAGGCAGGTGCTGGGAGGGTCCGGGCCAAATAGAGTTTGCATCTAAAATGGAGGTTTGGATTCTGGAAAAAAGGTTTAATAGAACCAGCCCAACCCAGCACTGTGCTTCTTGTGAATCATGTATAAAGAAAGGAGTGACTAGACATCCCAAGAAACATTGTTGCCATCTGATCCATGTTGAGCATTTAAGGGCCCTGGGGAGGTTTTTTTCTCCTACAAAATTTGGGGGTGCACAAGCAAGGTCATGAGCATTTTGGTTAATCAGTCATTAACTTTTATTCTGACTCGTTCGAGTTACAGGTCAAAATGAAAATTGGAACAACCCTGGGATTGTGGATCTGTGTTAGTAAAGTTATCAGCACCAGGAAGACTTGTTAGTTTTCAACGGCGGCTTTGACATAAGATGTGACTTTATGTGACCAGTGGCATGGGTTGGTGGGAGGGGCCAGAGAAGTGCCCCGCTCGAGGTGCGGGGTTTTGACTCTTGCTGAGAGTACAGTTAGGAATGTAGAGCTGACAGAAACTGGGTGTATCAATGAGTCACCAAAATCCTGGCCAGTACGAGGCTTAGGGCTGCTCATGCAACATGTTTGATTTCCAGCACTTGCAAGAGACTATAAAATTTTCATTAAAGAATTATCTTTCATGCCTAGGTACAGGCATCAGTATGTATATGTATAAATTACTTCTTTTAGATGACAACACCCAGTGACTTAAAAAAGCGATCTACAATGCAAGGGAGTGGTCAGTGTGGCGCCATCAGAGTGACCAGTAGTCCTGGGACTAGATCACAGTGACAGACAGGTATGAAGCAGAAGGCTTGTGCATGGGACTGGTCAGTATTTGAGGTGGGTCAGTGGCCAGGCTGGATGCGTGGGTGGGGACAGGCTACTTGGAGATGTCAGCAGCTCCCCTTCCCGGCCACACAGAGCAGGAAGCTGGGGACAGGTGTGCTGGGCCACGCAGGTGGATGGGTCCTGTCTCAGTGGGAAGCCTGCCTCCTGTAGCCAGTCCCCTTGAGTGACTGCACAGGGACTCTCAAGAGGTGCGGGGGAAGCGCCTTTCCAGGTGACCTTTCCAGCAGAGGGTCTTCAGGTGGATCATGTGAGGTGCAGGGCCCCTCCTGTCAAGAGCAAAAAATCATAACCTAGAAAAGACTGATCATCTCATAAGTCAAAATTTCCAATTAAGATATACTTGTCAAAACCCTGTAAAAATTGTAACATGACATCAGAATATTCAATAACTGCCTGAAGATAGGCAAAAATCCAGAAATGACAATGGTAGGGAACTTCAGTCTAACTCAGTGTGGAATAAGTCAAAGAGAAAGCGATACAATTTGGAGGATCTGAATGAACTAACATGATGGTTACCATAGCTGCTCCCGACTCTGTACTTGGAAATGGAGGGTGTGATTCTGTGCAAGCCTCTTCTGCGCCTGCCGATCAGGTTGACTGCAGGCATTTCTCTACAGAAGTATCTGTAGAAACTCCCCGATCTTTCAACTGCTGGCTGTAGGCTGTTCCCTCGCACAAAGGTTGGTAATGAAGATCAGGATGAGTTTAATTCCAGATGCCGACCTTGCCATTCCAGATGCGATTCCCAGTCTGCAGCCTTGACTATGAAGGCATCTCGGTGAACTGTGCAGTGCGCTGCTGCGGAAATTCTCAGTGCTGGCAATACTGAGCCGACTTATTTTTTAATGATGTTATCAAATCTCTCTCCCACCAAGAGTTGTGTAATTTCTTTTCCTACATTGGCTAACTGGTTAATTGTTTAACCAGTTATTAAAAGTTATTTCCGTATTAATAGGTTCATCGAGAAACTTAGGGGTTAGTCGGGAAATTCTCTGCCTGAATTCGTGGTTTGTATAACTTTCCAGTCTTTGCGATGTGAACGGCCATCGAGGCCCAGCACCCAGCCCTGAATTCACTGGGGTTTGCAAAAGATGGGTATTTACATCATTCAGTTCTTACTCACGTGTCAGCCGAAATAATTCCACAGAGACATTTTTCCTCGAGCTCACCCCCAGTGAAGTCCAGGGAAGCCAGAAAGGCACAGTAACAGAAGCGCTTTGGAACCTGAGCGGACCCTTTACGTGGGTCCTCCATGTGAAAACCGTTCCAGTCGGAGTCCACTTGAAGGCACCTCTTGCCAAGTCGGGTGGTAGGTCCTCACACCTTCCAGAGTTCGACCCCTTGGGAGCATTTGCCAGCGGTCTTCATTCCCGCCCTTTCCACTTCTCCGAGCCACCGCCTCCTCCAGCGGCTCCCCACCTCATCGGAGGCCCCCCCCACCTCCCTTGCAGACCCTTCTCTTTCTCACCTTCCAGTGGTCGGAAGCTGAGGCTCCCACGTTTCTGCCGCAAGCCCCAAGATCTCCCCAGCACTCCGGAGCAGGGCACCTCCATTAGGATGTGAAACGCTTTCAGGCTCCGTATGGTCCCCCCCTTCTCCCCGAAACTGGGCCCCGCTGCTCCCCACTGGCTAGTGACGCCACCAGCGGCCCAGGGGAGGAGCCTCTACCCTGTCACTGCTGCGTACCCGGTTTCAAAGTCTGTCCCTGACCCTGCCGCTCCTCACCTTCAGAGGCGAATTTGCTGCAGTTCCTTAGCCCAGTCCTGAACGTCCACCTTCATGAACACGAGGTAGAAAATCAAGCTGGTCACGTTGAGGGCTGCCATCAGCAAGAATATTTTAAGCCAGGACGACTCTGGGTCCTGCGGGAAGAGCGTGAAAAGTGACGATAAAGGACGGGGCTTGTCATTGTGTTTGCAACACTTAAAACATTAAAATCAAAGCAGGTTTCAATGCAGGTTTCTTAACAAAGGGAAAACACATTAGGAAGAGCAAAGAAGCTCAGGGTTTTCACTTCAAAGAGGTGATCGCGGTCTGTCTCCCGGCTCAGGGAGCTGCGAGCGTGCTCACAAAACTTCCCTTGAGTGAAAATAACTTGATGGCTTGTGGCTTTCCACCTAGAAATTGATGAGCTGGGCAGGCGGCACACAGAGCGTTCTGTGCGTGGCAGCTCCTGGCTCCCTGATCCAGCCCTTCCCAGCCGTGTCTCATTTTCTGCAGCTTCAGAGAAGAGCCTTTTTGTATTTTTCCCACCTTTTAAAAATGGTCTGTATTGAGAGAATTGGCCTGTTACCTATGCCTTCACTAATGAAAGCAGGAACTATACCAATTCTCTTTTTCAGCTGTATTTCATCTGAAGTTTTAGTTTCAGTTTTATAATTGTCAGAGTTTTTTTTTTTTTTTTGGTCAAGTCTTATGGTTCTTATTTATGTTTCCAGACCTCTCTTCTTTAAACCTATGCAGATATTTCCAATGTCTCTGAGAGTCTGATTCTGTGATATTTTTGTTCTCACAATAGCCTATTTCTTTGACTGTTTTGTGATCTTTGATTAATTCATGTTCACTGATGCTTTTACGCATGAGGAAATGGCGGGGCATTTAGGGTGTGGACTATGTGACATTTGGTCCTTGGCTTCTGGTGTCTGCAACCAAGGGAGTTTGGCTTTGGGCCCCTGTGGACGTTGATTATTTCATATGTTCAGAGGGGCCTCTGCTCAGTGTCCCCGACCCTGTCGGGGTGGGGGACACACCTGCCTGCCACACCCAGGTGGGACAGACAGGCTTGCTGCCTGGGTGGAGGCAAGGGAGCACAGCCGACAAGGCTGGGGAGCCAGCCCAGCAGACCCGCATGATTCGGAGGGAGGACAGCTGGCAGGCTCCAGGCCCCTGGGCTCTCCTGTACGGAGGCTGCCCCTTGGAGCAGGAGCCCCGCAGTGACCGTGGTGACGTGCAGCCTCTCTGGCACCGTCAACACACAGGCACTGACATGGCCCCTCTCGGTGAGAGACTGGCCGTGGTAAACTCGAACTCTTCCCGGCCTGAGTCATGGGCGGGAACACGTGGAAGAAGTGCCTGCGCTTGGTTTTCTTCCAAATAAACTGAGTTCCTGCGTGAGCTGCACGTGAGGGCGAGACCCTCAGGGATCACAGACTGGCGCTAGCATGTCCACTGCGACCCCTGGCCCCTGAGTGGTTCTGGGGGTGTTCTCTCTTACCCTCTGGTCGTCCATTAACAACTGCAGCATTGCTCTCCTGGGATGGGCGCTTCCCACGACCGGGTGCTCCTTACCTGATTAAGGATGATTCCGGTCAGAGTGGAAGAAATTAGGCCTCCGATTATTCCAAAGAGAATTGTAATTCCTTTAACAAGTCCATAATATCTGTACAAAAAAAGAGTGACAATACACAAATGTCTTTTCAGTCTCATACTTCATTTGATTTAGGATGAGGTTTAAGAGATAACTTGGTTTTCTGAACTTCGCATTTCTAGATAAATTCCATTAAAATCGCAGGCAAGACTGGGGCTGCACCGAGGAGGCAGGGACGGCGGCCTCAGCAGAAAGTGATGTAATGGTACCGAGAACGTGGAGCTGGGTGGGAGAGGAAGCCGTCAGCGGTGGGGAGTCTGCAGACAGCTGAGAAATGCGGAAGGGGGGGGTGTTGGGAAGCGCTTCAGGGCGGACATAGAATTAAAGGACTCTGTTCAGCTGGCCTGCTCCCAGTCCCAGAGCTGCGGGTGGCTCCTGGGGTGGCTCCCGGGGAGACCAGAGGCCAGGCCGAAACCTTGGCAAGGAGCCCCCGGAGAGTGACAGATAACACAGGGGCCGGCCCCCAGCCACACAGTGAGGGGACGTACCCTTTGGGAGCAGAATCAGTGTCTGATCAAGAAACCGCCTCACTCAGTCAGGGACAGGGGTCTCTGCCCCCCGCCCCCGCCCCACAGAGGGCTGCAGGGAAGGTGCGTGTCATTTTCTTTATTATCTTATCTGCTGGGGTGTCCACCCTTCTGGAGTCACAACTGGAAGACAGACAACCTGCTGTCTCTGGGCCACACAGTAGATACACAAACACGAACAAAAAGTGATGAACAGAACGTTTTTGTTTGGGCTGCATTCATGGCCACCCTGGGCCACACGTGGCAGCGGACGGTGGGCCGGACGCCCCGGTCAGGCAGGACAACAGGAGCGCCCCTGCCTGCCCCCGCTTTTTTACTGATATTGGTCATTTTTCTCTTGATAAACCGTTTCATTAATTTTCAAAGAAAGTTAATAAAACCAACTTCTGGCATTGTGGATTTTACTTGTCATTTTTGCCTTAGTCTTTATAATTTCTTTCCTTTTACTTTCTTTGGGTTTCATTTGCTGCCTTTGCCCTAGTTACTTGAAGCACAAACACAGTTATTGATTTCAAGACTTAATCATCTCTCAACGTGTAAATATGTCTGGGTGATTTCAGTCATTTGAAATTAACTGGTGTTTATTAACATAAACGGCCAGCGTGCTGTCATCACAGCCTGTGGTGTCCGACCTGTTCTGCACGCCCCACCTCCTCCGTCACACCGGGTTTTTGCCTTTATTTCCATAGAGAGTAACTTACATTGGGAAGAATTAGTCTCTCTTATATTTCATGTTTTCCTGATACATTAGACTTAAAATGATCGTTATTCCAGTTTTTTGATCTACTCTATACTCCTTTTTAAATTAATTCTTCATTTCTAAAAAAAAATATTTCCTTTACTGTTCATCATCTTTCAGTATTTTCCCTAGAGATAGAAATATACATTTGTGATAATTATCTTAGTCTAGTATAATTTATTTTTTTAAATTTTCATAATGAAAGCACCTTAGAACACTTAAATTCTCATTATACCTTCTCTGCTCTGTGTTGCTGGGCCCTTTACTTACATCCCTTGTACACCCTAAAAGGTGCTGTTGTTTCGGGAATTGGGGAACCATTTGATTTGGTCTGGATTTTCCTGCTCCGAGCGTTTAGCTGTCCCTCGACCCGTGTTCCTCCCTGAGACCATTTCCCATCCGTAGGCTTTCCACGCGCTCAGCGGTTGCCGGTGGATTCCCAGTTTGCCTGCAGATGTTTTTCCGCTCCGTTAATTCTCGGAGGGAGACTTCTGGCAGAGATTTTGTTGGATGTAGCCCTCCCGTTGAACGGCGATCTATTTATTTGTTGTTGCCTGGGAGCGGCTGGCTCCCAGCTCTCCCTGTTCCTGCGGCGGCCCCTCCAGTGGCGTGTGCCCCCTGCGTGCGGCACTCCCCCCCACCGCTGTCACCCCCGCTCGTAGCAGCTTCCTTAGGAGAGCGGAGTGGTGGTGCTCTCTGCGCCCACCCTGTCGTGTGCTCTGTAACTGTGACGTCTTTGATGATGAGGTGCTCCCTCCAAGTCAGGAGTTGTCTGCGGTGGCTGCGGCCCGGGGTCTGGCCTGTTTGCGTGGAGAGACGGGCTCTCTCCCTCCCCAGTCAGAGAGGCCAACACCTGCCCTCGTGCCCAGGGTTGGACATGAGGGTCACGCTGGCTCCTCTGAAAACCACTAGCCTGGGAGAGACAAGGTGAGAGCCTTCCTGTCCCCCACCCCTCCCTCAGGACCCCGGGCAGCAGGTGTTTGACGTGGGGATATGGACAGCCCATACCCACGCAGGAGCATTTCCTGGGTGACGGTCGGCTCTAAAGCTGCTCACTGCCCGCCGCATCAGCCCGCGGGACCAGTGGCTGGAACGTACCCAGCCACCTAGGCAGCCCATCGGGTTTGCTGCTGTGACGTCATGGTGTGGCCCAGTTCAGCCGGACCTGAAGAAGGCTCTGCTGCTTGAACGACATTCAGTCCGGCTGGTAGGCCCGGAATTAGATGAAAGTAGCCAAGAGGAACAAGGAACTCGAGGCAGGCTCCAGTCTGACTCAGCAAGAAAGATAGAAAGTACAGAAAGTACAAAGAGTGCTGAACAAACAAGATAACTGCCTGTGCGTGACCTTGTCTTTGCAGAAAAGTATCCACTGCTGCAAGCAGAGAAGCATAGCCATGTGTATTCCCTCGAGATAGCCAATCGCTAACGGCTGCATCTGCTTCTGTATTTGCTTGCTTGCTCACCCCAATAAAAACCCCAGGCTGTAAGCGCCAGGCGCGACTCTCATTTGCAGCCCTCTGGGCACCGTGTCTCCGGACACCTCGAGAGTTCGCCCCTGCGCAGGTAAAGCTTTGGCCAATAAAGTTCCATCTTAAACTAAAAGTTTCCGACCATTTGTTGCTCGCGTTGTGTGGATGCTACACGGCGGAGCCAGAAACAATGAACAGTTGCTCAGATCTCCTTGGGAGCCTCCCTGTGAGACTGTGAGAGGGAGGCCAGGGGCTTCCGGCAGCATCACGAAGCCCCTTCCATACTCTGCTTTCCGGCTGCCACCTCCAGCCGCTCTGCCCCCAGACCTTCTCTCCCGCACTTGGTCCATTTCCCCAGCAGTGTCCTCAGCGAACCACACCGGCCGTCTCCTCCGCTCCCCTCCAGAGCTTCTCCCTGTCCTCTCCGCCCTATCAGACGGTGCCCTGCCCTCCTCTTCATTCTTCATCCTGACCCAGGCCACAGGTCCCCAGGAGGTGCGTTTAGCCAGTTTAGCCACTCACCCGACGGGGGATCCTCGTGATGGTCAAGGGAGGTGTGCAATCAGCCACGTTCTTGCTTAAGTAAGTTTTGTCTCCATCCATTAGTAAAAAGTAGCTTAACCAATACAAATGTGGGTTGTTGTGGTGTAACTAACACACACATGCCTTAGAGACTGAGGGTGCACTAGTTTAGGGGAATCGGAATTTTTTTCCAGACCTGTGTGAGCAAATGTGTTCCTGCCACCTCTGCAATGGCCTGGCTGTCGCGGAACCTGAGCCCTGGGAGCAATGCGTCTCCGGCCGGGTCCTGTGTTACCCGAGCCATTGCTGGCTGACAGTTCATGCCCCACTAGCCAGTGACACCAAGGAGGCCGGGTCTACAGCAGGCGGGCACGTCTCGGGGTGAGCCCTGGACCCGTTACTAACCAGGTGATGTTAGGTCAGTTCGCTTCCCTGCTCTCTCATGGGGCGAGACAAAAAATACTCCGTAAATGGTAGCTCCTTGTAACTTCCTTTATCTATTTGTGTCTACATTCTCAGTGTACCCGTGTTTAACAATGCGTATCACTCCGGTGGCTTGTGCCTTCTCTGTCAAATAATCCTTTTATGTCTTCATACAATTCCAAGTAACCAGAACACCTGCAGGCATTTTGGAGGAGGGTCTCGGAACTGAGTAAATCAGATACCTGGCCTGTTCCCCTGGCGCTCACCTTGAGTAGATCTGATAGCGAGATTATAGCATTGGGACAACGTGGATTATTCTCGGCTGACTTTGCCTCTCTACCCAGGGCCACGCCCTACCAAACTTGGGAGGATTCTACTCCTGTGGGATCTGTGTTCTCTCAGGCATGACAGTCCCATAAAGCAAATGTGTGCCATCCTCCCTGGGCTGGGCAGGTAGCAGGCTGCTTCCATTGGTCACCCTTATTAGAGCTAGAAAAAAAAAGGCGTAACTTTAAAAAAAGGGCAAAAGGCTGTTGCCAAACAGATCTGTATTAAAATCCTGGATGAGATCCCAAGTCAGCGGTGAGATCTTAGGCTGAAGGTCAGTTTCCTCAGTTGTGAGATAGGCTCCCAACCAATGGGAGGCACCGTGACCTGGAAACCTGCCTGTAGCCCCCGTAGGAGTGAAGTGGCCGACGCCGACACAGAGTCAGGACATGGGCGAGCTGGCCGCCACGAGCTGAGACTCAAAATCTTCCAACACCCCAGAGAGCTCGGGTACAACGAGGAAGGAGCTGTTTACGCCCTACCTGGGAGCGATGTCCAGGGGATTGATGAGCATGCCGGCCGTGCAGAAGCTGGGCGTGGCACTCGCGAGCATCAGGCAGGCGACAGTGCTGAGGTGGCTGGCGCCGGGGTGGAGCAGGCTCACAGAGAAGAGGGAGGGCAGGAGCAGGCCTGCGGGGGTCCGGGCTGGTCAGGGGCAGCCTGGGGCGGGGCGGGGCACCCCAAAGGGCTCGGCTAGGCGTGGCTGTGACTCACCCAGAGTGGTGAAGAGTTTCCGGATGGTGATCAAGCTGAGAATCTTCCTGGCCAGGAAGAAGTCCGCCAAGCACCCGGCCAGGTTCCCGAAGACCCAGCCCAGCAGGTAGGGCAGACCCGACAGCACTCCGTTCTGAGGGGGAAGCGGTGTGAGCAAGCGCCCCGCTCGGCGTCTGACCTGTGCGCCACGCGCAGGGGGCGTCAGCGGGCCACCCACTGTTGTGCTGGGGCCCAGCTCCCCAAGAGAAGAAGACAGTTCTGAGGTCAGAGGCCATCGACGCCATCTGTCTGTTTTTTATTTTTGGTGTCGTGGAACCCGACGATGCTGGGTGGGGCATCAGAGGAAGACTGCGCAGGCAGGGGACAGGCAGGGGACGGGAGCGTCCTCGGACCAGCGCCTGTCGAGCCTTACGACAACTGCACAGGCTCGCGGGAGATAAAACCGGGAGCAGGGCCTCACTGTGCTGCTGGCCCCAGGCTGGGCGGCTGCGGACTCACTACAGAAGCCCCTGAAACGCAAGTCCACACTCCGTTTCTGCCCGAGTTTGCTCCCTGGTTACTATGGCCTCAAACAACAGAAGAGTCTAGGCCTCCGTGACTCTCAGGCTAGACGATTATTGGGACTGCCAGTCCTTTCACAGCCAGACCTGAGTCCTGGCTTCACACCACAGGGAGGACTTGCCCCCCTGGGGAGAACTGGTGTGAGCTGGGCAGGGCGACGTTCAGGGAAGGGTCCCCGTCCACTTAGGGACGGATGCTGTTGAGGCTGAAGTGATACACAGGAGTGGGAGGTGGCGAATCTGTGGGAACAGGGCTGAGTGCAGCTGGAGACAGTGGTAAACACAGGGTCTCCAGGTAAAGCGCATCAGCGAGACCGGGCGGGGTGGGCGAGAGCTAGCACCGGAGTCACGAGAGACGGAGAAATGAGCAGACCATCGGGTGCAGAGGAGAGCGGCCGGGGTACCTACCTCCCTCGTATTGATGAGAAGCTTGGCTCTGAGGAATGTTGGCATGTACATAAACATGATAGTGTTTGTCCAGGAAAAAGCAAAACAACAGAGGGAAATGGCCCAGACAGGAAGGGACTTGATGATGGCCTTGGTGGGCACAGACTTCCCGCCCGAGCTGACCTGGAAAGGACCCGTCACTCACTCACACATCAGCGTGAGCCGGAGCCTGCGCCCCGGGGCCCCGACCCCAGGGTGTGTGGGGGACACTTGTGTTTTACCTGCACAATGGAGGACGTGATGAACTCCTTCTCGCTGAGGCTGATCCACGGGTGCTCTGCTGGGTCATCGTAAAACAGGAGGAACCAGAGCAGGCTGAGGGCGCAGCCACCAGCGCCTGTTGAAGCAGGACAAGGTAGAATCGGAATTGCTGTCTCTGTGGCCAGTCTTGGGCCCAAACTGGCGTTTTTCGTGATCGGTCTGAGAGCTGGGGCTTCCTTTCTTTTCTGGAAGGTCGCAGCAGGCCTCACACGGTGGAGAGTCTTGTGTATGCACAGCCGCTGCCTCTTCCCACAGGAAGATGTTTACTGGTGGGGGAGGGAGGGGACACCCTCTGGCCTCCCCTGACCTCCTCGCCCCTGTACCCCTCTGCTCATGACCATCAGGCCTCTGTAACCACTCCTGTCATGCCACAGTGAGGGGCACAGCTGAGCCCACACAGGGCTTGCCAGTCACCTGGCTTGAGAGCTGGGCTTTAGCCATGCTCCTAAGATGCAGGCCAGGCCTAAGGATGGTCCTATAAAGACTCTGCCAAACTATTGGTTGTTTCTGAGTTGTTTGACACTAATGAGCTGATTCTAGGCACCCCCCATTAGGATGGGGGGGGTGTAGTGTTCATCAGTCAGTCTTTGTGAAGTGAGTTTATTGATCAAATGCCCGTGAGGTAGCGGGCGTGGTTCTAGGTGCTGGGGACGCCACAGTGACGGGAACACACACACATCCTGGCTTCTGGAGCGCACTTTCTAATGGACGAGAGACAGAATGAAACAAGGAAATAAGCCAGAGCTTTGAAGTGTTGGTGACAGGCACTATGGAGAAGGGGGGTGGGGGGGGTAGGAGTGTTGACTCGGAGATCTCTGGGACACAGGTGTGGGGCGAGGACACTGCGTAGGGGGCGGCAGTCAGCCAGGCCCTGAGGGCCGAGGCCGCGAGCCGGCAGCTCCAAGTTAGAGGACAGTGGCCACCTGCTCAATAGCGCATCGGGCACTCTGAGCGCGGCGCTTTGCTCGTAGTAGGAAATCAATGAGTGGCGATTCTTTCCTTCATGGAATTCACTGTTTTAAACAACAGGGGCTTCTTGTGAGCTATTATATGCGGTTCTTATTTCTAATTTTTGTTTTTTAAGTTCTGAATAAGGACTTCACCGAAAGAGACTCACCAAATATATAGAAGACCACAGGCCAGCCCAGGGACTGAGAGATGAAGCCGGTGGCAAACAGAGAGATGCAGGGTCCCAGCATGTTTCCTAGTCAGGGGCGCAGAGAACAGGCAGAGTGAGGGCAGAGGCGTCTTGAGAGCAGAGGCGGCAGCCCCGGGCAGCAAGGAACAGCTGCCAGTGGAATGCGTGTGTCGGGTGTGACGCTGATCAGAAAGAATGAAATACGTGCTCTCCCCTTTTTTTCTGGTGTGTGCGATAAGCCAGCCCCTCCTCCATTCTGGACAGTTTCCACACCTAAAGGAAGGAGCCTGGGGTCGAAGGTTTCTAACGTCCCGATGATTCAAAATGCACGTTTCTCAGGGCTCTGGGCAGATGGTGACCCCACGCACAAGATGACCGTGGGGCGAAAACCCAACGTCATTACCTGATACGCTCACAGAGGTAAGTCGGTTTCGTTCCAAAGGAGGGGCCCACTTGCTCCACACTGTGTACTGAGCCACCATCACTGTCCCCTGCAAGGAGAACAGCTAGGACCTTTGTTTCCTGACGCTTTCTGAGAGTTGAAAGCCTGGTTGGTTCTCGCGAGATTGGCCCACCTGGCTGAGTCCCTGGACAACGCGGCAGGCGATGATGAGGGACTCGCCCTGTTCTGCGGCCAGCGGGACAAGCATGTTGCACAGGGAACTCAGGAGCAGCCCCAGGCTGGTCACTGTCTTTATGGGGTACAACCCGGAGATGTAGCCCATGGGGATCTGGGCGAAGGGCATGCCGTATATGATGGCGCTCAAGATGATCCCCTGGGTTTGGGGGCTCCAGTTATACACAGGATTCTGGAAGAAAAGCAGAGACGTCCTGTCAGTCTGCCTGTCTGGGACGTGGGGAACCGGGTCTTCCAGCTGACCCGTGTAAGGGAGGCTCCTCAGCCCGAGAGTCTCCCTCGTGGGACCACCTTTCGTCCTCGGTAACAGGACTTTCTGTGTGCAACTGCATGTTGTCACTGGTATCCTCAGCTGGAATGTCAAGTTCTTGGAGTCGGAAGCACCGTCCGACTGCCAGCACCTGTCACAGTGTAGACTTTTACTACGAGTCTCTATTCTTTTTCTCCCGAGTATAATTGATGTGCAACATTACATTAGGGTCGGGCTTATAGAATAATGTCTTCATATTTGTATATATTGTTAAATGATCACCACGCTACATCTAGTTAACATCTGTCCCCATGCATAGCTACAGAAATTTTTGTGTGTGTGATGAGAACTTTAAACATTTACTCTTTTATCAACTTTCAGTATACAGTACCATTGATAGCGATAAAAAAAATCATAACTGAGACCAATATCAATGAGCTGCCTTTGTCTTCTTCTAAAAGTGTTATGTTTTCAGTCCTGTATCACATCTTTGATCTATGTGATTTATTCCTGTCTATGGTATAAGATGGGGGTTTGATTTCCTTCTTTCGCACATGGGTGTCCAGGTTTCCCAGCACCGTTTATCGAAGAGACTGTCCTTTCATCATTGTATATTGTTGGCTTCTTTGTCATAAATTAACTGTCCACATATATGTGGGTTTATTTCTGGGCCCTCTGTTTTGTTCCATTGGTCTATGTATCTGCTTTTATGCCTGTACCACACTGTTTTAATCACAATAGTTTTGTAATATTGTTAGAAATTAGGAAGCGTGCTGCCTCCAGCTTAGCCCTTTTTTTTCAAGGTTACCTTGGCTATTTGAGGTCTTTTGTGCTTCCATACAGATTTTAGGCTTGCTTGGTCGACTGTGTGAAATGCAGTTGAAATTTTGATACGGATTGCATTGATGGTGTTGATTGCTTTGGGTACTATGAACATTTCGACAATATTAATTCTTTTGACCCATGAATATGGAAGATCTTTCCATTTATTTGTGTCCTCGTCAATTTATTTTATTGGTGTCTTACAGTTTTCAGTGCACATGTGTTTCACCTTGGTTAATGCATTCCTATGTTTTGTTCTGTCTGGTGCAACTATAAATGGAATTATTTTCCTGATTTTTCTGTTTTTGGCAGTTTATTGTTAGTGTATAGAAATGCAACAGATTTTTGTGTGTTGATTTGTGTTCTGCAACTTTTTCTTTTAAATATTAAAGATTTTTTCTTTCTTTTTTTTAAACTTAATTATTTTTCAATTACAGTATTCTTTTACTCCCATCCCAGCCCGCCCCCCTTAGTTGTTGTCCATGTGTCCTTTATACTAGTTCCTGTATGTTGTAGGCCGCTCTGCCTGGTTTCAGGAATTGTATCTCTACCCCTTGTGGCTAAGGGCGAGGGACCACCTCTGGAATGCCAGCTGCAGGAGACAAAGCTTGTCTCTGGTAGCAAACGCTGCCTCAGTTCCTCTCCCTGCCCCCAGAGCTTGGTTGGAAGTCAATGACCAGTAAGACCCCTCACAGCGGGGGGGCAACCTAAGCCAGACTCGATCACCTGGGAGGCCTTCATGGAAGGACTGGGGGGGCTGCAACAAAGAGCAACTCCCCCCCCCTTTGACAAAGTCCGAGTCCCCATGTTCCCTGGGAGAAGCGCTTCCTGGCTCTAATCCTCTTAAGCCTGAATACCTGATGGGGAGGGGTGCAGCTCCTTGCCTTGCTAGAGCGTGTCCTGGGGGAAAATCTGGCATCAGAAAGACTTCCTGATAAACCCGTGAAATCTGCTCTGCTAAGAGCGCTTTCATTCATATGATAAGGGTCGAAGAGGAAATGAGTATGTCTCCCAAAGTTTCTGCAACTCTCTTCCTGACAGACACTGACTCAGACTAAGCCCTCAGAACTCTTTGTAATGTTATGTACTGTTTGATCCTTGCCGCCCTGTATTCCTGTGTATTACAACCCAATAAAAGGCTAAGGAAGAGGGCGCTTGGGGCCTTTTTCTCCTTGGAGAAACTGGCCGCTGCTGGCCTTTGTCTCCCCTGAGAGACTGGCCACAGCCCACTTCTCCTCCCCAAACACATGTCATCTTGTCTTGGCCATATGTATTCATTCACGCGTGTCTGTGGCACGGGGGGGGGGGACCTCACGGAGAAGTCGCTCCCACACCTGTAAATCCTTCCCCTTTTTCCCCTGAAATTCCCTCCCCCCTCCCCTCCGGTCGCTGTCCCCCTGTTCTCGATTTCAGTGTCGTTGTTTTTGTTTTGCTTGCTTGTTTGTGTGTTCTGCAACTTTAATGAATTTGTTTATTAGTTCTAAGTTTTTTGATGGAGTCTGTGCAGTTTTCTACTTCTAATGTGTATCAGGCCATCTGCAAATAGAGCTTTACTTCTTCCTTTCCAATTTGCATCTCCTTTGTTTCTTTCTCTTACCTAATCGCTCTTGGTAGGATGTCCGATACTCTGTCAAATAAGACTTGTGAGAGTGGACATCTATGTCTTGTTTCTGGTCTTAGAAGAAAAACATTCAGCTTTTTACCGTTTAGTTCTGTTAGCTGTGGGAATGATGATGGCTTTTATTATGCTGTGGTACATTTCCCCACTTTGAGAGTTTCTATTATAAATGGATGTTAAATTTTGTCAAATGATTTTTCTGTATCTATTGAGATGATTATATGATTTTTTATCCTTCTTTATGTTGATGTGGAATATCCATTGATTGATTTGTGGGTGTTGAACCATCCTTGTGTCCTTGAAATAAACCCACTTAATCATGGTGTATGATCCTTTTGATGTGGTGTTGAATTCAGTTTGCTAATAGTTTATTGAGGAGTTTTACATTTGTTGCTATCAGGTATGTTAGTCCATTATTTTCTTTTGTGGTTCCCTGTCTGGTTTTGGTGTTAGGGTAATGCTGGCCTTGTAAAATGAGTTTGGAAGTGATTCTCTTTCATTTTTCAGAGAAGTTTGAGAATGGTTTGTATTAATTCTCTACACATTTTGTAGAACGCATCAGTGAAGTCATTGAGTCCTTGACTTGTGTCTCTTAGAAGGTTTTCATTTACTGATTCAATCCCTTTACTAGCTAAAAGTTCGTCAATTTTGTGTATCTCTTCAAAGAGCCAGCTCTTGGTTTCATTGATCTTTTCTGTTGTCTTCTTGGTCTCTATTGCATTTACTTCTGCTGCGGTCCTCGTTATTTCCTTTCTTCTACTGCCTTTGTGCTCTGTTTTTCTTCTCTAGTTTGTTGAGGTGCAAAAGTCAGTTTGTTCATTTGAGATTATTTTGTTATTAAAAAAAAGCCATTTATGTCTAAGAACTCCCCCCTTAACCTCTGCTTTTGCTGCATCTGATAAGTTTTGGTATATTTCCATTTTAACGTGTCTGAGATATATTTTTTTTGTCTTTTGATTTCTCCTTTGACCCATTGGTTGTTCAGTAGTATGCCGTTAAATCTCTGTGGGTTTGTGAATTTTCCAGTTTTCTTCTTGTAATCGATTTCTAGGTTCATACTATTATGGTTGGAAAAGATACTTGATATAATTTTAGTTTTTTAAATTCAGATTTGTTTTGTGGTCTAACCTATGCCCTGTCCTGGAGAATGTTCCGTGCACTTTCGAGGAGAGTGTGTATTCTGTTGCTTTGGATGGAATGTTCTGTAAAACCTGTTAAGTTCATTTAATGGGGCATTTAAGGCCAATGTGTCCTTATGAATTGTCTGGATGATCTATCCATTGTCACAAAGGGGTATTAAAGTTCTTTTCCTATGACTGTATTACTGTCTGTTACTGTCTTTGGTTCTATTAATATTTGCTTTATATACTTAGGTGCTCCTATGTTGGGGGCATAAAAATTTACTCATATCCTCTTGTTGGATTGATCCCTTTGTCATTTTGTAATGACCCTTCTATGTTTCTTATTACAGTCTCTGTTGTAGAGTCTGCCTTGTCTGAAAGAAGTATAACCACCTCTGCTTTCTTTAGGCTTCCGTTTACATGAAATATCTCTTCATTCCCTTGCTTTTGCTCCATGTGCGTCCTTCCAGCCATTTCTTAAAGCCATCTGTCTTTTGCCGGGAGAATCTCATCCATTACATTTAAAGCAATTATTGATAGGTGTTTACTTATTGCCATTTTGTTATTTGTTTTCTGCCTGTGTGGCAGTTATTCTATTTCTTCTTTGCTTGCTCTCTTCCTTTGTGATTTGATCCATTATTTTTAGTGGTATGCTTACATTCCTGTCGTTTTACCTTTTGGACATACATCTACTGTAGGTGTTTGCTTTGTGCTGACCACAAGCCCCACACAGAACTTATAATAATCTATTTGAAGTTGATAACAACGGAAGTTTGAATGCATTCCAAGGTATTCCATTTTTAGTGCTACCCCTGTTTTATGTTTTTGATGTAACAATTTTCATCTTTTTTTCTTTTAATGCTTACCAGAGGATATGTTTTTATTGATTTTTTAGAGAGAGAGGAAGCGGGGGGGGGGAGAGAAATACGGATTGGTTAGCTCCCATACACACCCTGACCAGGGATTTAACCTGCAACCTTTTGGTGTACAAAACGACACTTTAACTAACTGAGCCACCCGGCCAGGGCACGGTTTACATCTTTTTATCTTGTGTATCCCTCAACAAATTATTGAAGTTGGTCGTTTGGACTCCTTTTGTCTCATAACTCTCATACTAGGTTTATCAGGAATCAATCCATCATCTTTACACACTACATTATTCTGAATTTTGCCGTTTATTCACCTTTACCAGTACGAGTTAGACTTTCGTATGTTTTCCTTTTACTAACTAGGGCTGTCTCTTTTCAATCGAGAGGACTCCCTGTAACATGTCTTGTGAGGCTGGTTCGGTGTATGCAAACGATCTTTTACAGCAAGCGCTCGCCCTTTTGAGTTGGCTGCTTCTGGACCAGGTCCTGCGGCCAGAGACCACAGGGGACAGTCCTTCCTTTGGGGACAGCTTCTCCGTTTGCCACAGCCACGTGGGACATGGGTACAGGAGCCACGTAGGCTTTCAAAGCTTGATGCTTTGCTGGGTTGTCTCTCAGGGGCTGGTGTTCGGTTGGGGTGTCCAGTGAGACACCCCAGAGAGAAGTACCAGGTTTGGGTTCCCTCTGGATTGTGGGTCATCTTGCTAGAGGTGGGTTTACAGCTGTTGAAGTTGGTGCATTCTGGGATGTTCTGTTAAGTTTTGTTTTTGTTCTCCTTAGCTCAGCTGGGGACGCTCCCATGGACCTGCGCCCACGCTCACTGACACTTTCCTCATCTGTGTCCTGACTCCCTGTGAGCACATCAAGGTGGCGTTCATTTGTGACGGCTGCCTTCACTTCTACTCCATCTTTTTTGTTCTTTTTTTCACTTTACATCTCTCTGCAGACAGTCCCTGTCTGGTATTCTATATTGCCGACATTCTCCATTAGCGCCCTTAACATATTAATTGGAGTCATTTCAGATTCCTTGTCTGGGATTTCCTACATGTGCGTTGTACCCGAGCCTGGCCCTGATGAACACGTGAAAAAATTAACGCCCAATCCGCTGCACATAAAGTGTTTCTCTGTGTAAACAGGGCTAGAACTAAGCATGTTCATATTTGCCTGTGCATAACGGAACATGGGAAGAGTGGAGTAAAAATATATACATATTTTGCCACCATTGCCGTTTTTTTCCTGAGCTATGTCTCCTGACAGGTAACCAACCGCTCAGTACCTTCCAGAGGGAAAATCAATAAACTGAGTAAATGTACTATGTGTTCAGGTGTGTCTTGACTTCCCCTTGTGGTTTAAAATGCCTTTCCTTTTCTCTCTCGTCCAAACCTGTGGACTCTAAAGAGGCCCTGCCTCTGGGTTTTTGTCCTCTGTCACCCGGACGAGTTCACAGAGCAGAGCCCTTCCCGAACCTGCAAACGCGTGTGTCCAGGCTTCTGCTCTGGTGACTACGGTCCCGTCACCCACAGTCATGCTTGTCCACCCAGGTTACTCAGCAGCTTGGGATTGTCAATGTGTGGTGAGGGTAACATTTTTGATCTACCTTTATGCTATCCAGGTGCTCCGAGGTGGAGGCGTTGGGCACACCCTGCGGCGCCGAGCTGTTCACCATGGAGACTATCGTGAGGGTGAGGCACGAGCGCTGGGAGATCATGGCCACGTTGCAGAAGTGCAGCAGGAGCGCCAGGCTGTAGCGCAGGGAGCAGAGCCCCGGAGCTGCGGAGCACAGCGGAAGCCATCGGCGGTTAACACGGCTCAGGTGGGAACGGAGCAGATCATGCTGTTAACTTTAGGAAGGGCGGCTCAGAAATTGGGAACCCTAGGTATTATTTTGAAGTCTTATTGTACCTAACGGCCTTTGAGAAATTATGATATATGATAGGAAGATGTGTGACCGATGTAGTAATCCTATACCCCCTAAGATGTAATCCCATCTAGAAACTCCCAGAAAATTAAGCTGGTCCTCCAAGTACTTTGGCTCATGTATATATTAAAGATGCCATTTAAAAATACTCTGGGGAGACTTCTGGCCAAGATGGAGGTGTAGGTGGAGACACTGTGCCTCCTCACACAACCAAATTTAAGGACAGCAAAGATTTAGAAACAAAAGCACAACCAGAACAGACAGAAAATTGAACTGTACTGAAGTCTGATAACAAGGAACCACTTATCCAGACCAGTAAGAGGGGCGGAGAGGGGTCCCGGCAGGAAAAGGTGGTGGTTGGCAGAACCGGGCGTGGGAGGAATCGAGCAAACCCAGTGAGACGTGCAAGGCGGCTGGCTGACCGTGGACACACATTCTCACACAGATAAACCAGGCAAAAAGGGGCAGTGAGACAGACCGTGCAACCCAGGGCCCCAGCGACGGGAAATAAAGCCTAAAAGCACTGATTGAAAAGGTGATGGCTTGTGGGAAGCGGCAGAGGGGTCTGAAATCCGAGAGAGGGAGGAACAAGGGCCTTTGCTCCCTCTCTGACCCCGCCCCCACATACAGCATCACAACCCAGAGATAAGGGTTGCCCCACCCTGGTGAACACCTAAGGCTCTGCCACTCATACATAACAGGTGTGACCTGACCGAAAATGGCTCAATCAGAAGAACAAATCAAAGCCCCAGAGCCAATACTTTTAAGCGACCAAGAGATAGCCAGCCAACCTATCAGATGCACAGTTCAAAACACTGGTGATCAGGATGCTTATAGAACTGGTTGATTTTGGTCACAAATTAGATGAAAAAATGAAGGCTATAGTAAGTGAAATGAAAGAAAATGCACAGGGATCCAATAGTGATGAAAAGAAAACTGGGACTCACATCAACGGTGTGGACCAGAAGGAAGAAAGAAACAACCGAACAGAAAAGGATGAAGAAACAAGAATTCAAAAAAATGAGGGGAGGCTTAGGAACCTCCAGGACATCTTTAAACATTCCATCATCCCAATTATAGGGGTGCCCAATTATAGGGGAGAAGAGGAAGAACAACAAGTGGAAAAGTTATTTGAACAAACAATGAAGGAGAACTTCCCCAATCTGGCAAAGGAAATAGACTTCCAGGAAGTCCAGGAAGCTCAGAGAGTCCCAAAGAAGTTGGATCCAAGAAGGAACACACCAAGGCACATTATAATTGCATTAGCCAAGATTAAAATGAAAGAGAGAATCCTAGAAGCAACAAGAGCTAAGGGGACAGTCACCTACAAAGGAGTTCCCATTAGACTGTCAGTGAATTTCTCAAAAGAGACCTTACAGGCAAGAAGGGGCTGGAAGGAAGTATTCCCAGTCATGAAAGACAAGGACCTACATCCAAGATTGCTCTATCCAGCAAAGCTTTCATTTAGAATGGAAGGGCAGACAAAGTGCTTCTCAGATAAGATCAAGTTAAAGGAGTTCATCATCACCAAGCCCTTACTATATGAAATGTTAAAGGGATTTATTTAAGAAAAGGAAGATAAAAAATATAAACAGTGAAAGGACAGCAAACTCACAGTTATTAACAACCACACCTAAAACAAAAGCAAACTAAGCGGACACCTAAAACAGGAGTGGAGTCATAGAAAAGGAGATTACATGGGAGGTTAGCAACAGGGGAGTGGGAGGAGGAGGGTGGGGGAGAAGGTACAGAGAATAACTAGCATAGATGGTGGGGAGAAACTAGGGGGAGGGCAAGAGTAGTGTGGGAAACGTAGAAGCTAAGGAACTTATGACACATGGACATGAACTAAAAGGGGGGGAAGGTGGATGGGAGGGGGTGTGCAGGGTGGAGGGCAATGAAGGGGAAATGGGACAGCTGTAATGGCATAATCAATAAAACATTAAAAAATAAAAATACTTTTGGAACTAAGTCCCCTTAATAACAACAAAGACCTCCGCTCAAGTCAACGGCTTTATCCTCCACACGTATGTAGTTTGGGAGGGGAGCTCATGCACACACAGGGCAGAGAAACACGGCATTTACAGAGTGGGACGCACTGGAGGCAGTTTCTGGCTGGAGCAGTGGGCACCGCACTGGTGGTGTAGGGACCAGGCGTGGGTGGGAGGAAGTGGGGTCCAGAAACATGAGCAAAAAGGCTTTTGAATAAACGCACTGATGCAGTTTGGTGGAGGGAAGTCAGGTCTTCTCCACAAATGGCGATTTACCGAGAGAAGCAAAGACACATGTTTGCAGAGGGGCTTGTGGTGCGGTGTCGACAGCAGCTTCCCTTGAAACAGCCGACTGATGGGGACGAACAGCCTGCGGCATGTTCGTGCAACGGGCGTCACTCGGAAATAAAAAGGAGGGGACACCGATATACTCAACAACAGCCTGGGCGAATCTCAACAAAACCACCTCGAAGGGAGGCCTGAGCTACAGCGGGGCCCAGGAGGGGAAGTCCTAAGTGCCCGGGACCCAGGGACGGACCTCACTGTGCGCTCACGGGCGGTTAGAGCGAAAGGCACAGCCAGCCCCAAACGGGTTTATCAGAAGAGAAGAGCGCCCGAAGACTTGGAGAGCTGACACAGGAACAAACGTAAAGAACCTAGAAGTTGGAAAATGTGGAGCATAAGGGCAGACATCAATGGTGTTGACATACAGCAAAGTGATTGTTTCTGTTTATCGGCTTTGTATGTTGATATGTTTTATTGTTCATATAGAAGTTGGAACGTAGATGAAGTGGACGATCTAAAACTGTCACCGCTGATACGAGAAGAAGCGTCAGACGGGAGAGACCCCTGACCTGCACAGAAGTGGGAAGGGCTCCCAGCCCCTCTCCTCCTGGGGGCCTGCCCCTCACTGCGGGGACAAGACTCTAAGCCGACAGTGCTGACTCCTCACTGCTCTCCCCTGCCCTGCTCAAGAGCAAGAGTTGGTCTAGAAAAGAAGTCTGGGGAATGTGCAGCTGTGGATCTCCGAGGACGTCCGAGGGTGCAGACGCAGGCCCCCCCACACCCCAGTCCCATCTCGGCACCCTTGAGGCGGGGCAAGCTAGCACACTTGCTCCGACGTCCTCCGCCCGCTGACGAGCAGACAGTGGTCAGGAGTCGCTAACGGATGTGGGCAGCCAGCGTGCGTGGAGTTTTTTTATGTGAGGCCTCTAGTGGACACCCCCGCAGGGCTGGTCTCCTCACCTCCTCTCCTGAGCATGTCTGAGACCTATTACGTGTTTTTGTGGGAGAACCCTGTCGCCTGGAATTTCTGTGTCGCGTTTAAGAAGGCGCAGGCCTGTGTGAGGGGCCAGGAGAACGTCTACCTTTCCGGGAAGGAGACTGGTGATCCATTGCTCAGCGCGGTCTGGCTCCTGCTCCTCTTCCCAAGAGGTCTGTCCTGTGTCCTGTGTCCTGTGTCCTGTGTCCTGTGCAGGGGCAGAACGTACCACGTCAGCAGGACCCCCCGCGGGGCTGCCCCGGCCTTCCCAGGCTCCTCTCTGATTTCAACAGTGCATCTGAGGAGGCTCACTCCTCACTCCAGGGCCCCGGCAGCTCCTTCATGTGCTGCCCTTGACATTGGACTTACAGCTTTTTTGTTGTTGATTAAATGTATACAGAAAACCTAAAAACTATAGACAACAAACAGCAACCCCGCCAACCCATGATACTACTTCCAGTGAGAACACCCCTCAAAAGTGAAAGAGAAGTAAAGACTTTAACAACAAACAAAAACAAGGACTTCGCGGCCCATAGGGAATCTCAGAAGCAGTTTTAGGCAGAAGGATACTCATAAAGGTCTGGAATGTGGATGTACCAACGGAAAGGAAGAGGTGGTTCTGCCAGGCTCTCCCGCTTTAGCTCCCACTGCGCCCGTCACGTCCCTTCTGGGTTTTCGGCCCCTGCGGAGAGCCCCGTTCGGCTTTGGGTCCGCCGGCTCACAGGTACTGCAGCAGCACCGGGAGGACGGGGCTTGGCGGAGTCCTGCCCTGAGACTGAGAATTGGGAGGAGTCGGGTCCGAGGGCTCAGAGCCACTGTCTGCCAAGCGTCGGCTGCCGGTCACTCTCACAGTTCCTCCAGGTGAGCTGGGCGACACTCTTCTAGGACGAGAGAAGAAAGGAAGGAGCCGCGGTTGGTCCCACCGGCACCTTGGCACCTGCAGGGGGAGGGCGTGTGAATGCCGCCTCGCCGGGTCGGAGGTCTCCCCGGAGTCCTTTTTGAAGGACTCTGGACCCTGCGATAAATAATCAACCACTTCAGAAGTTAAATGTCACATGAAATATTTCTAACCCTGAATTACTATGCAAGTCAGGTCATGTGACTCGGTCTCCCCATTTAATTTTTAACTTCCCTTTAAAAATCTCTTGGTTCTTGCATTCGGCTTGGTAGAAATAGACTCCAGATGTGTCTGTATGGACATAAAATTGAACTTTGCTTCATGTACAATTAATTTTTAAACACTGGAATGTAGGTCAAAATATTTCCTTGAGTTAGATGGTAACATCCACCTTCTTAGAAAATTTAAATGTCTCCTTTTGGGAGAAGGTTGCCTTTTAAATGGCTGTGTTTTGGTGACGGGAAGTGTTAGAGAAGACCGAGTGCCTGGTTTCCCCTTGGAGATGTCATCCCCACAGTCGTCATCATCAGGCTGTAAAGGGGCCGCAGGCCCGCTCAGCCGGGCGCCCCCTCCTCTGATTCTGGGTGGTCTTTAACGCCTCCAGGCCGCACATTCATGGCATCGCAGACGGCTGCTGTTCCTGTTGCCGCCACCAGGTTCGCACTCTGACCCCAACCTCTTCCTGTCCTGCAGTGACTCAGGTGGTTTGGGGGTGGCTCTGAAGCTGTCACATCGGATGAATCTAAGTCCTGAAACGGGAGACTTGACTGAACGGCAGGGCCGTTTTCCGGAGTCTGGCTGCTGTCCCACTCCCGCCAAGCCCCGAGCCCACACGCCGTGTTCCGATTCCCGCTCAGCACCTCTGGTCCTCACCCTGATTCCGGCAAATCCTTTCTTCTCCAAGTCAGGCTCCTGCTTGGTGTCACCATCTCTGTGACAGACGGAGTCAGCCTGGTGATCAAGCTCAGACTGGAAACCATCTCCCTTATTTTGCCTTCTGTTATTTGTGTCCCTTGCTGAGCAAAGTGCAGTTCTCTGGTTACCCGCCCCACGCATTCAGGTACGTGCACCATTGCCCCACGGCGAGTACTCCTCACCATTTCTCCTGAAGACTTTTCCGTGTTAATTCCCAGTTTCAACGCCCCTGATCTCAGCAACCACTCTACCAGGACTGCTTGCCTACGGCTGCAAAATCTTACACTGTGCAGGAGAGCAGCCGTGGAAAAGGAAAAAGAACAATTGTGGCAAATAGGACTTTCAGGAGAAGACGTTGAAGAAGAGGAGGGGTGCTTGTGGGCCGAGGTGTTACGTGATTCCAGACAGGACCTCAGTTAAGTGGACGTTTGTATTGTAGGAAAGGTCTCGCACTGTCGGGAAGCAAGACTGTGTCGCATCCTCTGACCAGGGCTGTGTAACTCAGTACATGGGGCCGAGCGTCCAGACACCTTCCTCGTCTGCCTGGGACTCGGAACCGGCTTCTACTTCATTGACTCACTTATTTGGACGTCAAAGAAAGGAGCAAGGGTAAATCATGTCACAGAAATAAAGCCACCTGACATCATTATTACAATTGCTATTATTAAGATGTCTTGTCACAAGAATGAGTTTTAATCGTTTTTTGTTTAAGTAATTTTTCTATCGAGAAGTTTCTTCTTCCAAACCTGTAAGTCTAGATATTCTGAAAGTGGCCAACGGTTTCCTGACCACGTACACTTTCGGAGAATCTGGACAAATGCAACTAACAAAGACTCCGACATTGGATATTCCAACCACTCGACCTAAAGCGGGAAACTTATTAGGTATATTTTATGCTTTCTAACTTGGATTAAGCAAAAGTTGTACCAAATGTTGCACTAATACACACCCTTCCAGCCTCCAATATGTTTTTTCTTTGCCTCACGACCAGTGAACACTACACATTTCAAGGCAGGGGGTGTATTTCTCTTCTGGTCGCACTTGACCCCTGCTACTAATTCTCATATCAGTCAGTACAGGCTAGGTTATCCTGCAATAACAAATTACCCCCCCCATCTCAATGGTTTGCAGCAACCTGCTTCATGCCGCATGTCCCATGCTCAGCTGCTCTGGGCCACGGCATCTTCACCCGGGGCCCAGGAAGGTGGAGCAGCTTCAGTCTAGGGCCCAGACAGTCTAATGGCAGAGGACAAGGAGACAACATCAGAAAGTTTCTGGCTAAAAACAGCCCTTGTCCTGTTGGCGCAATATGCATTGGTTGAAGCGAGTCACGTGAACAGTGTTGTTACTGATGAGACAAGGATTATAAGTCTTCCCCGCAGGGGGGGAAGCGAATATGCCTGTGCACACACCCCACCGACTGGTGGGCTGGGGCGGCAGGGAGAGCTGGGCGCCGCTGCGTCACCGCCAAGCCCCGGACTGCCTCAGCCAGGCTTTCCCGCCACGAAGCCGGCCATTCCGATCTGCTGCTTTCCTCACCTGTGACGGCTCTTCCCCCAATTAGTAATTAGTTGGCATCTATTCACTTGTTATGCATGAGAGCCTTGTTTTTAGAGCGTGTTACTTACTTTTGTCTCTTATTTCTTATGTTCGTTTACCTGCAGATGGGGGACAGGCTTTGTGGCCTTGTGACAGTCACTCGTGGTGGACCGTTGGCCCTCCCGCTTTGGAAGTGCACAGGTGAGTGCTTCGCAGCTGGGGGTGCATTTGAGGGCGCCCTCAGTGGCCAGAGGTGGGGCGAAGCTCTCTTCTGAGAGACACACGTACATCCATCTCTTGTCCCTCTTGTGAGAACCCAGCTTAATGTTTCCTCCCATCCTTTCAGAGATATTTTTTAAATACTTTTTCTTCTTAACAGAAAGGATTGCATGCTACATCTTTTAAAATACATTACTGTACCTATTTTTCTCTTTATTGCTATTTCGAGTAAATTTGAGAAACAGGAAAAATTGCCCAATAGCTGAACGCACCAGACATTTTCCGTCGTATGTATTCATTTCCTTGTTGGTTCTTTTTTTAACCCCATATTTTTTTTATTTGTTTGGAAATCGCCGTGCAGATGAAACTTAAGGCAAGTACTTTAAAATGTGTTTTTTGTCCTCTATCACAAAACTGTGAGAGCGCAGGGAAACTTGAAATATTCGTTATTCACTGTTCACGGTGCACTCCCACAAATGCATTTGGTGTCCGGCTCTTCAGCTGCCTAGGAGATGACGTTCAGGGCAGCAGGAAAAGGTGGCGGACTTTACATGTGGTGGCCACGACTCTGTAGGGCAACCGATTCCACCTGGGAGTATTCTTAAAGGCTCCCTGGGGGTGGGTGGGGGAGTGTTTGTGCAGGAGTTTCCCAGGCGGGAAAGCGTGTCTCCTGCAGAAGGGGATGGGGGCGACTGCTGGCATGGGAACTGGGACTGGGTGGGGGGTGTATGTGGTGACTTTGGAGAGTTCGGGGGTTTGATGAGTTCAGGCTGCAGGTCTTCAGGACACATGGATGATGACGAGTGAGGAATTACAAGTCTGGGGAAAGGAGAAGTTCACGGGAGGCCAGCAAGGAGGGAGCGGGGAGGAGAAATGGCAACAGTGTGAGATCAAAGTGTGAGGAGGAGGAGGGTGGCCAGTGCTGGGAAGTCCTTCCCAGGGGGCAGTAGGGCAGTGACCCAAGAAGTGCTGAGCCAGCAGCAGTGACACATTCGGCACCAAATCTCCTGATGGAAAACAAATCTTTAGAGGAGGAAGGAAGCCCAGGCCCAGGGAAGAGAGCTTTAGTCATGAAGCCAACAGATTTCTTCCCTTTGTCTGCTCAGCGAGCCCAGCTCTGTCCCTGTGGCTGGACTGGACTTCTCCTGTGGTGGGAGTCTCTTGTCTGGGATGACCGTGAGCAGAACCGGAGCCCCTTGGTGTGTGGAGACCGCCTAGGAGCCAGGATTCATGCGTGCCGGGTTCCTGATGCCTATTTGCAAATCCTGGGGGAGCAGGAAGTTCCAATGACCTTGTTCTACCCTGGAAAGGAACCTTCTCTGGTGGGTGATAGGCCTTCTTCCGTCTTGTCACGCAGACCTTCAGTGTTCTTCTCCCCCACGTCGGTCGTCACTGCATTGGCACACACCTCTGCCATCTCCCTCCAGCACCCAGCGCCCTGCCCGCTTTGGGAGGGGCCCACACTGCCAGCTGTCACACACCTTCTTCTCCTGGCGCCAGCTTCCCGCTGCTGTGTCCTCGCTGCCCACGTCTGGTGAGCCCAGCCATGTCCTCTTCTCTGGCGGTCTCCCGGGGGTTGAGCTCCTGGAATTCACTAGGACACACAAATACCTGTTTGGCCTGACGGAAATATCCTCATCTACATAATTTCAAAATAGTCTATTTAATTTTAGCATGTGAGCTTTAATAGAATTTAACCATATAAATAAACACCCAAGTTTCACAGTATACAAAAACAAAAAAAAAAGTTAATTCTCTGGATTATAGATTTCAGATTCCGTCCTCTGCAGAGCTCCACATCATACGGCTGCAGCTCCCAGCCAGTCTTTGCTGTGTCCATAATCACCTCGGGACTGTACTTACCAGTCGTTAGTTTCACGTCGAATTTTATTCACCTAGTACTTTCCAAGGAGGAAAATTCAAAGGCAGAAGGCACTGATGTTTCAAGCTTGTCCTGCCATTGTCAGTCCTGGCTGAGCATCAGAAACTCCGGGGAGTATTGGAAAATCAGTGGTGCCTGGGGACCCCCCAAGACCAGCACACTGGGGGGGTCCCACCCCTCAGTGTGTTTGAGAGACTGCCCGGAAAATCTAACATGCAACTGGGTCAGGAACTGCCGAGTCTGTGGCAGAGAACACGGAGAAAGAATGCAAACGAGTGAGAAAACAGGGAAATGTTGATGGTCGGTTCTGCCTCTGCTCGCTGCTCTGCGCCCTCAGAGGCGGGTGAGTCTCCTGTCTTTGGCCCAGTCCTGGATTTCCGCCTGCCCGAACTCGAGGTAAAAAAGCAGGCCCAACATGTTGACGCCAGCGGACAGGAAAAAGACGTTCCTCCATCCCAACACCGAATCCTGGGGCAGAAAGCGGGATGATCAATGTCAGCAGTGCCTTCCCCACTGGCCCTAGGAACCCTCCCTTTGGTGCCAGGCAGTGCTGACCTCAGGAACAGGGAGGGGTCAACGTGAGATAGCCCCTCGTCTCAAGTTATTAGAGAAGGTTTGGTGAGCCTTGGAAGCAAAATGAGGACTCTCAAATGAGCACTGGGTTCTGGGTTGGGAAGGATTTTTCTTTAAATCAAAATAAATTAACCAACCCTAATGTTTTCACTGGATTTTGGACCTCAACATTCATGAAAATATCCTATTATTCATTCAAAATTATGTCTAAAATGCATCATTAAGATATTATGGCTCTGCTTTATATTGTTTACGGCCCTTGGTGCCAATCGAAGACCCTTCAAGAGGACGTCCCTGCAGGGCAAGAGTGGCCAGCTGCCCGAGGGGCTGCCCAAGGCGCCGCCCGAGGCCTGGGAGGGCAAGTTCATTTCCGCCATCACAGGCACTGGTAGCAGCTGTGTCAAGAATCAACCCAGAAAGCCGGTCACGCAAAAATGCATGGCAACAAAATGAAACCGATTCTGTCAGTTGACTCTGTCCTCCCATCCCAGCCTGGTCCCGCCTTTTCGTCTTCTCCAGAAGCCCCCATGTCACATGGAGCCAGCCTCATGGCCACACCCCTGCTCCGTCCACCGTGATCACTGCTCTTTGAATGGACACCTGTTCCCATCCTGAGACTCTGAGCCGTATCTGCTCGCTGTCTCCCCCCTCTGCCTGTCTTCCTCTCTTACCCCGAAACGTATCCTTCGCTCTGGGTGTAACTAAGAACCTCCATGCATTTGTGCCTCGAGAAAGTCAGCCCTGACCTTTCCATCAACCTGGTCTCGTTCACCTCCAGAAGCTCCGCTCTCCCTTTCTCCGGGAACCTGCGCCCCTGGACCTGCCCCGGTGTGTGCTCTGGGTAGAGCTGAGTGCGCTCGTCTGTGCTTGCGTGTCCCCTCGGACCTCAGTCCTTGAGAGCAGCGGCCCACTGCGTGTCCCTGTGCCCGAAACAACGCCTGCTGTGGGCGGTCCTCAGTGAAAGGCCCCACCTGGCTGATGAGGAAGCCGGTGGTGGTGGAGGAGATGATCCCCGCGACGAGCCCGAATCCCCGCGAGATGCCCATGAGGAAGCTGGCGTACCTGCAGGGACGGTGTCGGGTGGCCTTACGGGAAGCTGCCGTCCACAGCCGGCATTTCTCGTAGACCGTCTTTTCGGCAGCCCAGCGTGGCTGCAGCTCCGCCCTCACGGCGAAGTCACGCTCCTCAGTGACCTGAGGCGCCCAGGGCAGCGTCCGAGTGCCGCCCTGACACGTCCTAGCGCCCAGTTAGTGAGCAGGGCACCACTCTGCCCCCCGGGAGCCCAGGCTCCTCCCTGGGAGTTGGTGGGGTGCACAGGACACAGACACAGGACAAGCCGCCTGGGCTTCAGTCCTGGCCCCGTCTTTGTGCGGCGTTGGGCGTGGCCCCTGACCGCCTGCGCCCCGGCCCTCGCCCTCCGACGCACGGGTAAGGGGAGCGCCCCCCTCGCGTGGCTGTGACGACTAGATGTGCGGCCACGTGAGAAGCCCCCCAGCCCCCCACCTCCCTGTAGGGTCCGGCTCATGGCGAGTGTGGAGGTTGGTGGGAGCGGAGGTCCCTGGCACCCAGGGGGCCTTTCCCAGAGCAGCTGTCGGGCTCTGCTGGGCAGGCTCTCGGTCTAGAGCCGCCTCAGGGCTGGTGCTGACGCGTCTGGGTGTTTGTCCCTGTCCTGCCACCGTTTGTTGGATGCAACCACGTGAGGGAGTCGGAGGAGCAAGACTGAGGTCTGGCACCTCCGGAGCAGCCCGCAAGAATCCTACCTGGGGGCGACATCTAAGCTGTTGACGATGAAGCCCGAGTCACACAGGTTGCTGGTCCCAGGGATAAGTATCAGCAAAACAATGGTTGTCACGTAACTGGAAGCCACGAAGGGCAGGGCCACGGCACAGAGCGACGGGAGGAGCAGCCCTGGGCAGGCGGGACCCGTGTCAGAACCTGTGTTGGGACTCGCTCGGACCACGGGACAGAGAGGGCATCAGCAGGTTGTCCCCCAGCCCGCCCACCTGTCCTCACCCAGGGATGAGAAGAGTTTCCGCACGGTGACCAGTCTGAGAAGATTCCTGGACAGAAGGAAATCGGCCAGCTGACCCCCCAGAATCGTACACGTCAAGGCAGCAACAAAGGGCAGGGAGGACAGGACCCCGCTCTGGAGGAAAGACATGGATCCAGTGAGGACCGAGGTGCAGGAGCATGGACCTCACCGGGCCACCATCAGCCGGCCCCCGACAGTGCGAGCTGTGTGCGGTGAGGAACCGAGCATCCCAGCCTCGGGAGGGGCCCGACGCTGCGTCTCGAGACAGCGATGCTGATTCCCGAGGGAACCGGAAGGATCAAGACCCCACTGTGGCGGCGTGGCGATTAGGAACACACTCGGCAGCAGCTGTCTCCCTGAGCCGTTGTGCCATCGAGGGTGGCATGTCACCTCTGTCTGTCCTGTTGCCGTACCCGTGCACGGGACCTTTCTTTACAGCGCCTCCTTCAAGGCCGCGGTGAGGGTGAACGGTTGCGGGCAGGGCCGGACTGGGACAGGAGCGTGGAAGCACTTCCCCCACGGCCACGGCCGTTCCCCTGGAGCCCGAAGGGCACCCACCTGTCTGATGTTGACGTGCAGCACGGAATGGATGTAGGTCGGCAGGTACGTGATGATGATGGTGCACAACCAGAAGTGGCTGAAAAACCCTGAGAAAATGGCCCACAGCGGCAGGCAGCGGACCATGGCCTTTATGGGGACCGACCGTCGACAGGAAGTGGGCTGGAAGGAAGCAGCCGATCAGCGCGGGTGTGAGAATGGGCAGGGGAGGCCCCCGGGAGCCCCGTGCCGCCCTGGAGCCTCTGCGTGGCCCGGGGGGTGTTGTACCTGCTGAGCCAGCGAGGACACGATGTGATCCCTTTCCCTGACACTTATGCACGGGTGACGCACGGGGTCATCGTAAATCACCGTGAACCACAGGAGACAGCACACACAGCCGATGCCACCTGGGGAGCCGGGACCCCGTTAGTCTGCAGGTAGGTTTGTGAGGTGTCGGGGGGTTCCCTCTGTCATGGACCCCTCCCCCCAGACACACGCAGTTCATGGTTATTCCCTCACGAGAACCTCACGTTCCCACTTCTTTATTTCAGTTCTTCTATGAATCTCTTTTAACCGAACCTCTCCAGGCACTGCCTGCTCAACAGAGACGGCCAGGGGTCAGCGCCGACCCCTCTGGAGACAGCGGGGGCTGAGCAAGTGTCCCGTTGCCTCGAAGACTCATCCCTCCTGGGACTCGGTGCTTACAGGGCTGCATGTTGCCAGCAGCAGATCTAACTCGCACCTCGTCTCGTTTTGGACGACCTGAATGGTCAGGACTGAGGACGGGCATCATCGTGTGTCCACAGAGCAACTAGAATAAAATCTGGGAAGCAAGGAGAAGCCTCTGACACGTGGGTGAGACTGTGCGCTTGTGCCACGCCGCGCACCCGCTGCGGGCGTCTGTCTGCAGGAAATGCCCTTGGTGATTCATGTCCACGGACCCAGGAGACCTGGGCCAGGTCTCTTGAGGAAGAGGAAGCTCATGTTGAATGACACTATTTGGTCGTCACGACAGAACAGAAACTTGTGTTGTTGCTGAGATTTGTCGTTGGAAGAAGGCTCTGTGTTAAAAGGCTGGGGGACTCGTGTTCATTAAATTCCTTCTAATGACAGGTTCCTGCATTCCTTTATTTACAAAGCTGTGAGTCAGGAGCCACGGTGGCGCAGTAGGTTATAGAATGGGTTCCTCGACCGGAGCTTTTCACGGTCTGGTGGCGACGAACAAGCGGAATAGACAATCGACACCAGCACGGCCTAGAGAAGACAGGTCAGTGAGCAGTGCCGAGGACAGGACGACAGATCTGCTGGGACCGGTCCCAGAAGTGCCGCAGGAAGGTGCACACGCGGGGAGGGTCACAAGACTCCCCTGTAGAGGACAGGCCAAGGGCGTCTGGCAGAAACACTCGTTCTGAAATACGAGGACACCTCGACGGTGTAGTCAGTCCCCAGCCCCGTGTCTTAGCCACGTGGAGAAGGAGACTCGGCGTGGCAGATGGCGGGGTAGACTTTATAGAGACGTTCTCTCAGCTTCTCCGAAGCCGGCGACACGCAGTCACTACCCAGACTTTGGGTAAGACAAGACAGCTCCCAGCCCTCACGTTCTTCGTCATCTTCCGTGTAACAGAAAACCCCTGCTGTCCTGCCAGAAGGATGTGGCTGAACGCTTGGGACACAGATGCACTGGGGGGAAGTGACTCACCGAAGATGTAGAAGATGAAACGCCAGCCCAAGGCCTGTGAGATGAGTCCCCCCACACAGAGGATGATGAAGGACCCGCACGCTGCCCCTGAAGAGATGAGGAGAGGAACACTTAGGGACACGACGAAGGCTGAGACCGAGTGGCCCCCCTTCCTCATCAGTGTCCCACCAGTGAGGTGGCAGCCTTGCAGTTACTGGGTGACAAGAGCCTTGCCCCTCGGGTCTCCCGGTGAAGTCAGGTGAAGGAGTTGGGAATGATGATGCTAATAATCCCCCCACCACTGCAACGGCAGCTCCTGGGCACCAGCCTGGCCGAGTCCACAACCCACCCGTATTTCCTTATAACCAGAGTTACACTCTGGCAGATGTTGGGGACAGAAAAGGAAGGGCTTACAAAAGTCAGGTTACAGCCCTTGCTCCCAAGGAGTGGTCAGTCTGCAGTGGTCAGTCGGAGAGAAAAGCGCAAACAAAACTCACTGTCACAAGTAAGATCCTGGAGTCTGAATGTGAGTTACACAGACCCACAGTAAGAAATGCACTGTGCACAGCGACACAGCACACACACAAACACAACACACACCCCTCAGACAAGTTCCCGGACTCAGTGCGTAGCTTCACCGCGTGCCACGCAGGCCTGCTCTGCTCTGCTCTGTTCCATTCACTTCGATTTCTAAATACAGGTTTTGACCCACTTAACAGATTTCATGACCCTGCCAGTGGGTCCCAATTTGAAAAAAGAAAGGGTGGAGAATATAAACGTAGTAAGACTACAATGCTCTCTGAAAGCATCCACGAGGAGCAATTAAGAGCGATGATCAACTTCGTTGTTGAATTGTTGAATAGGAACTGTTTGCACACGGGCTTTGGGAAAAGCAGCTGGAGGCAGAGGACTTGGCAGGAAACTGAGCGGGGCCCCAGGGAAGTCGGTGCAGAGCTCACAGGGGCCCTGGGGCTGGCCCAGCCGGGAGGGCCCTTGGCAGCTCATGGCTTTGCATCCGGGCCCCAGGAGGACGGGGAGGAATGCCGTGAACATTCCCCAGCGGGAGAACAATCACGGCCACTTGTGCTCTGGGGAGAGAGTGTGGCGTTGGTGGGAAGAGAGGGTGGGTGGACATGCAGCCGGTGCGGAGGGAGTCGCTGGGGGGTCTGCGGACTGAGGCTGAGGGGGTACGAGCGCTGCAGTGGGAGGGTTGGTCGCCTCGGAGGCAGAGTCCGCAGGCGCACGTGCTTGGGCCGGAGGGAGAGGCTCGAAGGAACCTCGGTCTGGTCTTCAAACGCACACCCTCAGAGCTACCAGGGAGCGCACTGCACGGATGAAGCTGTCACCTTCTTAGTGAGACCGTGCACTGTGTCCGGTGTGGTGACTGAGGGCGCGCTGTGTGGTGGGGGTTGGGGCGTGTCCGCTGCGGGCACTCAAGGTCTCGGTGCTCCCACCTGCTGGTCCTGCCACCTGTGGGCTCTCGTCCTCAGCGGACAGCGACCCCTTCCTTTGTGAGCGAAAGTTAGAGGCAGAACTCACACCCGAGGGTCGCGAGGACTCGCCCACAACACCATGGAGCTCGGATTCGTGCGATGTTTAAATTCTACCTTCCGGCCTTTTCACTCTGGATTCAGTAGTCTCAGTTCTCGCTGGTATGTCATTGTTAAAGTGGTGTTTATACCGTGCATTTGGTCTTTCTCCTCGTACGCAATTGCTTACAGTCCCACACGCCCCCACACGTGAGGGCTTTCGCAGCTCACAGGGCCCCGCTGTGCCGAGCCTTTGCGATGTCCCGGCTCAGATGGGTCCTTCCTGCCCGTGTGTAACCTCGTACATTGTTGCATTTTCCGTCCCTCCCAAAGCATCCCAGGCATCACACGGATGACGTGTGAAGCAGGGTGAAGCCAGGACAAAGCTGCGACGCGCAGGGGAATGCCTACCTGACCCCGCGATGCTGGTGAGCCTGCTTCGTTCCAGTGGGGGGGCCCATTTCGCCCAGATGGTAAACTGACCTGTCCATGCCATTCCCTGCAATGAAAGTCACGAAGGCCTGTGGTCCAGGGCAGGATGCAGGAACCCGTGTCTGCTCTGGGGAGGAGGTGCCTGGCTACCTGGGCCATGCCCTGGATGGTCCGCACCACAACCAGCAAAGTCACTCCGAGGTCGGCGGCCCACGGTGTGAAGAGGGTGAGCAGGGAGGAGACGAGCAACCCGGCTCCCAGCATCCGCTTCGCTCCGAATATCCCTGCCAGGTATCCGCTCGGGACCAGGGTCAGGATGAGCCCGTAGCTGATGGAGCTGAAGATAATGCCCTGGGTCTCAGGGCTCCATGCGTACACAGAGCTCTGGGGAGGAGGAGGGAGGGAAAACCTTTGCTAAGGAAGGTCTGCTTCGTGGCCAGAGCCAACTGGGTTTGGTGGAACCCTACTATGGAATGGCAGAGTTGGATTTTCGCTATTTTTTATCTAACATAAACATTCCACCTTTTCCAAATAACCAGTTAGACTCCGAATATGCTCCTTTCCAAGGACAGAAAACCAGAGGAAGAGAAGGAGAAAAGAGATAAAGAAATGACTATGCCAGTAGGTGGTAGGAAGATATCATCTGTGGAAGGGCTTCCTTTAGTTTGCTTCTGGTGAAAGGTGACATGTTGACTCTCATTTCAAAGAATGAGGAAGATGCAGCTTTCCGCGCTCTGGTGAAAACCAGCCCCTAAAATCGGGTTTGGGAGTGACGGTCTACTTCGAAGGGTATTTTGTAGTAACAAGGTCACATTCTGCTTGCAGCGGAACCTGATAAATAGTTTTGGGTAGCCCACTAGGTGAGAAAATAAATGTTACAAGTTTGAAGTAAAGAGCCAGAAAGGGTAAAATACGGTATTTTATCCACTTAAGAGAAATAACGCCAGCCCCGTGACTCGGGTTGGAAGGCTTGTTTGAGGAGGGATTTCAGTGGCACGGACTCGGAGAAGAGGGAAGGACACTTTGGGACAGTCCCAGGGAGGCGGCAGTACTTGAACCATCCCTGACCAACGCCTGTGATTTGTATAAAGAAAAAGAGGAAAGCTCACTCCCATTGAAGAATGCAGAAAAGTGGGCTTGTAGCGTTTGGAGTGACCCCGAAGGGTAGGAAGTGGACCAGGGCTCTGACCTGCCCAGCATGGGCTTTCCTGGGCCCCTGGCCGAGGAGACTGCGCGGAGAAGCAGCCCGGACTCCGAAGAGCGCAGTAGGACTGGGCCACCGGGCGGGTGACCCCGATTCCGGAGCTCGGGGACAGGGAGTGTGTGGGATGAACGAGGGGGAGGTCATTGCCGAGAAGCTGGGTCCTGGGAATGAACTCAGGAAATATGAGGGTGGTAAGATGTTACAGTTGGTGCAGAGGAGAATTCAAAGAAATATATACACACACATCTATCTATATACATAGATAGGTAGATATAGATGTATACAGATCTATCCTATATATAGATAGATAGAGATAGCTAGAGATATAGAAAGTGTTGCTGGAAAACATTTAAAATAACTGGCAAAACCGGCTTAGTCAACTGAGGGGTGAGCAGGGAATATGGCTGATTTTCCCCCGACCCATCGGCAGAGCTGCCGGCTGACGCGGCGGCGTCACCGGCTGTGTGCACAGCGCAGGGAGGAAAACACCCGAAGACCAGAGGTGCAGAGCGGCGCAGAGCGGGCCGGGGGCGGATGTGCGTAGATGGGCCTGTTTTGTTCATGGAAGACGCCCAGATGCCCAGCAATCTGTTCCTTTCTAGAAGTTCCCACATTTCCCCCCTACATTCCTCCAGCTTGTAATTACAAGAACCTCCATGAAAGATTATTTTTATCATAGAGTTCAGTCATAGCTCAAAGAAAAATAATTTCAGTTCTGAAAAGTTTGTCCCGGAACATTCATGCTCTCCTCTCCGCAGAATCACGATCACAGCCCCCCCCCCCAGGGCCGTTCTCCCTCCGGCTTGCTCACCCCAGCGCCGAGCTCCTGGAGGGGCCCCCCGGGGTCCTGGAGCGCTTCAGCGTGAGGCCTGTCTGTGGAGGCGTTGGCTGCAGCAGGCTGCTGTGTGCCGTTGACCATGGCGATGACCGCGATGCTCAGACTCACCCGCTGCGTGATCATGGCGAGGTTCGACAGGTGCATGACCACGGCCAGTCCGCAGCGCAAGGAGCAGAGATGCGGGCCTGGGGAAGGGCGGGAAGGAGGCTGGAGGTCCTGGCTGCGCTCGCCCCTCCCACTGAAAACAGGACAGTTTCCCCCTCCGCTGAAGTCTGAGGCCACCGCCCTCCTTTGTCACCGTCTTTAGTTGGCTTCAAGACGGTGAGTCTGGGATCTTACAATCGAGTAAAGCAACAGTGGGAAGCAGACAATAAACACAACCACCTACACGAAGGCGTTTATGCCGCTTTGTTAGACGTGGGAGTGCAGGTGGCAGAGCCGGTCCCAGGACACTTCTCCCAGCGGCAGGCCAGTGGTCCCTGCGTGCGCACGCCCACTCACCGAGGGCCTGGGACGTTTCCGCAGGGCGGCGAGACGGCTGCCTTTGGGTGGAGCAACCAAACGTCCAGGGCCTTCGCTTACGATGTGGGGGGGGGGCCTTCTGCTCACTGCTAACTCGAGTGTGACGCCCACGTGTACCTGCCTTCGTTTATGTTCAGCTCTTTACAAAAGTAACGGGAAAACCACCTCTACGGAGTTTGTTGGTGCTGGAGGCGTGTGCAGTGTGACACAAGAGTCATGTTGTTTTCAAGTCCCCATGAAGTGGAACAAGGGGCCACTGCTGAAGTGTTCCCATGTGAATGACGAAGTCTGTTATCATACATATATAGCATGTATATCATATATATATATATATATATATATATATATATATATATATATATATATATATATATATATTGCACTACATATTTGGAGAACTTGGACGAAAGAGAAATGAGAGAGCCTTGGAGGAAACAGAGGCAACTATAACGAGAGAAAATCCCTTTCACCGGCCAGTGGGCTCAGGGACGGGGTTGGCCGCCCGAAGAGAATTATTTCCCGATGAATGGAACTTCCCTCTCTGCGGGGACGGGGCCTCCTGCCCAGCCTGGGGGTCACTCCCTTCCTCGTGCCCCGGGATTTACTGGTTGTCTGGCTTGATTTCGGATGACAACTCAGCGGGTCCCCTGAGGAGGGGGCAGCAGCGGGCGGCAGTAGGCAGGTGGGGGCTGGTCCCAAACCACAGCGCGGGGAGGGGAGGAGGGTGAGGACGTGAACCGGACACAGGGAGAGCGGGCGCTCCTCCTGGAGTCAGCTGCAGAGGTGACGGGTGACCGTACCTTTCCGGGGGGACGGCTTCCTGTCCATGTGACTCCTCTGGGCAGTGTCACTGCACTTCAAGGCAGAGGCCGCCTCGGCCCCGAATCTCTTTCACCACGACAGGCTTTGATCTACGGGCAGAAAAACAACCCAAAACAGCACATGAGTCACTTTTTCATGTCAACATCACCTTCTCACGGTGTCAGTAAACGCGTGGGTGGCAGCCGGCTCTGTGCTTCGTGCCTCACAGCACGTGTGGCGCAGCGATGCTCATGGAGTTTTGTGGGTTTGCATGAGAAACTTTGGTGGAAAGTCCCCGCCGTGTCCTCCCGTTCTGAGTGGAGCTTCCACGGGAACAGGGCGGACCACAGACAACCGTGCGAAGGGGAGCGAGGAGCCGGGGGGCAAGTCCCGGAGCAGCCCTCGCTTTCCCTGAGCACGTTTCTGCCCCTTCCGTCCATCAGGACCGTGTCCCACGGTGTCGTCTTTGAACACGAGGGACAGCGTCTGTAACACTTGGAGGTTTTACCTTAAAGGCTTAAAATGTTTACCCTTGTCTCTGCTGCACACAATTTGGACACCTCACTAGACTGAGCAGATTTTCTTTTTTTTAAAAATAGTTTACTTATTTATTTGTTGACAGAGAGGAAGGGAGGGAGAAAGAGAGGGAGAAAAACGTCGACGTGTAGGTGCCTTTCATGTGCCCCACACTGGGGAACTTGGCCCGCGACCCAGGCAGGTGCCTGGGAATCAAACCAATGGCCCTTTGCTTCACAGTCTGGTGCTCGGTCCACTGAGCCACACCAGCCAGGGTTGGATGGAAAGGATTTTCAAATCGCCTGCGAAATCGAACTGAGTGGGGGCTTTCTACTACAACCACGAAGAAATCTAGCTATTTCGACAGGTGAAGAGAACTCAGGACCCCGACAGGCACAGAGCGGGTGTCTGTGCGTCAATCAAACTGTCTCTGGGGACACCCACACTCACTATGGGCACCATGGCCGCCCTAAGAATACCGTCGGTTTTGCAGCTGCTCCTAAACCGAAGGGTCTGCGACTCTACAAACACCCGGCCGGCGTCGCGCTGCTTCATCCAAAGCCCTGGCATTCTCTCTGCACACACATCTAACGAGACCCACCCACGCCCACAGGGGAGTTCATACCCTGCGGCCTTGGGGAGAAGAATCACAAGGGAAGACACAGAAGAACTTTGCCCCCAGATACTCTGCGGTGCTACTCATCGCCACATAACATTAGAGACACAGTAAGGGTTCAGTGAGTCCATTTTCATAGATGGTTACCATGCACTGTATTAACCTGACGCTCTCAGTAGTCCGTGGAAGTGACTGCTCTTGTGTGCCACGCAGGCACCGAGCCTGGCTTGATGCACGGACGCCCCAGAGGGGGACAGACTCACGAGGTGGTCGTGTCGTTCTTCCTGATTCTCTGTACTGACGGTGATTTTGTGAACACTCGGTAGTGACTCACTTTACATTCAGAAGGAGCTGAGCGACTTAGAGCAGTAATTGGGCTTCATCGTCATGGTCACCAGAGTTTTCTGCTTGCCACATGCCTGCAGAATTCCGGGAGTACCATTTCCCCACCTAAGTTTTGGGGTTTTCTACTTTGATGACCATGAACCCAAACGCGGGACAAGGGCGGCAGCAGGAAGTGCGGCGTGGGCTCTGCCTGGAAGGCACTCAGTCCGCCAGGGCCGGAGGACACCCATCCCCCAGCGGTGTGCGCTCGGATCCCAGCTGAGCAACCGGACCCAACGCGCGGCTGACCCGGAGTCACTTCTTCACTTCTCTTGTTATGTGAGATCGCAAACGTGGCTGAAGGTGGCGACTCTCTGACTACGCCCGCAGCGGCCAGGACAGAGTTTTCCCACCAGCTTCTGTGACCGTCTCTGCAGGCTCAGCAGTCCTCCTCGGCTCACTGATGGGAGTTCGGAGAAGTGACCGGCGCCGCAGCACAGCGCAGGCTGAGCCCGCACACGCCTCCCGGGCCCGACTTCCCTCCGCGTTCACACTTTCAGTACAAGCAGCTTTTAAGCGCACTGGGGTAGCTTCATGTTGAGGTATTCTAGGTCGGAATCGATGGGATTTTAAATTGTTTTAACACAGAAGGAAGTTTCACGATGGAAACACTGTCAAACTGAGCTTCTTGAGTACTTAAAAAGTCAAAACAACTACTCTTTCTTGAGAGCTTTTTTCGTTCGTGGAATCGCGTCACAAGCCATCGCGTCCGCTGCCGGTTTCCTGTCACCTGCTGCCACCCCTGCCTTAGCTTTCATGGTTTCAAACGCGTCTTTGAATTTTGTCTCGACAGCTAATCTCGCTTGTTAATTCCCATCCCCTCTGGGTGAGACCCAGACAGAAAGCAGGTGGGCACCTCAAACCACTCTAAACCAGGGTCTTTCTGCGAGGCACACATGGAAACGGGTTTTCCAGGATAATCTGAGAGAGAACCGTGAACCCGTGGGGTCTGAGTGCTGGCGTAACACGTAGAGAGCAGGGTGCATCTTGGCCCCGCGGTAAACACGGCCCAGGACTTGCCCGCTCAGCAGTGACGTTGGCAGAGCAGGGAATCCCACAGCCTCAGCTGCGAGTGGACAGACAGAAAATGGGGGTGAAATTAAGTTAAAGGGCAGCTCTTTATTTTAAAAAATTATTTTGAGGCAAGGTAGAGTTGCATTTGATATAAAATTAATAACCTGGACAGTGGTTTGTGCATAAACAAAAGATTAGTTTTTCCCCAGTCTTCTTAGTCCTGAACTTGCTATTTCTCCATAACCGTGGCCCTCAGATTCCCGGTAATCCTCAGCCTGCCTTGCGTCACCTCTGTTAGCTGTGTCCTCGTTCACTCAGAGTGAGTGTCAGAGTGGTTGAGAGAGCTCGGACCTGCGTGTCAAAGGGCAGCCGGGGCCCTGCGTCTGCTGTTTGGGGAACAGGGTCAGAGGTAACCGGAGCACTTGTGTACGGGGGGGAAAAAGCAGGCCAGCGTCCCTCCCCAGGGAGGGAGGGCAGGGGCACCAGACGTGCCTCCTCCCAGTGTGGTCTTGTGCATTGTGACATGTGACTGCTGGGAACAGCCGCAGTGACAACGGGCAGGCACCGCGTCAGCGCTTGGACTTCCGTGGGATCACTAAGTAGAGGCTTACGGCAAACACTGAGTCCAGTAAAAATGCCTTTGGTTGTGAAATTGGTTTTGAACTTTTCAAAGTGGGTCCCCGTGGACTAGAACGCGTGCAGTGGGGGGGAAGGGACGCCCAGGAACGTGGGAGGACAGAAGGCGTCCGAGTTAGTGAGTGGCACTGCCCGCCTTTAGTGAGACTGGTGGCTCCGAAATAAAATGGGTTATTCCGGTGGGTTGCTTATGTCACCTATGATCCTTTATGAATTCAGTCACAGAACAGAGTGTCCTCGGCCCCCGTTGTGGGCACTCCGAGAAGGCAGGGGTAGGCAAAGTTAAGGCGCAACTGGGCCCTGCCCCTGGGGGGCTCCCAGCTCAGCTCCTCAGGAGACGCTGGCGTGCTGCACACCCCTCCTCCAGGGACCGCCTCAGGCCCGTCTTCCAGGCCAGTGTGAGCCCGGCCGTGCTGTCCCCTGGGCGCCTTCCCTGAGTTCTCCCGGCTCCCTGCCCATCGGGCCTGACCGCGGTCCTCTGGACGCCTCCGTCAGCTCCCTCAGCAGGTGCTGTGCACAGGCACCATGGTCTTTTGCCTTCGCTCTTACACACGGCTTGGTTCATATCCCCCTTTTCTGGAGAGGCAATGCCAAGTCTATACAGAAATCTGAAGACCCATTCGTCACAGTCCCAGTCCCCAATCCCAAACCTCGTTAGCTGGGATCCAGGATTTTAACCCACAGCCACAGCCCGTCCCACGTGGCACTACACTGACCACCCAGAAGCCTCGAAGCAGCCACATCGCCCACAGTGTCCCTGGCACTGCTGGCCCCACGCCCTGCTCCAGGGTCTTGATTGAATCGATGACTTTTTTTAGAAAGTCTTCGTTTTGGATCCTGAAACCATTCCCAGATGGGGGTTCTTAGGCTGCCATCCAGGCTCATTCTCTGACTTCGCCTCAACCCGCGACCTCCCTCTGATGGGTCTCAGATTAATTTGCAATATCCTCCAACCCGAAGAGAAGGGAGCCACGTACCTGCACCATGAAGCCCGTCTCTGAGCGCTCGCTCTAAGACCGCCTCGAAGTGGTTTCTGTCCCTTGTCCCCTTTCAGAGCGCTCTGCGTCCTGCGGAGACAGACAAGTCCACGTGGCATGCAGGCAGCAGCAGGTCTGTTGCTTAATGTTTAACTTGGCCTTCAAGTCCTAGCTGCTAGAACGTGTATCTCAGAGGGTGACTCCATGTTCTTCTGCTTTCAACATGGCCGGAAAGGTCCACGAGACCTTCCTGGATGGAAGAGCTGGGGATTGGCGAGGTGAGGCCACCTTCACTTCCTCGTGTGGCCCGGGTGTCTTCACCAGTATGGAGGGGTCGTATCTCTGGACTCACGGGGCCATTGGGCAAATTAAACCCATTGCACAAGCGGACTGGAAGCAGGTCCCCCCTTAGTGAGAAGTCCCCTCGAGGGCTCCGTGAAGCCAGGGAGCCTTTCCTTAAGCATTTGGTGCCTGAAGTCTGGTAAATGGAAACTTGGGGGACCAGGCTGCCTTCCCGTGAGGCTGCCCACACTCTACCCTCTGAACCCCAGCTCTGCCAGACTCCTGATTCTTGAACTTGTGTCCTATTTGTGATTCTTCAAGTTTGGACTGTGGCTATTACTTGGTTTTCCTACTTTGACTCTCGATCCTTTTAAACTGAAGCGGAGGACCAGTCCTTCCAGCTCTATTAGCTTCAGATTGGTCCCCAGCCCCAGTTAGTCCCACCCCACCCCACCCCAGCTCCTTGGTTTGGCTTCTTGGTTCCTCTGCATCAGCTTCTGTTGCTGCTGTGATAAATTAACACGGACTTACTGGCTTGACGCATTTGCTTTACAGTTCACAGGACGGACATCAAAAATGGGTTTCAGTGGCTAAAAACTAAGGTGCGGGCAGGCCACCCTCTCCCTGGAGGCATGAGTGCTGAACACCGCCTTGGGTGCGCAACACACGTGAGACGACTGAATGACTGTCAGATGCTGGAGTCAGACGCCGCTGAGGGCCACTGTTTCTGCAGCTGGTCCAAGCCCTCAGCCCGTCACGACCTTTACAGCTCAGAGAGCCGCTTAAAGAACACACGCCTGTAATCCAGACATATCCAGGGTGATGGCAGTGCAGAAGATCAGAGGTTCTTTAAACATTTAGTCTCTCTGGCCTGGGGTTAATGGCTCTTTGCAGTCAGTCTAGTTCAATTCCGCCCTCTTTTTTTCTTTTCTTTTCTTTCTTTTTTTTTTTTGAGCAGTTACTATATTCCAGACATGGCACTGGCTTTTGGGAACAGCATTTCATTTCTGACCTGACCTTGGACTCCCCGGGTGCAGAGTCCGCTGGGTGAGATGACAAGGGAGACTGGAAAGCGGTGACAACAAGCAGCTCGATGTGGCCCTGGGCCAAGACACAGGTGTCAGAGGGAGGCAGCCCGGGGGGTGGGGCTGTGGCCAGTCCTCAATAGTGGTGGTAGTGGTGGTGGCGGGGGGCGGATAGACCTTCTGGAAAGAGCAGAGCCGCGTGTGGGGAACCTGGATTGTTCAGCACAAGGAGGGAGGGACGTGGTGTGAAGGGAGTTTGAGGAACCGATTAGAGACCTGATAAACATTTTTTAAAAATCGATGATTTTTCCCATTAGTAGAAGTCATTAGTCAGAAATGGAATGAGCAAGAAGTTTTTTATGTTCTCTGGCAATGGTGGGGTAATTAGTAAGTTGGTTAAAAAAAACCCTATAGAACTAAATAAAACCCAACATATTTAGTCTATTCACATAGAATTATGTGTGCGTGTAAATATGTACACATTTATCTATGTGTGCATGCGTAGACAGACACAGACACACACACATCGAAATGTGAAACTTGGACCCTCCCCGGACCCTGAGAGACTTTATCAGCATAATCAATTCACCTGTGGGATAAATCTGAGAAGGGCTGTCTCAGGGCAGTGAAAGAAACTTTTGAGGAATTTTCTCAGAATGCAGAACAGAAAGACAAAGAAAAACATACCCGACAATGCAGCTAAGATTTAGAGATTGTAGGCAGAGGATTCTGCCTCCACCTCTAAGAGCCCGACCCAGAGAGCAGAGTAGAAATACGGGAAGAGCTGACCGCTGAGGTTTCTTGGGAATTGACAAGAACATCGACTTCCAACTCGGGAGCCTCGTGTTCGGAGCAGAGCAGGCGCGGGTGGCTTGCGCCTCTTCTGCTGGGATCCGGCTTCCTGTTGAGGTTCTTTCCCATTGTCCCATCTGCTGCGTGGCTGCAAAGTTTTCCTTTTGTTGACAATATGCTATCTTTGCGTGGTAAACTTTAGGAGTCTCTAAAACTTCTAGCAGAAGCTGTACTTGACCTTGAATTGGGCCTTCTCTGCCTCTTCCTGCCATCTAGGGCCTGACTCTGAGGGCTGCGACTGGAATTAAGTCCTGGGAAAACATAGGCAATAAATGAATTCATTCATTCATTCATTCATTCATTCATTCAGTATCCCCCGGCCTGGACCCCACCCACAGTGGGCACAGGGCCACCAAGGCAGATCTGGAAGAAGCGGCTCCAGGCCTGCGACAGGAGGAGGGGTGGGGTGGACACAGGCCTCTTTTCTTTCCTGCGGCCTCTCCCAGCTGGGTCGCCCAACACTCCTGCAGCCAACGCTCTGCATGAGGTGAACCTTCATCTCACGTTGGGGCAGCTGTGGTCTCGACGCGGTGTGGTCGGTGCTCATTTCTTTTTTTCTCTCTGTGGTCCCGGGAAGGATGCGGCAGAGTAAATAAAGTCCCAGCTTTCTGGCTGAACGGATCCTCAAGAAGGAGCCCCGAGAGATAGTGCCAGGCGCGGAGACTGTGGGAGGAGGGGCGGGGGCCAGGCCTGCGCCGTGGGCCCGGCCTTCCACTGTACGCCCCTGAACTGAGACGTGAGCGCTGGGCACGCCACACGGAGCACCCCAGTTGACCACTGGGCGGCACACGCGTGCGAGAAACCTGGAAAGTCCTGGGAACTGAACCGACTCACAGAAAGCCGATGAGATCGCACCACAGCTGGGATGGAACAGGGCTGACTGTTTGCTAAGGAAAAAATATCAATATTCTCAGTAGTATTTAGGCAAGACCTCAGGTCTCATGAGCTGTTATTCAAATGCCCAGAGCACAAGCCAAAAGAACAGGGCCTGTGAAGAAAGGGGGAAGCAGCAACGCCTCGAGGGGAAAGGTCATCGACAGATGCGGAACTGGACGCAGACGACGCAGGCGTTAGAATTCTCCTGCAAGACTTACAGCAGCTCTTTCAAAAATGCTCCAACAAACCTTTGCAAATACGCTTGAAATGACGGAAAAGATAGGATGTCTAGCAAGGAGATGGAAGATATAAAGAGGAGCAAATGATAATGTCAGAACTGAAAAAAGAAAACATATTTTGTGTTTTCCTGTGTTCACGAGGGATGTGGTCTAAGGGTCACGAGGGATGTGGTCACAAGGGATGTGGGTGCCTGAAACCACCGGTAGCTCCAAACCCTGTGTAGTTCAGGTTTTTCCTGTGCACACAGACCTAGAATGAAGTTAAAATGGTAAATTAGGCACATGCGGGAAGAGATGAATGATGATAACTAATATTAAAATAGAGTATAATAACACACTAATAGAAATTATGCTCATATAAATGTGTTCTCTCTCTCTTTCTCCGTCTCCAGTAATTTTATATTTTCAGCTCGAACCCAGTCATCAGTCTCTGTGACCATCCCTCCCTTGCAGTGACGGGCTCGGTGTCACTAGTTTCGGGGGCCCCTTGCTGAAGTCCTACAGGAGGTTCACTGCTTTCTGGGGCGACACGTTGCTGCCCGTGAAGCAGGTTTTCTGTGCCAGTCGCCTACTCACCAATCAACGTCTTTTCCGTCCTAACTAGCACCTGTCACGCACTGTGTCTGGAACTTCTGCAAGGACCTTTGGGGCTCTACAGCAAAATTAGTGTGAATTTCTTTTTTCTTCTTGAGTCCATGAATAAGAAATTCATTCTTAGCCTATGCAGACCTTAGCAGCCTCAACAGACATATTTTTTCTTTCCTTAATACACAGAGAACTTTCACCTTTTCACCCAAGGAAGCACGTTCTTGGCTTCTCTTCTGCACAGTCCAACCGCCAGCCTCACCATTATTAGGGACAGTAAGACTTGTTTATTTTTCGATTTAGATTCCACATACAAGTGACATCATATGGTGCTTGTCTCTGTTGGGTGTATTTCACCAAGTGGAATATAGGTCTGTTGGTGTTGCAAAGGGTAACATTTCGTTTTTTTTTATTGGGTAAAAACAGTGAAGGGATTAAGAAATACAAATTGGAAGTTGCAAAACAGTCCTGGGGGAGTAAACCCCGGGGAGGGGTGGCGGGAATACAGTCAATAACAGGCCTGGGGCCACCTGGGCGCTAGAATTTACTTTGTAAGTTACGTGGTTTAACTACTATACCGCACACCCGAAACTAATATAAACTACTACTGGATGTCGACTGCGGTTAAAAAATGTAAGGGTTCCCGGGACACAAGCAGCTCAGTTGCTGGTAATGGGTCCGATACCTGCGACACTGTCACTGGGGGGGGGGGGAGCGTGTGCAGTGCGGAACCGCGGACACGGGTGGCGCACATCTGGGTGAGACGGGGCCGATGGCAGGAGATTTCATCATCTGCGCACGCACCACCGGCAATTTAAAGCTTATGAACTGCTTATTTCTGGAATTTTCCATCTCAGACTTTTGGGCTGGGATTGACCCCAGGTTACTGAAACAGTGGAAAGAGAAACCATGGGTAAGGGGGACCCCTGGACCCCTCCCCAAGAAAACCTCTCTGGAATCGTCAGCAGCAGCAGAAAGCAGCTGACAGAGGAAAGGTGTGCTCATCGGATGAGGGACTCGGGGGCTCATTCCTTCTCCTCTGTGCCGGCTGCCTCAGGAGCAGGATGTCCTGACACTTGCAGGGCCTGCAGGGGTCTTCGGACGGTGTGGGGGGCCCGCGGGGGGTGTCCGGACCGTGTGCAGCGTCTACCACCGCAGGACACACCAGGGCACCAGGAGCCGGGGCAGTGGACGGGCAGCACTGTGTGCCCCGAAGGGTGCAGGGCTGACCAGGGGCTCTGTTGAGGGCAGAAGAGAGGGAAGTGGTCCACACTGTAGCCTGCAGCTTCAGCGGCTGGGCCAGCGGGACCAGGGCTGGGCCTTGACCCCTGGCCTCACTCCCGCCTGCGTCCGCACCCTTGAACCCTGCACGCGTGCATTGCCCAAGCAAACCTTTGGTGTGTCTTTGAGGCTCCATGTGTGTCAAGGTCTTATTTTGAGGTGGTAATCTGCTTTTTTTCCGAAATAGGAGTAAGGTCTACAATGGGCGGGACGGGCCTTTTGCTCTTACTGAAAACTGGGGAGGCTAGGTGTCGCCCCCATGGTGTTTTCACCACGGCGCACAGGCTCTGGGGGTTCACGCGGCTCCCAGGTCCCAGCTGGGTCGTGAGCGGCGCCTTTGCAGTGCGGCTTTGTGATTCGGCTGCTCAGTACCCGAATCCTGCTGCCGGCAGGACCCCGAGGCCGAAAACGAGGCCCGGCCACAGGACGGAAGGGAGAACCTCCGCACGCCCCGGCCGCACCACCCCCTTCAGAGCAGCCCGGGAAGAACAAGCGGCCTAAAAATAGCAAAAAAACCAACCAACAACAAAAAACCCCAACCCCTCCGCCCGGGAGGCGGATGGGTCCCAGAGGGGATGGCGGCCAAAGCAAAGAGACCTCCCTTCCGAGCCTGGGGACTGTGCGGCTCCAGACCTCGGACGCTCCGCGCTGGGGCGACAGAGTTGCTGGCCACCGCGGCGTCAGTCTGAGCCCTTTGCTCCCCTCGCGTGCGGCACCAGCTGAGCGTGGAAGATAAGGGCGATTTCCTGGTTCCCCCCCCCAAACCGCCCAGGGCCCCGCCCCCACCGCAGTTTCACTTTTGAGTTTAGGTCCGCGCGGGACTCGGCGCTCGCTGCTCCGGAGACGCCCGCGAAAGCGTGACCGTCTGTGGTGGCCGAGGTAGGGGAGAGGGTCCAGGCCCGGGTGACTGGGGTCTCAGGAGAGGGACGTGATATCGGGGTGTGTGGCCGGGAGTGGGGGGCCCCGGCGGCAGGGAGGGGCATGTTTCTCAGGACGGGGCCACTGGCGCTCGGAAGTGCCAGGCCTGGCCTCGTCGCCCTTCGCGGGGCTGCTTCTGCTTTCTCCAAACTCCACGCTGAACAAACCTCAGAAGATCCAGGGGTGAGGGGAGTGGAGGCCAGGACAGGCGTCCTGGGGTCCCGGAAGGGCAGGTCCTCCTCCGGGGCACAGAGGCCCCGCCATGGGGGTGGGGGAGGGGACCAGCCCGGCCCTGCGGAAAACCACCTGCCGAGGAGGAGAGGTCCTCGGAAGAAATTCTCTGGCTCCCAGAGCCTGGTCCTGCTTAGTGGAGGGAAGTAGCCAGGAACTTCCGTGAGTTCCTGCTTTTACCGCCGCCATTGCCAGTTCAAAGGAAGGTCGCTCTGTAAACCGCTTCCCGCCTCCCCCTCCCCTCCCCCAGGAGCGGGGCTGGGTCCGCAGGCAGCGGCAGCTGTGGGCCCAGGGCCCCTCCTCTCCGTCCCGTGGCCGCCGGGCCCTCATTGGTGGACGTTAGTGCTTCCCCCGCCCCCCTGCGCCTGGGTTCCCCACGGCCTGGAACTTCTCTGGGGAGACAAGTCCTGGCCAGGAGGACGGAGGCCACGGAGCCTGTCGGGTCCTCCAGGACCAGCTCCTCTCTGCCCATCTGCATCCGGTTCTTCCGCTCAGGCCCGGGGAAAACCTCAGAGGACACACTAGTTCTCCCTCGCTTACCTCCACGGCGTCTCGGTTGGGCCTGTGCTGAGACTGTGTTAGCCCGGTGCCTTTATTCTCTATGGGGTGGGAGGGGACGGGGGTCCAGCAGAGTCACCTGTGACTGCCTCAGAGAATCCTTCATTAACCACCCAATTATCTTATGTTGCAAAGAAACAGTTCTGGAACTAATCATTCGGACGTTCCTGGGAGCAGGGAAGAGCTTCACGGGGCCGTACCGTGCCCCCCCCCCCCTTTGCTCTGTGGCTCCCTCAGCACTGGTCCCTACAGAACAACTCAGGATGGGATGTTCTGTGTTGGGGCTCTTGGGAGCCAGCTGTGGCTACTAGCCCACTGCAAGTGAAGCACTGAATTTTAAATTCTGTGTTATCTTAACTCAAGTGGCCACGGTGATCGTCACTACCACCTTCCCCAGCACAGTGACATTTTTTTTGCATCTGCTGAATTCCATCCCATTTCTCCTCTCTAGAGAGGAGACCGCGAGACCCGTGGGGGCCAGTGGCAGCCAGGACGCGGCGCAGAAGCTGGGCCGAAGTGTTTCCTTCCCTGTGGAGAAATCCTGGCTTGGCGTCCCTGGCCCTTCAGGAAGAGCCATGGCCTCAGCCACAAGCAGCAAGAAGATGCGGGAGGAGGCCACCTGCTCCATCTGCCTGAACCTGATGGCCGAGCCCGTGAGCATCAGCTGCGGACACAGCTACTGCCAGGCCTGCATCCTGCGCTTCCTGGACAACCAGCCGCGCCTGCCGCAGGAATCCCCCTGCCCGCAGTGCCGCGCCCCGTTCCAGCGGTTCAGCCTGCGGCCCAACAAGCAGCTGGGCGGCCTCATCGCAGCCCTCCGGGAGATGGACTGCGACATGTCCTGTGAGGAGCATGGCGAGCGGCTGCAGCTGTTCTGTGAGGAGGAGGGTCAGCTCATCTGCTGGCGCTGCGAGCGGGCCCCGCAGCACCAAGGGCACAGCACCGCACTCGTGGAGGATGTGTGCCCCGGCTACAAGGTGGGTGCGGGGTGGCTGCCTGGTTCCCTGAGACCCTGCACCATGCAGCCGGAGCCGAGGCTGTGACCCTGCCCTGCGGCCTCCCTTCGGCGGTCTTCCTGAAAACTGGGTCAGATTAGGGTGAGTCCTCCCTGGATCCAGTCCCGGCCGTCCTTCCCGACCTTCAGCGGCAGGGTGGACTCCCGTCGAGTCTGCTGTGGCTGTGACAATGTGTCCCCATGCCAGGACGCCGGGTGGTTGTTTATCACTCCGCTTGTGTATATAATGCGACACTGCAGGGCTGCGCGGGTGGGTCTCAAAGCACAGGGGACACAGACACTACTTTTTAGGCATCCTCAGTCCAGCAGGGAAGACAAACCTGGCGTCCCCAGGTTTGCGTGCCTGGGGTGTCGGTGGTACCTAGGGAGCCTTCCGGAAGCGCTTGGTGAGGGACACAGACGCTAACGCGTGCGCAAGTGTGGAGGAAAGGTAGGGCGCCCTGGGCGAGGGCACTAGGGGCAGCTGCAGGGCCAGGAGCAGGGCGTGGGGTGAAAGGCAGGGGTCGGCCCAGAGTCCTGTGTCCACGGGGTCTAAGCCTGGCACAGGGTCCTGACCTCTGGCCGCGGAAGGATCAGGCGGACACTGAACAAAGTACCTGCCCCGCACTGACGGATTTTCCCCATAAGGTGGGGGGGGGGGCGGCGGGCAGATTGTAAGCAAGATTCAGGCGGGGCACTTGAAGGAGCTGGGAGTGGTTGGTGGCGGAGGATGACTCCGAGGGAGAGGTTTGCGTGGCTCCTGTTTCTCACCCAGAAGCGCCTGGAGGAGGCTGACCTGGCCCTGGGGACTGAGGCATGGGCACCTGGTTTACTCCCCCTCTGCCCTGCCAGGGCCTGAGGAAAACGACCCCAGGGTGGGATTCCTGGTTTGCTCCCCCACACGGTGGAGGTGGTCTCCTGCAAGGCTCTGGGTTCCTCTTCAGGACACGTGCACCCTGACTGCCCCTTGGCACTCGGCAGGCCTCCCTTAAAGCCTGTGGAGCAGGTACAGACATAACCGGGGATGCTCCCCCTGCAATTCCTTTTCCGCCAAGTGGCAGGAATAGGCCCAGCACAGGGTAACGGCTGGGAGACGCGGAGGTCTCGTTGCTTAGTCTGAAGTCTCTGTTCTGCCACTTCCGGGGTGGGTGACATTGAGTGAGTTATTGAATGCCCCATGCCTCCATCTCCCACCTGTAAAGGGGGGGTAGCAGCCCCTCCCTCCCTAACTCGTATGCCCAGGAGCCGTGACAAGCTTTAAGGGCATGACTACGTGTAAAGCTCTGCATTCGGTGTGGAGCAAGGGCGGCACTGTCCTTGGCTCACCAGCCCAGCGGGCCCAGCACCCAGGTCTGCCGTGCTGACCACAGCCAGCCCTTAGGCTCGGCTCCAAACTGCTCTCCATGAGAACGTGAAGGACTGGTTTGAAAAATAACTCAAAAAGGCTTGGTGTGGATACCATATCATTTTAAATTGGCCTCACAGCACCCTTCTTCAGCAGACATCAGCGCTTCCTCCCCCTGCTGCTGGTTCTTAGGACTTTGCCCCTGCCCTTTCCTTCCTGACTCACCGCAGAACGCACAGGGCGAGCTGGGTGTGCAGCCTTGCCCGGGTTTGCTTCCGCGTGTTATCTGATCAGATAATAGTCTAACATATGGCCCTGTGCGTGATCGTTATCTTGCTCTGTGGGTAGCATTTCCTTGGCAAGAGTAGTTAGTGGTGGACAGAGGTCGGAACAGAGGTTGGGACAGAGGTCTGCAGATGGAGTTGAACTCACAGCTAGACCTTCACCAGTTTCAGCACCTGGGCAAGTTGCTTGTCCTCTTCTGAATCCTCAGTTTCTATGGCACAGAAATTGATGTTGAACATCCCACCAGTTGCTCAGGGCTGTTGAGGGGATAAGTGAGCAACTGACCCCGCAGCCCACGGGGTGCTGCCCGGCAGGGTCAGGGCTCCTAACAGGTTCAGTGTCGCTCTGATCGTTTTGGGGGCCTGGGCTCCTACCCCCCACCAAGCGCCTAATGCAGAGTTGCTGGATGGAATAAACTTTATTTACCCTGTTTTCCCTCCAGGAAAAGCTCCAGAAAGCCGTGACAAAATTGAGGCAACTGGAAGAGGAATGTGCGAACCAGAAGGCATTCCGGGGGAAGCAGATAACCAAGTGGAATGTAAGTATGCGTGTTCTCCGTCTCCTGTCTTGTGGCCTAGCACTAGGCGTGGGGGATGATCGGGCAGCGCGCAGTGGCCGTCTCCATAAACGAGACCAAATGGGGAACCCCACCAAGAAGCTGTGTTTGTTTTTGTGCCCTTGCTTGACGACACCTGTGGGAACTATCTCCTGCCCCTCAGCCTCTCAGCAGTACCTGGCCTGGCTGCCGATCGGGAGAAGCAGAAGCCCTGCTCCTCCTAGTCACCGAGAGCCACTATCCCGCACGGGTTTGTGGTTCTCGGTGCCTCCGAGTAGCTGCCCGGCTTGGGGGCCTCGTGACCCTGTCAGCGCCCTTTCTGGCCTCTAGGAGAAGATAAGTGTGAAGAGACAGAAGATCCAGTCCGACTTCAAGAACCTGCACAGGTTCCTGGAAGAGGAGGAGAAGTTGCACCTGTGGAGACTGGACAGAGAGAAGGAGCAGACTCTGATGAGACTGAGGGACAGCGAGTCCAGACTGGGCCAGAAGAGACGCCAGCTGGAGAGCCACATCCTGGAGCTGGAGGAGAGGTGTCAGGGCTCGGCGCAGAAGCTGCTGCAGGTGCGGCAGGGCCCTCGGAGGGCGGGAAGGTGGGGGGGGCGAGGGCCGCAGGCCGCACCCAGAGGTGGCTCGTGCGTGCGGGGAATCGGAAGTCACGCTTCTCTCGGACGCAGACTGATACCTGCTAGGTGCCTCCACCAGTCTGCAGGAACCCTCGATGTGAACCGGACAACTGCCCCCGCTGGGTGGACGTGGTGGGCTCCTTGGCCGAACAGACTTGGGGGCTGCCTCCCACTACCAGCTGCCCCTGTGCCAGGTGCACAGAGCCCTGTTGACAGTCTCCTGAAAAGCCTGTGCAGGTGACAGGAGGGGAACTAGGCAGGGTCCAGGCACGAGCCGGGCTTTGCCTGAGGGCTCTAGAGCTTGAGCCCAGCCCCCTCCCCCTCGGGAAGGTGGGCCGCACCTGTAGCTGCTCACTCCCAGTTCCCACTGGTAGATCAGGAGGTCACCGTGAGGCTGACAGTGTCACGTGGCTGCTCCACCCCCACGCAATGCCGGTGGCCGTCGCCCCCATTCCCAGTCGCTGTGCATGCCTCTGACGCTCAGCGACAAGCGGTCACACACAGGGAGGGAGGTGGGACCAGTGAAGGCAGGTCCTGCCCGTGGGAGTGTGGGGGGAGCTCCCCACGTACCTCAGCCACAAGGCGACAGACCCCGAACTTGAGGAGTGTCCTGCCGAGCTGACCGCCCCCCGGGGGTCAGGGTGGGGATCGTTTTTGCTGGGGCATCACCCACGTCGGAGGCTGCGGCCACTTCCCGCGGGGGAGTGGGGATTGGGACCAGCCCCGTGGATGTGGGTGTTCCCACACCCACCTCTGCCTTTGTGTCTCTGCAGGACGTGAAGGCCACGCTGAGCAGGTGAGTGTGGAGCGAGCGAAGGGGGAGGAGGGGCTGCGAGGCGGAGGGGCCGCTCTGCTGAGGCCGGGCCTCTGCTCGCCCCAGGAGTCAGGCCGTGCAGCTGGAGGCCCCGGAGGCCCTGTCCTTGGAGGTTCACACCGTGTGCGATGTTCCGAAGCTTTACTTCGACGTGAAGAAGCTACTGAGGACCTGTCAAGGTAGGTGAAGTCGCGGCGCCAAGAGTGCATCGGCTCCTGCGGTCCCCCGCTGCTCTCTGGGACCAGCGTGACCATTTCTGCCTCATGTTTCACAAAACTGAGGCTTGTAGAATGGCCTGTCCGAGCTCACACAGCTGGTCCGAAACAAGGCTCACCCTTGAGCATGGGCTGGTTTCGTTGAAAATAAACTGTTCTTGACAACAAAAAACCGTCTTTTCTTCCCCCCCGGCAGTGAGTGTGGTTCTGGATCCGGATACGGGGCATCGGGAACTGATTGTGTCTGAGGACCAGAGACAAGTGACTCGGGGGTGCCCCCAGGACAACCTGGACGTGTCTCCCAGGAGGTTCGCCGCCTCGCCCTGCATCCTGGGCCGGGAGAGCTTCACCTCAGGGCGGCACTACTTCGAGGTGGACGTGGGAGAAGGGACTGGCTGGGACGTCGGTGTCTGCGCGGAGAGTGTGCAGAGGGGCGTGGTCCTGAAGCAGGAGCCCCAGGCCGGCTTCTGGGCTCTCCGGCTGTGCGCCAAGGACGGCTACGTGGCGCTGACCTGGCCCCGCACGCCCCTGCGCCTCGGGGAGCAACCCCTGGTGGTGGGGGTTCTCCTGGACTGCGAGGCTGGAGTCGTTTCCTTCTACAGCATGACCTCAGGCTCTCACCTCTTCACCTTCCCCAAGGCCACCTTCTCAGCCGCGCTGCGGCCCTACTTCCAGGTCTATCCATACTCTCCCTTGTTCCTGCCACCGCCGGATGCGTGAGGACAGGAGCAGCGTCCGGGGCTGGGCTGGACCAGCCAGAGAAACTCTGTGAATCCGTGAGGCCAGGACCCTGGTCTGTGCCTCACTGCTGTTCCCGGCTGTTGTGGGTCCTCATCAATCTGCATTCGAGTGAAGGGCTGTCAGGACGGAGAATCCCACAGGTGGTCGTCTGAGCCTGACCTGTAGCTGCGCCCGTGGACTCAGAGCCCCGCTAGCCTGAAGTCCGTGGGTGATGCAGAGTTTGGGAGGTCCGAGGGCTCCCATTTTTTTTTCTTCTCACCTGAGGACATGCTCTTTGATTTTTTCTTTTTAAGAGTGAGGGGGAGGGAGGGAGAGAGAAAGAGAATCATCAGTGGGAGAGAGAAGCGTCGATCGGTTGCCTCTTGTACACACCCCAGCCATGAACTGAACCCGCAACCCAGGCATGTGCCGACTAGGGATCGAACCTGTAGTTTATGGGCTTCACTTTCGGTTCACGGGATGACACCGCAGCTGGCTGAGCCGCCCGGCAGGGCCCCCCAGCGTGTTTGATGCGGTTTGGACTCGAGTGGGGATGAGCAGCAGCTGCAGGTGCTCCGCTTGCTGCACGGAAGAGCCGGGAAACCGTGACAGCCATGAGTCCGGTAGCTGCCGAGTTGTTAGTCACTAATCTCAGCCACAGCCCTTGGGGACAGTGTCTTGGGGGACAAGGTGGGTGCAGAGGCCATGAGACTGCTGCGTTCTGCCCAGACTGGCCCGTGGGGGGCTGGAGAAAAGTGGGTTATGATGGGGCCTCCTCCTGCAAATAAAGTGGGTGTTTTCCAGAATGTGCTTGTGCCTGTCCTTGTGAAATGTTTTTCCATCTCAGTAAATAGTTATTGCTGGCATGGTTGCTGGTGGTCTTCGTTATTAAAGGTTCATACCTGAACAAATAGGGCTCAGCTCTACACAGATTTAGTTCGAAAAGCATGTTCCGCGTCCTAAATTATCATCCCTGAGATGATTAATGATGGGACCTGAGCGAAGTCCCATAAAACACAACACTACTGATGTCACAAACTTTCAAGTCGGTTGAAATCTAAATGTTACATATATGTTTTTTAATATTTTTTTTATTTGTCTTTAGAGGAGAAGGGAAGGAGAGAGGGAGAGAAACATCAATGTATGGTTGCCTTTCGTGCGTCCCCTGCTGGGAACTGGCCTGCAGGGAACTGGTCTGCAACCCAGGCGTGTGCCCTGACTGGGAATTGAACCACGATTGTCTGGTTTGCAGGCCCGCGCTCAATCCACTGAGCTACCCCAGCCAGGGCTAAATGTTACATATTTATAGCAAGAGCCAAAACCACACATAGGAGGCCCTTCTGTTTTCTTTGGCTGACAGTAGAGAATGAAAGAATGAAAGCAATTGGCTTGGGGACTTTTTAACATTTAGCCTAACAAATCTAGCCGACATGGTAATCTGCTGGCCCAATACTATTGGGTTGGCCAAAAAGTTGTATGGATTTTTCTGTGAAATAAAAGACACATTGTTCATTTTCATCAATAACTATATTTATTGATTTCAGTATTCTGGCCATCTCCTGTGTGGTAGGATGTTGACTGTTCGCAGTTAACGTCTTGATTTGATCACTGTCAGCTTCAGCTGGTCTGCCCGATGGGGGAGCATCGTCTGGCCAGAAACCTCCGGTGCGGAACTTCACAGACCACCTTTGACACGTTTGATCGGTCGCAGCGCCTTAATCCATACACTGCACACACCTTTTTCTTGTGTTTCAGTCGTGTTTGTAATCTTTCTCGAAATAATAAAACATAACATGCCAAAAGTGTTGCGGATTTTCTTCCATCGTCAATATTAAAATGGCTACTCAAAAATTCACTAATTTTAATACGTTTTTAAAGAATGTTGATGTGACAGCTGTCACAATACAATTTAACAGAATTGTTTCAAATGAAGTTAAAGACAACTGAGTGTTACTAGAGCCATCTTACGGGAGAAAACTTTTCGGACAACCCAAACATTCTATTTAAGTAGAAATATGCTTTAGAAGAAAAGGTGTCTTTCTCAGCTATTTTGTGAGGGAAACATTTTATTTGTACTCAAAATTAGTTTAAAGAAATGGACTCATTTAAACCATATATAGTTGATGGCATATCAATTAGGGAATTCTGATAAAGCCACTACAGTAATCCAATGTAAACATAAATGCCCATAACCTTGGGACATAATTTAAGAAACCAACTCTAAAGGAGCCAACACCTAATTTCAAGAATATGAAAAGTTGTAAAGTTAGGGCAGCCAAAATATTCTGGGATTCCTTCTAACACAAATGAATGACTTTGTAAATTCGGTTGTATGTACCAGTTGAAAGAATCATGAAGTGTAATAAATGATTATTATAAACATACAGTGGTATAGCACATTTGGTTATAAAAATCGAATATGTACTATGACAAATGATGGGAAGTGTACTCACAGATTTATAAAAATTAGAATTTAGCGTAGAAAAGTAAACATTAACGTTTGTTCTGAGTCAAAAACAATTTTTTTTGTGAGTAGATGGAGAGGAAGATGATTAGAGGCCGCTGTCCCGCCTCCGAGGCTGCGGTCGGCGCCAGCAGCCCGCGGGCGCCCTCTGCTGGGCACATCTCGGCCTCACTGGAAAACCCCGTTCCAGAATTCCCTCCCTCCTGTGCTAGGTGAGTCCTTCCCCTGGGGCTTCCATACTTGCCCCTCTCGAAGCCTTGCACCCTGGCACGGTGGTGTCACCCTGTGTATCTTATAGTCTAGAGGCATTTGCCAGCCATCATCTCCAGGAAGGCTCCCTGTAGCCTCTGGTCTCTCTCTGACTTTGACCTTTCGAAAAACTCTGTGTCTACCGCGGCCCAGGCTCTCGGGGCGCTGGGCACAGGTGGGTGGGTTCAAGGGATGGGAGGCAGCTGTGCGGAGGGGCGGGAGCCCGACGTCCTGGATCTGCCCGCGGGTCGGGCTCTGTCCTGTACCTTGAGAGAATGTGTTCCGGCAAGCCGGGAGCCTCCGTCTCTAAGGGAGAGTTTCGCGGCAGGTCGGAAGGAAAGGCCGGACCCCGCGGCCCGGAGGCCGGAACTGCCCGCAGCCCCAGGCCCGCCCTGGGCTCAGGGTGTGGAGCACAAGGCAGTGCGGGCGAGCGGTCATTTAGGAGGAAGGAACCGGGCTGGCTCCTCGGGGAATAAGCGGCCGGCTTCCTGGTTCTCAGGCCGTGAGGAGTGCAGGGAAGAACCCGGGGTACCGCTGAGACCTCCGCGCTCCCTGCCCCGAAGCCGGGAGCGGTCTCTGTGAGGGGGCCCTGGGGGCCGCAGCTTCAGGACTGCGGACCCCTGGACGTCTTCCTTCTGTCTGAACGTTCAAGGCAATTCTATTTCGGAGGTGGCCAAGGCCGTGCCTGGAACCGCACACGCAGAGGCATTGCCATTCATTGGAGGGTCAAGTCGCGTGTCTGGACGACTTCCCACACAGGGACACGGGGAGCCACCCCTAAAACCCAAGCTCCACGACAATTTATTTATTTGTTTGTTTGTTTGTTTGTTTGTTTGTTTTTAGAGAGGGAGAAGGGAGGGAGAGAGGGAAACATTAATGTGTGGTTGCCTCTCACGCGCCCCCTACTGGGGACCTAGTTGGCAACCCAAGCAGGTGCCGTGACTAACAATTAAACCGGCGATCCTTTGCTTTGCAGGCCGGCGCTCAATCCACTGAGCCACACCAGTCAGATCTAGGCTAGTCAAGGGCTCTTTAAGGGCAAAGATGGAGGATTAAAGGTTAGGGGTCATGGGTGAAGCTGATTGGTAAATACTTGTGCTAGGGTTTCCTTAGTCTGATTAATGTAGTTCTTGAAGTCATCTTGTCCAGGACCTCCTAACTTTGGTTGGGTGATCTCGCCAGGCTGAGGACTCAATATCCCACGAACATTCCACAATTGTGCATCAGTGACATTAGAACAAAATGCAGAAACTAAATAATCTTGTAACCATTGTTTGTAACTAAAATGTTTAATATTCAAAATTGTACATATCTAATAAATTACATGTAATGTATAAATGGAAAAGATATCCTAGACCATGAAAATATAGGGGAAAAAAATGCCCAAATTAGAAAACGATCTGCAACACAGGTGATAAATGTAAGGTTAATTTTTCTATTATATACAAATCTATAACGAGACAAGAGGAAGCCAGACGGCTCAATGAATACATGAGCCGAAAATCTAAGTGGGAGTTCCCAGAAGTGCTTATTCGGGTGGATAAACCTAAATAAAGGAAGTGACCATGTGAAACGATTTTACGCCCTTTAGCCTCGCAGAAATGAACGAGACCTCACTTTGACGCTGGAGGGAGGGGAGCTCTTTTCAGGGTCTGCGAGACCACCCGAGACGTCTCGGCGCCGGCAGGCCGTCTGCCGCACCAAGGTCAGCAGCGGGAAATGGAAACGTCCGTGCTCACTGCTCCTCCTCGTGAAGGACATTGTCTAAAAGATGATTTCACTGGAAAAGATTTTCTCAGAGTTCAGTGAAGAAAAAAAAGCAAAATACAGGAAAGTGTATAGTAACATCACAGTTCTGTAAATAAGAACCCCAACTGAAAAACAGAATAATCGTGCACGCGTATGGGCTGGTGTCTGTAAAAGAGTGAATTCAGAGGAGAGCATGAATATACAGTGTGGATAAGGGGGACTGGGGACAGGAAATGCATGTGGCAGAAGTTAGGGTTTGCAGGGAGCCATGCAAAACAATGGAAAAAACCCAAAGATCTGAAAAACAGAGTTATCAGCTATTAAACGATTTGTATGCACATATATAAAAAGTATTAAGACCACTTGAGCTGTATTAAGTAAAAGTGAGTAAACCTGGCTTATCATGTAATTTTTCTTCGACTGTGAAAAAAGACCTCTTTACACTCTGAGTCCCAGAATTAAAATTTCCATGGCTTAAAGGGACAATTCTGTGAAAGCAACCCCAACCATTAATGTAGTGCAGCCCACGCTACCAGGGTGGAAAACAGTGCACGCGATGAAATACGATCAAGTGAAGCAGAGAGTGGGAATTTCAAATATCCAATCAGGGACGTTCTTTTTCTATACACAGAAAAACCGGGTAAAGATTTTGATATTTGGCTCTAAAACTCCATTGCAGCCAAGCACGTTTGTCCTCACTCTGGACGGAAACTAGGGGGCAGCCGGCAGATCCATGCGGGGTAAGGCGCCGAGCCAACGGGCGCACCAGGCACTGTCAGAGCACAGCATGGAGGCGCTGCAGGAGGCCCACAGCCAGACAGCAGCCTGCGCGCCATCCACCCCAGTGACTCGCCGCCACTGCAAAGGGCAGCCGGTCTGGAGGCAGATGTTAAGCCATAGGTTCCAATTTCCCCCAATGCATTTCTAGGTTTCGTGACTGCTTCAGGGAATCCTGCAGGCGCGAGGGGGGGGGGGGGGGGCGGCGGCGGAGGGCAGCACTCACAGCTTGCCCTGAAGGTAGTTCCCACCAGTGACTAGTTTGGAGTGTGGGACTTCATGTCACCTGGGGGCTTCAAAACCAAACTTGGGGTTCTCAGTGAGAATTTTGATTCTCTGTGGCTCTGATGCAGAGAAGACTGGGCATTTTCGAGGGGGCTGAGAAATGTCAGTGAGCCAGACGCATTTGTACTTAATAGCTCTTTTTGCAGAGACATGTTGGTGGCTCTTAAAAGAGCCGTTGGGTTCTGGGAACAAGATTCCAACCGGAACTCCTACTTTTTCTTGGGTGCAGCCTTCTTGGGCTTGGCAGCAGCCTTTGGCTTGGTCACCTTAGCTTTGGGCGCTTTGGGTTTCACAGTCTTGGCTTTGGCTGGGCTTTTGGCTACTTTCTTGGGCTTCACGGCCTTGGGCTTCTTGGGACTCTTGGAGGCTTTCTTGGTCACTGGTGGCTTTTTGACCTTCTTTGGAGTTTTGACAACTTTTTTAACAGCAGCACCAGTAGTCTTCTTGGGTTTCTTAGAAGCGCTGCCTGCTGCCTTGGGTTTCGCCACCCCCTTGGCAGCGCTGGGCTTGGACTCGCCGGAGGCCGCCTTCTTGTTGAGCTTGAAGGAGCCCGAGGCGCCGGTGCCCTTGGTCTGCACCAAGGTGCCTTTGCTCACCAGGCTCTTGAGGCCCAGCTTGATGCGGCTGTTGTTCTTCTCCACGTCGTAGCCCGCGGCCGCCAGCGCCTTCTTGAGCGCGGCCAGCGACACGCCGCTGCGCTCTTTGGAAGAGGAGACAGCCTGGACCAGCAGCTCGGAAACGGAGGGCCCCGCGGGCTTCTTCTTGGCGGCCGCTGCGGCCTTCGCCGGCTTTCTCGCCTTCTTGCCAGCCGCAGGTTTCTCCGGGGCAGTGGAGACCAGCGGAGCAGGAGCGGGTGGCGCGGTCTCAGACATGGTGGAAACAAAGTAGGAGTATGTCAACTGTAGGAACCTCACAGACAGAAAGACGCCGCGGTTTCGGGCGCCTGGTATTTATAAGGCAGGGCCGCGCTGTGATTGGTGCGTGTCGCGGCCGCGCCCCCTGTCGCTGCTGTCGCGCTCTGCTCCTCCGCGGCTCCAAAAGCCACCCGCGCCCCCTGGCCTCGGGTTCCCCATTACTATCGCGCGCCCAGGCTCCAGGACAATACCCTGTCACCCCCGAGAGACAAAAAAAAGACGGGGGAAGGTCGGACTCTGCCGCCCGTCAACATCGTGGTGCGCTACTCTCCCCTCCTTTTTTTCCACAGGCTCTTTTCATGGGTTGGGGGGTCCGTTTGTAAATGAGACAGTCATCTGAGCCCAAGGAGTTTCACCTGAAACTTCACCTACAGGAAGCGTTGTTAGGGACATATCTCTCTAACCGGCAGAAAAACGCAAGGGACCGTTTTTGAATGGCTGGGGAGGGAGAAGACAGCGGGGTGTAGGCCCGCTAGTCAGCAACGCCGAACAGTCATGACCGGTGTGCACCTGGACAAAGAATCGTAGACAACACCAGAGCAATTAACACTCATTCTGGGCATGTAGACAACCTAAGGTGCAAAGTTTCTGTAATTCCGATTTATTTCTGCAGCCCAATGCACTTCGAGAATGTCGTACGTCTCAATCCTTACAACATATGCCAAACAGACCCTAACGTGTAGGATCAGTGTTCCTTGTCAGCATGTCCACTCGAAAGATTGACGGAGCTGAAACCCCAGTATCCGAGGCATTGGCACAGCCCCGGGCGATTACACGGATCCCCTAAGGGCACACTGTGCGAGGGTTTTCAGAGGGAGGGCGCACATCCAGGGATGATATTTAGGGCAGACTTCCTTACCTTGTTTGTGACTACCAAAATGCTTAATTTCACTAATAATGTTGACAAGTAAGCTGCCCCCCAGCGGCGAGAGAACAGGGCAGTGACGTCTTGTTCCCGCACTCGGCCGTGGTTCTCAAACAAGTCCGCTAGCCTGCTAGCTGGTTGCCCTGGTTTCTATAGCAACAACAAAGCCCATTACCAGAGGGAGGGCGCTAATGTCACGATCCCAAACACTTCGCCTCCATCTTCTCTACCTCTCTTCCAACCTTTCATTCTCCGGAGATTTTATGTTTTTAAAATGTATCACAAAATTCCCGAGTCAGAATTTGGAAGAGGAAAATTGGAACCACGTGTCTTAGTTTGAAGGACAAAAAACTGTAATAACAGGTTTAAATCTTCCTCCAAGACTGGATGGTCCCCTATGGGAATACTGTTTCAAAGATGGAGATAAATCTTTGAGGTAATTGGTAAGTCATCTAAACAAATGCGGCTTTTAAAGCAAAAACACTGGATTGAGACTTCTTGTCAGCATAATGGTTTCTGCGTCTTGTAAACTACAATTCTGCAAACGCGCTAGGTCTGCTTTCTTAATAGCAGCTCTGCCTAATGGACTCGGCCAATCAAGTTGCAAAATAGGATCCACTTCATCCTAGTATAAAGGAACCACATTCACATCCGTCAAGCTAGAAAACTTTTAAAAATAACTATGGTGTCTTGGAGATGTGACGTTGTCCTCCCCAGGATCTGGCATCCATTTTTTGGGCTAGTAGCTGTGTATTTAGCCTTGGGGCGGGATAGCATTACAGTCTCAGCCTTTCTGCACCTGGCAAAATGTACTCCAGGGTTTAGGAAACATGAGTTTCAGGAAACTCAGTGTAGGATTCAGACCATAAGCATTTCACAAAAACGTGCCTCATTACAGGGGCGGGTTCTGTGACAAGCTGCTGTGATTTACTTGAGATTACGTGTGGTTGTTTTCAAAGAAGTCCCTCAGTCAACCTGGGGAGGGGGGAGGGTCCAACCTTTTGGTGTCTTTGGGCCACACTGGAAGAAGAATTGTCCTGGGCATGTAGCCCAGTGATTACACAGGGCATGTAATCACAAGAAAAGTCTCATAATGTTTTAAGTAAATTTACGATTCTGTGTTGGGCTATGCAGCTTGTGGGCTGCAGGTTGGACATGCCCTTGGAAAGGAGATCTGGTTACTCTAAAGGTTATAGAAATTTGTCAGGAGATCTCGGATTCTGTAGCAGGTGGCTTGTGGAGTATGTAATCCATGGCTGGGGTGCATATTCTGTCCATAAACCACCCCTAAGAACTAAAATATACGGCATTGAAAAGCTACAGTTCCGTTGAGGCTAATGTTTTTACTTGCATTAAAATATAATGTTCAAAGCATTGCATTAAGAATATAAAAATAACACGGGGCGAGAAAGAATAAAAATTAAAAACTGGAAGAGCCCAGGAAAGACCGTAGTAGTCAGTGAAACTGCACGGTTGTTGGGAACCTTAAAGATACACCAATCAGAGCATGAAATGTAATAGCTAAACATTTTTCTCAACCAATCACTACACCCTGCATCCTATAAATACTAGCAGACCTGCTTAGCGATGTATTTCCTTATTCTTCAGTCCCTGTCTCATAGATTTCATTATGGCTCGGACTAAGCAAACGGCGCGCAAGTCCACGGGCGGGAAAGCCCCACGCAAACAGCTGGCCACCAAGGCGGCCCGCAAGAGCGCGCCGGCCACCGGCGGCGTCAAGAAGCCGCACCGCTACCGGCCCGGAACCGTGGCCCTGCGCGAGATCCGCCGCTACCAGAAGTCCACCGAGCTGCTGATCCGCAAGCTGCCCTTCCAGCGCCTGGTGCGCGAGATCGCGCAGGACTTCAAGACCGACCTGCGCTTCCAAAGCTCGGCCGTCATGGCGCTGCAGGAGGCGTGCGAGGCCTACCTGGTGGGCCTGTTCGAGGACACCAACCTGTGTGCCATCCACGCCAAGCGCGTCACCATCATGCCCAAGGACATCCAGCTCGCGCGCCGCATCCGCGGGGAGCGGGCCTGAGCTTGAAGGACATTTATTTCTCCTAAAGGCTCTTTTCAGAGCCACCCACGTTTTCTAAACAAAGGGCTGCAAAGACTGAGTTCACCCACAGGCTCAATATAACTAGGCATGTACTAGGCAGTAAAGCATAACCAGGCCCCACCTGATCGTGTAATGAATCGTATAAGTGCTACCTGCTTATTCGAACAAGCTGCCTTTTAAGTCTTCAGTAGGACTTTAGTCAATACAGAGCAAGTGAAAGTTGGAAACACGTGAAAGAATTGGCATTACGGGAGTTAATGATGCCTCCTAAGTAAAACATTAAAACAAGGTTTCTCATTTACTACAAACTACTCGAATTTGATTTCTTATCTTTTGCCGGATTTACGACTACCCGAACTTGCCGTGAAATCCTTTTGCCTTTTTGTATTTTTCCTGCTTGCAATATTTTTTGCAATCCAGTTGACTCAGCCTAGTCAAAGGAACAAAAGCTACGCAGTGCGTGTTCAAGTGAGCTCTGGCGCCCACCCCCGCCCCGCCGCCAGTGCCGGGGCTCGGGGGCGGGATTAAGGGAGGTGACTGTTGACGTCACATCTCCCGCCAGAGCGCTTTCCAATCTCTAGGGCTGCTGGGAGAGTGGGTGTTTAAGGGGTGGGGAAGGTAGCTATATAAGAACCGGCTCTCTCCTTCCTTGTCAGTTGCTTTTGGTTCTCTACTTACAAAGCAATGTCTGGACGTGGCAAAGGCGGGAAGGGTCTGGGCAAAGGCGGCGCCAAGCGCCACCGCAAGGTGCTGCGCGACAACATCCAGGGCATCACCAAACCCGCCATCCGCCGCCTGGCCCGCCGCGGCGGCGTCAAGCGCATCTCCGGCCTCATCTACGAGGAGACCCGCGGGGTGCTCAAGGTCTTCCTGGAGAACGTGATCCGGGACGCGGTCACCTACACGGAGCACGCCAAGCGCAAGACGGTCACGGCCATGGACGTGGTCTACGCGCTCAAGCGCCAGGGCCGCACCCTCTACGGCTTCGGCGGCTAAGTCACTGAAGTCACATAACCTCGTGTCCACCAAAGGCCCTTTTCAGGGCCGCCCACACTCTCCTGGGAAGAGCTGTACGCACCGTTCTTGTTCTGGCAATTCTGCAAGCGTTATCTTATGTTTGGTGTCAAGCGAGATCTTAATCTTTAGCTGTAGATGCAAGCCAGATGGTGGCTTCACCACAGGCCTCAGCCTGTGTGTGCGCAGGGGCCCGTGAGCGTGAGGACCTTGGCTCCTTGAGAAGGAGCTGGTGGTGCTTGCGGGGGTGGCTACCTGCAGGAAGCAAACTAGAGGGGTCCTCACCAGTTCCAAACCCTTACCTGAAAGACAAAACCCAGGAGTACCTATTTCTGGGAGTCTCCCTGTCCTCTCTTCCCTTCAGGGACTCTTCTGCTGTTTGTCCACTGTGAAAGGATCCACCACAGGCCGTGGTGAAGGAAGCAGTTTCCAGTGAGTTGGGACCTTGAAAGTGCCAGTGGGTTCGGTAAATACACGAATTACCAGTGCGAGGGTGGAGCTAGACGCTCCAAGGAAGCCAGATCGATCAAAATTCTACATTTCCAGCAAAACTGTGAGTATTCTCAATATATTTGCCTTGGGAACGTCCCAAAAGAACAGACTTTGGGTTCACCTGACCCCCTCCCCCAGGCTTCAGGCCGATTGTCCTCGCTTCCCTTCTAACCAGACTGGCTTGGGTTTAAATGTAACTAATCTGGGCCTTATGTCCATTCTCAGGCCGGGCCCCTCCTTAAACCTGACACTAGCAGTTTCTAGATGACATGGACTTAAGCCAGCGATTTTCAACCTGTGTCACAAGAATTTTTAAGGGGCCAGAGGCTCCCGCGGCCCCGGACGCGTGCTGTGCGCGGGCCTGTGAGATGCTCGTGTCAGCAGCCGAAGCGGCTGCGGCGATGGCGGCGGCAGCGAGGCCGAGGGAGGCAGCTGCTCGCGGGGCCAGTGCCTAGACAGGACCCTGGAGGGGCAGCGCCGCTGCTACAAGATCTTGGTGGTGGGACGCGGGGAGTGCGGCAAGACGGCGCTGCTGTAGGTGTTCCCCAGGGACCTGAGAACCACACTGCGAGCTTTTCTTGCGGTGGACAAGCGCAGCATTGAGCTCAACTTGTGGGACAGTTCAGGTTCTTCTCACAGTGACAGCTCCTGCCCCTGGCCTAGCCTGATTCAGACGCGGTGCTCATCTGCTTCACCGTGAGCCGACGGGAAACACTGGATAGTGTCCTCATGGAATGGCAAGGGGTGACCCAGGAGTTTTGCCCCAATGCCAAGGTTGTGCTGGCTACAACTGGAACATGTGGACCGACCTGGCCACACTGAAGCACCTGTCCACACAGCGGCTTATTCCTGTTACACAAGAGCAGGGCACTGTGCTAGCCGAGGCGATGGGACCTGGCCTGCGGTGGAGTGCTCCTCCCGGTCCTCTGAGCACAGGGTCAAGGATGCCTTCTTCATGGCCACAGTGATCTCCCTTGGCAGTGGCTATAGGGAGGGGATTGTAGGGGTCTAATCAACTGTTGGGATGGCCAGATCCGAGAAATGGGAATGAAGGCAAGATACCCAAGGACTGAGCCCAGAGTTGCAACCTCGTGTGAGGAGGCCGGGAGTGGTAGAGTGTCAGCAGCCGGTGAAGGGCACAATGGTTCTCCTGGCTGCACCCTGGCTTCCCTGACCCCCTGACTCTGGCTAGGACCGAAGGGCAGGCTGAGAGCGATTCTAGGCAAGGGCCTGGAGGCAAAGGGCACCATCATTTCCACATCCGCCCAGTCTGTGAAGGGTGCCCTCCACAAAGCCTGGTCCTGAGAAAGTGTCTGGACTTCCCTGGGAAAGTGTCGCTTCCTTCCCTGGGAAAGTGTCTGTTCCATGACCTCTCCTCTCACTTCTGCGCCTGTTCTCACATCCTAACCTCCAAGCACCATGCACTACGTTAAAAAGCAGGTTGAGAAGCCCTTCCCGTCCGTCATGGACCCACCAGCCCTAGCTAACCCTAACTCCCAACAGTCCCCCAATAAAGCCCATGGCCATTGAGAAAAAAATATACATGATGTATGAGTAGTCAGGGGCACTGACCTCTTTTCCCTTTGTTTTTTTAAAAAGCCAACACAATAGCTATCCAGTGTAAATGTATCAAAATTATACCTTTTGGTCCGGCTGGCAATATATATATATATATGCAAAATATTGGTATTTTTTCCGCAAAATATTGGTAATTTGTTTATGTGCATCATGAGATGAAAAAGGTTGAAAATTGCTGGCCTAGACTATTCAGCGTTAAAAATTGGGTCTCTAACTTCCTGAAATCTGAGACCCTCGCTGTGTGTGCAGGAGATTCTTCTGTGGCCACTGGCTCTCAGTGCTGCTGTGAACCCTAAACTTGTTTCTCCTTTTTATCACAGTCCATTGAAACACACAATATAGATCTCCTCAGCCCGATAAAGCAGACAACAGTAACAATCTACATTTTTAAGAAAGTTCCTTATCATACTCCCCCCTCCCCCCTTTTTGAATGGAAGTATTTCGCCCCTATCTGAATGCAGTCAATTGGTTCAGAATGGGAAAAACTCAAGTTTGACTTCAGAGAGTTGCGTGGCTGTACAGGTATCAGAATTAATACTGCCTTTCTTTTCCTTTATCTACTGTTCATATTTAACTACAGAATTGACCTACATACACGAAAGTGTCTTGGCTAATTTGTTAACAGCTCTTCCCGAGAGGAAGTGGGTGGCCCTGAAAAGGGCCTTTGGAGGAAAACTTAGGGTTGCAGAAACGTTGACTAAGCCACTGAAGCCGTAGAGGGTGCGGCCCTGGCGCTCGAGCATGTAGACCACGTCCATGGCCGTGACCGTCTTGCGCTTGGCGTGCTCTGTGTAGGTGACCGCGTCCCGGATCACGTTCTCCAGGAAGACCTTGAGCACCCCGCGGGTCTCCTCGTAGATGAGGCCTGAGATGCGCTTGACTCCGCCGCGGCGGGCCAGGCGGCGGATGGCGGGTTTGGTGATGCCCTGGATGTTGTCCTGCAGCACCTTGCGGTGGCACTTGGCACCCCCTTTGCCCAGACCCTTCCCGCCCTTGCCTCGACCAGACATGGTGAACAACTAACTGCACACTGTGATGTTTGTCCTCAAACTGGTTGCTGCAGATTCTTAAGTAATAACTGGGCTGACCTGGTTTTAAAAAGACCAGGAGAGATGGAAAACGACCCTTAGCCCCCGCCCCCTCAGGTAAAGTCTCAGTAAACAGGGAGTAGGGAGATTCTTCTGGTATTTAGAAAATGAGAAATTCAAAACAAGAGAACACAAGTGTACACAGAAGACATCACCTCATTTGTGTGTGTTGTGTGTGTTTAAGATTTATTCACCCCATGGATTTTCTTGGGTCATTTCCATACTGAGATTGCAACAAACCCAAAACCCAAGAAGCATATGGGAGAAAAAGAGTTGCCAAGCAACCCAACCAAGCTCTGGGGTTGGAATCATTGAGCTGCTCCTCTCAAGCTGTTTTTGGGCTTGTTTCTAAACTGAGTTGAGTGGCCTTACCCAGTAAAAGAATAAATATTAGGTAATAATTTTTATTGTAAGCTAAAAGTCAGGCTTACACAGAAAATTTCTTTCACCTGGATTTCTCTTTTAAAAAGAAATATGTATAAGAGGACTAAAAGACATAGAAGGATTTCATAGCATTCCAATAGAACACCAACATGCACAGTGCGCTTTGAATAAATTGATCATGTACATTTAAATAACGGATTACAGAGGAAAAGAATGTAAAGCCCAGAGGCTAATGCCCTTTCTTGCCCACTGTGGGACCAAGGAACCTCTCCCATGTGTGCAAAAGTATAAGGAACTTTCTTAAAAATGTAGATTGTTACAGTTGTCTGCATTATACCTAAGTTGCCTTATGTATACCTTCTTACCTGTTAGGTGTTTCTGAATGTGAATTCTGGGTGTGTCCTGTAGCTGAAGATTTATTCCAGCAAGAAGTCTACAATTTTTGAGTAAACTTCAGGGACCGGCTGGTGCTGTTTTGTCAGGGCATTGACTTTAAAGTGCAGAGCTATTTACTAGAGACTTGTTTATCAATTGAGCGATAGGTAAATCGCCAATAGGAGCCCCCATTTTTGTGTGCAACAATATTAAATAGAAAATTCATGTATTCTGAGGGCGTTACAGAAATTGCATTTGGAGGAAAGTGGGAAGCTGCCAACTAGCTGAAGATTTTAAGGATTACTGTTTCAGGAATACAAGATCCGTGTACCACTATAGTAAAATTTTTTCCAAAGATGGGGCAGACATCTTGAGGAGGTTGCTAAAACAAGCTCCGCATCCTTAAGATATATAGCTATCACGCAATACATTATTTTGTGCAGCTACTCATTGTGAAAGAGGTAGCTTCACAGAATAAGTTGTGGTTGTCGGACGAGGAACATTGTACCTCAAAGAAAAAGGTGAAATGAAGTTGAGTATTTAGAAGGTGGCAAAGGAAATTGTATGCAGGTTCCAGAAGTACTTGCAAACCTATGCTGTATTCTTTTAGAGGAGTTAACACTCTCACGCTTACAGATCTTCAAGTTGTTTTGGGAGCAGATACCAGACAACCACTCCAGTGCAGGCCTCCCACTACTGTACCCCCGACCCCCTTTTTGGGGGGGACAGAATTTCTTTGCTAACAGCTCTTCAAACTGGAACTGTAGGTGGCTCTGAAAAGAGCCTTTGGGTTCAAGGTCACCACACGCTGAGGACAGCTTATGCCCGCTCCCCACGGATGCGGCGCGCAAGCTGGATGTCTTTGGGCATGATGGTGACGCGCTTGGCGTGGATGGCGCACAGGTTGGTGTCCTCGAACAGGCCCACCAGGTAGGCCTCGCACGCCTCCTGCAGCGCCATGACGGCCGAGCTCTGGAAGCGCAGGTCGGTCTTGAAGTCCTGCGCGATCTCGCGCACCAGGCGCTGGAAGGGCAGCTTGCGGATCAGCAGCTCGGTGGACTTCTGGTAACGGCGGATCTCGCGCAGGGCCACCGTGCCCGGGCGGTAGCGGTGCGGCTTCTTGACGCCGCCAGTGGCCGGCGCGCTCTTGCGGGCCGCCTTGGTGGCCAGCTGTTTGCGAGGGGCCTTCCCGCCCGTGGACTTGCGCGCCGTCTGCTTAGTACGAGCCATAACTACACACCAAGAGCGCTCAACTGCAAAAACAGCACGAGCAAACCCCTGCGCCCGATATATATAAGGCGCGGCCAGCGCTGATTGGACCACACATCTGCCCATCAAGCTTCGCAGTGAAGTTATTGGAGGCGGCCGCCATTTTCTCGTACAGGGGAACCTCCCGGGCGTTGACACCGGAAACTAACTTCTCCCGCCCCGCCCTCGCCCCCGCCCTCGCCCCAACAGCCGCTGCTTTCTACCCTTTCGCGCCGCTACCGTCTCTATGCCTGTTCTTTGCAATACTCTTGGTTTCTCCGCAGAACTTCGTGTCAACCTTACTATGATATACATCGTTTGCCCAGTAAAAACTTTAGACTTGGGACTCTCAAACTGGCCTTCCTTTGGTTACTTTGAAAAGGCGCGCGCTACACGGGATTGGCCCAGTGACCACGCGAGACGAAAGGGGGAGCGTGGCCCCTTCCCGTCGGTCCAACCTTGATTTACGTTTAGATGGAACAGTGCCCGGTCAAATGGGGATTTCAGTCGGGGTTTCCCCACGGTGTGACCCACCCAGCGACCCGGCGCGGAGGGTCTCGGGAAGCGTTCTTTCGCGAGGCGGGGGTCTGCTCTCACGGACCCTGCGCTCGCGAGTCTATCGGTGTTCACACGCTGACACCTGCTGGCAGACTGAGGAGCTGCGCTTTAGGGTCAATTGAAAAGAGACGCCTGCCACACAGAAACCGAGAGACGAGCCCTTTTGATGACAATGTGGGTGGCTCTGAAAAGAGCCTTTGGTTTCGACTTGGAGTCGCTGCAGGCTTTTACTTGCCCTTGGCCTTGTGGTGGCTCTCGGTCTTCTTGGGCAGCAGCACGGCCTGGATGTTGGGCAGCACCCCACCCTGCGCGATGGTCACCTTGCCCAGCAGCTTGTTGAGCTCCTCGTCGTTGCGGATGGCCAACTGCAGGTGGCGCGGGATGATGCGCGTCTTCTTGTTGTCGCGCGCCGCGTTGCCCGCCAGCTCCAGGATCTCGGCCGTCAGGTACTCCAGCACGGCCGCCAGGTAGACGGGCGCGCCGGCCCCGACCCGCTCGGCGTAGTTGCCCTTGCGGAGCAGGCGGTGCACGCGGCCCACGGGGAACTGCAGCCCGGCCCGCGACGAGCGCGTCTTGGCCTTGGCGCGAGCCTTGCCGCCTTGCTTTCCGCGTCCAGACATGACTTCTTAAAGGAGAATCGGATGCCTCAGAGAGAAAAGTAAACTGGATGGAAGTAAGTGGGAAGCCAGGCAAGTATTTATACTAACTTGAGGTAGGCTTATGCAATTTTTTCAATGGCCAATGGGATCTTAGTTCCTGCCTTCCTAATTTACATATGCGGCTAGGAGGTTGGGTTTTTTTTTTTCTTGTTCCAAGGTAATTCGGTCTGATGAATCTGTACTTTCATATTCATAATCGAATCGATTTTTTTCTAATTTCTTTTCTCACGCACAATCCATCATTAATGATTGCCCTCGTGTCCTGACATTTGGTCACTGGTCCTTTTCTGAGACTGTGACTCCTGATCTTGGAAAGAAGTCTTCTTTCTAAATAGATTTAGATCACAATTTCTAAATAGATCACATTTAAGAGATGCTTGTACGCCAGGCGTTCTCTTAGGTTTTTAGAGGTCAGAAAGTAGGGAGACAGGAAGAACATTCCTTTCGGTCTCTCAATTCATCTTACACTATTTGAACAGTGAAAAATGAAAGGAGGAACTGGATGGTCCTGTGCCTGACCTAAGACAGCAAGCCCATCTCCATTTCATTCACAGTTCCTGTCCGAGGCTTTCAGGGATCACCCTGAAGGTATGTGGCCTGAGTAATGTCATTGTAGAGGCTGAAACAGAGAGACCCAGATTGGTTATTCCCTGTGGTAAAGGTCACACTGAGTTACTGAGACCACGGACTCTGAACTCCTGGCTGGAAAGGCCTCTGCTATCATTTTCCTCCTCCATCCCACCCTCTTCGTTTCCCACGTGGGCACAACACACAGGATGCTGGTGGTTTCAGAATATCCCATCATGCTCCAAACCCTGGTGCACCTCTATGGTTAGAAGGCAGGAAACACTGAAATAAACGTCCTTTGTTTGAACCACCTAGTCTATAATATTTTGTTATAGTGGTCTGGATATACCATAAAAGGTTTTTTTTTCTTTTAAAATGTGAAGGCGAAGTAGAAATGGGCAGTTCCCTACTTCCCTGCAATGAGATGCAGTCATGAAAATTATGACTGGAACCTCTCTTTATTAATCTTACAGGAAAACAAAAAGGTGACCTCACTCATACAACCTGTTATGTATAGATTTCCACAGGTAAATTTCTGGAAAATTCGTGACCTAAATATCCTGGCTGACGGAATTAAAATTTTCTTATTAAAATGACTTGTAGTGGGCATTATTTTATTTAAAGATTTCATTTATTTATTTTTGGGCAGAGGGGGAAAGGAGAAAGAGGGAGAGAAGCACCGATCGATGTGCCAGAGATGCACAGATCTGTTGTCCCTGGCACGCCCACTGCTAAGGACTTGGCTGGCAACCCAGGAATGTTCTCTGACTGGGAATCAAACCAGCGACCTTTGCGTTTGCAGGCTGGCACTCAGTCTGAAACTGGAAAAGACACTGGAGGTCATGTTGTCTGTCACGTGCCAAACCCAATAAGCAGAGACACGGATTGAATCTTTATGGGCGCTTTATTGAGACAGCCGGTGATCTGAGTAGACAGTGAGTTTGCAACCCTAACAGAATTGTCTTACATTTTCTTTTCAGGCCGATGTTTTCATAACAGGTAATAAACAAAGGAGTGCTGAGGGGTTTTGAAATCTAGGGAGAATTAGGTGAAAGAAACTGTACCATTCTCATCCTGGGCAGTTAGCTGTTCCCGGGACAGGTGGTGTCTGTCCCTCCCTGGAACACAGTGCGCAGATACTTGACCCTGGCCTTAATCTTCAGCGGTGCCCCAGGAGGTCGGTTGTCTCATCCCTGAGCCAGGATGGGCCTTATCTGTAGTTTCTAAAACAATAGCTTTAACATATGCATTACTTACTAGGCTTATAGCAATTTACCTTAAACTAAAATTTTCTGACTCTTGCGTCCTCTATCAAATCCACTGAGCCACACCAGCCAGGGCTATAGTAGATATTATTTTTAAGTAAGGGGCAGGCTAGATTTTTCTAGGAATCTGAAAAAACTCATTTAAATGCGTATATGACTGACTGAAATGGAAAAGACACAGAAAGCACATTGAAAGCTGCTGAAAGACACTGAAGAAGGAATTGAGAAGTTTGCACTCTCTCTTCTGCCAGGAATCAGGAGCCAGGGCAGCCCCTGGGTCCTAACTGTGCCTTCTCATTCATGAGCACCAGCAGTCTGTGGGCCTCGGGTTACCTGGCTTTCAGGTGACCTCTCTTTTTTAGAATTCTCAGTCTTCCTCCAAATTCAAAGTCTCCCTATATTCTGCCTCTGGTTTCACGCATCCACAACTCTGCCTTGATCAGCAGCTCTTTCCTCTGTCTCCAGAGCCAGTTCTTCCTGTCTTCTTATCATCTCTGTTGAATAGGGAAGAAGGCAAAAGTTTCTATGACTGGTCAGGAGAGCTAGGAATGTAGTGCAGATTATTTTTCTTTTGTTTTCTTTAACTCAGAGACAGTAGCTCCACAGAAAATTTGGGTGTTCTTCACGGTGTATAAACCCTTTTGTTAGATAGGATGAGGATCTCTAGGTCTGGTCAATTGTTACTAAATGGTATTCCTGCTAAATGTTAAAATGTTACACCAGTGTTTTGTAGACACAACATTGACCAGATGAGCTTGTTGAGAAAACGACCAGATAAGGTTAGACAACTGCAAAGAAGAAATCAACATGTAATTGAGCAAGCTGTGTGGCTAAGCCATGGCTGAGTCTGGAGACAAAGCTTTGGATGTGAATTCCTTGTCTCCTTTACTTGCTCCAAGTAAATACACCACCTGATGACACCTGTGTCTGCTTGATTACAGCACCAAAGCGGTGAATTCCTTGAGCTTGGTCTCACTTCCAGTACTTCTCTCAAGTTGATGGGTGCCCAAAGTTGATTCCTAATCAGAATCAACTGGGGAGATTTAAATTTTTTTCCCTGTCTTCTCACTACCTTCCAGTATAGGTTTTCAATGTACCACGGAGTCCAGGCATCATTTTTTTCCTCTTAATTCCTCGTTCATTTGTGAAACATCAGAACATATGGCAAACATTTCTAGCTGTGCGGTTCGGAGGCCAGGTTTTTCATTTGAGCTTGTCAATGAAGAGCGTAGTATGGGGTGAAATGTGAAATATTAGAAAGGAATGAGGGAGAGAGAGAAGGGTTGAAAGCAAGCAGACAGGCCGTTACAAATGACAAGATAGGGAGAAAATAATCCCCTTCTGGAAAGATCATTTTGCAGAGGATAAGAAATAATATTATTACCTAGACCTTCCTTTTTCAGAAGAACATCAGGGTCACTGGTTCTTACACTAGAGCATGAACTCACTATCAAACAATTTTTCCCGGGTGAGGATGGACTGGGGATGTCTTCTTACAGTGTAAACAACAATAATTACTGATTTTTAAGGCAGGTGTCTCTTTCACAACAATATTTTGCATATGCTGAGAAAAAAACCTGCTCATCCAGTCAGTGGCCCACTGACATGGTGTGGGCCATGGGAAAAATGAAATGTTAATTTTCTTTTGAAGCAATACTTTGAAAAAATTTTACTTTAAATTTTATGTTTCACCCAAAGACACTATTGTATATCAACCACGCAGCGCTCAACAACCGAAAGGAAATATTTTTCTTATGTGATAAGCAGTGAACAGCTGATATTTCTGCCCCCAAAGTAGACCCATGCCTCTGAGTCCTCTTCCTCAATCAACGTCCCTTACTGTCGGTTTAGGATTATTTTTGGAATCCCGAAGTCCTTGGGGGGAAAAAATGGTTTGCAGGGAAAACCCAGCACATCTTACTTTCCATCGCCCAGCCGCTGTGGGCCAAGAGGTGGAGCCAAATGAGGATGGGCGGGAAATTCAAATATTTGTCTCCTTAAAAGTTGGAAGCCAGCCTCCCGCCCTTTCTGCGGGCTTCCCAGAACGGTCAAAGCCCCAAGCATTGGAACCTGGGTTTCTGGGACGAAAGAACAACTCAAATGCATTTGAGATGGACTTTTACAATCTGTAAAAAAAATTCTAATCAGAAATTACAGCAAAGGGCACGAGGTATATATACCCCAGGGAAACAAGTGCCCCAGCCACGCGGGATTTTGCTGCTTGTTTCCCCAGTGCTCCAGGCCCAAGTAAGTTCAGGCTGCTAGAAGGAGCATAACCCTGCCTGCCCCTTGTGCTGCCCGGACCTCCCCTCCACCCCTGAAAAGAGAGGGATTACAATCCCTGGAGGGTCCCTACTAAGAAATCCTTTAAGTCTTAAGTGTTTTCTTACACCAATCTCCTCCATCAGAAACACGCAGGTGGGGAAATGGAAAGTAACCATTTGCAGATGCAGTCTAATGAACACCTCGAGGATAGGGGGACATAGGAAGCGGGGTAAAAATACATGTGAAGTAGCCGATTCTTGGGCACAGCACAACTGAGCCGAATTTCAGTTAAAACCAAGGAACACTGTAGATTGGAATCTGAGCTGAATTTATATCAACTATCACTTCATATAATCCAGGACCCAAACTAAATCAATAGAAGACATGTCTAGTTGGAGAACGTTTGGAAGTGTCAATTACAGCTTTTCTTTGACAAAGTGAGTGGCTCTGAAAAGAGCCTTTTAAGAGTGACACCGACTGAAATACTACTTGGAGCTGGTGTACTTGGTGACGGCCTTGGTGCCCTCGGACACCGCGTGCTTGGCCAGCTCCCCAGGCAGCAGCAGGCGCACGGCCGTCTGGATCTCCCGGGACGTGATGGTCGAGCGCTTGTTGTAATGCGCCAGGCGCGACGCCTCGCCCGCGATGCGCTCGAAGATGTCGTTCACGAAGGAGTTCATGATGCCCATGGCCTTGGACGAGATGCCCGTGTCCGGGTGCACCTGCTTGAGCACCTTGTACACGTACACCGAGTAGCTCTCCTTGCGGCTGCGCTTGCGCTTCTTGCCGTCCTTCTTCTGCGCCTTAGTAATGGCCTTTTTAGAACCTTTCTTAGGAGCTGGAGCAGCTTTGAAGGGTTCAGGCATTATTTCTCCCGCTAACTGTAAAGCTACTCAACACAACCTCTTCAGTAAAGGTTAGAACGGAGAACTGAACTCTCATTAGTTTATATATATATGTTTCGTTATGTAAATAAGGACTGCAGAATTGTCCCTTCTGATTGGCTAATCACTATGTGATCGCAGGCAAGTACTCTATGCAAATTAGGAATTCACAATTCATCTTTCTATTGGTTAAAATACAACCTACCCAATCAAATGGCCCGATGGTATATCTTAACGGTATTTATAAGAACATTTCTACGCCTCACGAAATACACATTACTACTTGCGATTTTGAGAGCTCAATCGGCACAGGTTACTATGTCTGGACGCGGAAAGCAAGGTGGCAAGGCTCGCGCCAAGGCCAAGACGCGCTCGTCGCGGGCCGGGCTGCAATTCCCCGTGGGCCGCGTGCACCGCCTGCTCCGCAAGGGCAACTACGCCGAGCGGGTCGGGGCCGGCGCGCCCGTCTACCTGGCGGCCGTGCTGGAGTACCTGACGGCCGAGATCCTGGAGCTGGCGGGCAACGCGGCGCGCGACAACAAGAAGACGCGCATCATCCCGCGCCACCTGCAGCTGGCCATCCGCAACGACGAGGAGCTCAACAAGCTGCTGGGCAAGGTGACCATCGCGCAGGGCGGCGTGCTGCCCAACATCCAGGCCGTGCTGCTGCCCAAGAAGACCGAGAGCCACCACAAGGCCAAGGGCAAGTAAAAGCCTGCAGCGACTCCAACAAGTCGAAACCAAAGGCTCTTTTCAGAGCCACCCACATTGTCACTAAAAGGGCTGGTCTCTCGGTTTCTGTGTGGCAGGCGCCTCTTTCAAGTGACCCTACCACGCAGCTCCTCAGTCTGCCAGCAGGTGTCAGCGTGTGAACACCGGTAGACGCGCGAGCGCAGCGTCCGTGAGAGCAGACCCCCGCCTCGCGAAAGACAACGCTTCCCGAGACCCTCCGCGCCGGGTCGCTGGGTGGGTCACACCGTGGGGAAACCCCGACTGAAATCCCCATTTGACCGGGCACTGTTCCATCTAAACGTAAATCAAGGTGGGGCCGACAGGGGAAGGGGCCACGCTCCCCCTTTCGTCTCGCGTGGTCACTGGGCCAATCCCGTGTAGCGCGCGCCTTTTCAAAGTAACCAAAGGAAGGCCAGTTTGAGAGTCCCAAGTCTAAAGTTTTTACTGGGCAAACGATGTATATCATAGTAAGGTTGACACGAAGTTCTGCGGAGAAACCAAAAGAGTTGTAAAGAAAAGGCATAGAGACGGTAGCGGCGCGAAAGGGTAGAAAGCAGCGGCTGTTGGGGCGAGGGCGGGGGCGAGGGCGGGGCGGGAGAAGTTAGTTTCCGGTGTCAACGCCCGGGAGGTTCCCCTGTACGAGAAAATGGCGGCCGCCTCCAATAACTTCACTGCGAAGCTTGATGGGCAGATGTGTGGTCCAATCAGCGCTGGCCGCGCCTTATATATATCGGGCGCAGGGGTTTGCTCGTGCTGTTTTTGCAGTTGAGCGCTCTTGGTGTGTAGTTATGGCTCGTACTAAGCAGACGGCGCGCAAGTCCACGGGCGGGAAGGCCCCTCGCAAACAGCTGGCCACCAAGGCGGCCCGCAAGAGCGCGCCGGCCACCGGCGGCGTCAAGAAGCCGCACCGCTACCGCCCGGGCACGGTGGCCCTGCGCGAGATCCGCCGTTACCAGAAGTCCACCGAGCTGCTGATCCGCAAGCTGCCCTTCCAGCGCCTGGTGCGCGAGATCGCGCAGGACTTCAAGACCGACCTGCGCTTCCAGAGCTCGGCCGTCATGGCGCTGCAGGAGGCGTGCGAGGCCTACCTGGTGGGCCTGTTCGAGGACACCAACCTGTGCGCCATCCACGCCAAGCGCGTCACCATCATGCCCAAGGACATCCAGCTTGCGCGCCGCATCCGTGGGGAGCGGGCATAAGCTGTCCTCAGCGTGTGGTGACCTTGAACCCAAAGGCTCTTTTCAGAGCCAACCACAGGTTCACTGAAAAAGGGTTGTAGTACGGGTCAATTTATTCGTTGCTAAAAAGGAATTGTGAAACTTAAACTTGAAGGGTTAATATCAAGACAGTAGTTATATATTAACATACCGCCGTGAAACTTCTAAAGTTGCATTAGACATGTTGGAAGTTTGCATTGTCATTACTTAGTGGCTCATACAAATTCTGTCTAGAATAGGAGAGCTAAGCCACCAGGTTTTCAGTTCAAGGTATTTCCTCAGATACAGCTTTGTCGGAGATGAGTGTTCCCTGTGTTATTCCCCTCCAGTTATAAGGCCTGATTACTGAGTGTCCTTAATTGTATGGGGACTCGACCATACTTCTGGCCCTACAGTTAAATACCGATCTATCTGAAGTAAGTTTGTAGCTCAGGTGATGGAAATTGGCCTTAGTATTCACCACCTAGACAGAGATCCAATAAAGACGTTTATGTAGCAGGGAAAATAAAACTTCCTTATCACAACCCAAAATTCAATAAGATTTAAGATGCTGAAGTTGTTGTCATAAGAAATTTCCAAACTTAGAGATACATTTTATTGGCTGCCAAAACTGGCAATATGTCCCAGGGGATCAAGACCTGAAAGGATCTGGAGGATAGTTTTGCAATTTCCTGTACTCGTTTGAAAAGGAATATTACAAGGAGGTAGAAGAGAGCGGGGCGGGGATCGAGGTACCAGACAGTTAAATTTTTGCTTGGTGACTGCTTTGGAAGGAGGGGTCTGTAGGAGTGTCAAAGGTGTGGGAAGTAGATGCACAAAGCATTGAACAGCACTTGCTTAAGGTGAAGCCAGGAGTTCAAACCCCTCAGAATATATTTGTTTATCATATATATACATGTTTGTTTGTATGTAGCACCCTGTTAACCATCACACAAACTGCATAGCGTGAGGCCTGTTAGACTTCTGGGAGAAATACATTAGGAAGAGTTACAGCACACAAGGGTCGAGTGTCACAAGTACAGTGAAGATAACCTAGTCATATGCACTGTTAAGATACTTTGCAGCCCTGGCTGGCGTAGCACAGTGGATTGAACGCGGGCCTGCGAACCAGAGTATTGCGGTTTGATTCCCAGTCAGGGCACATGCCTGGGTTGCAGGCCAGTTCCCGGCAGGGGACGCATGAGAGGCAACCACACATTGATGTTTCTCTCCCACTCTTTCTCCTTCCCTTCCCCTCAATCTAAAAATAAATAAAGAAAATATTTTTAAAAAAAAGATACTTTGCAGCTACAAAGTGAACAAGTAAGTGAAACTGAGGGTTTTGATTTAATGTGTAATATTGGGTTAGTATGTAGCTCTAGACCTCTGTTGGTTTCTTCCCAGCATGCCCCTGAGCCTGGGCCCTTCCCCCAACTCTCTGAGGCAGGCAGAGAAGATACCCAGGCCCTGACTTTGGGCCACGGGGCGTGGGTTTCTGTTAAACAAAAACAAACAGTGCGGCCTGAATTGTGTTTCAGTTTCTGAGCCCTGGAGCTGAATGACCCTCCCTGGCCACATCCACATGAAACCAGGCTGAAAGACCCCCAACTGACCTCAAGACCTGAAGTAACGATTTTCTGCCCTTCTGTCACTCCTAACCAGTCACCAAAACCCATGACCCCAAATCTCTTTCCCATGATGACTCGAGAATTGTGTTCTGTAAAACCCTTGTGTGTGAACTGTTGAGGAGTTGGGTTGTTTTCCAGAGCAAGCTGCCAGCTCCCCTGCGTAGTTCCTGGTCCTTCCATGCACCATGGCATCTGCACCAACTGGCTGTCTCAGCACCAGTGGGCGAGCTCTTTGCAGGGTTACAAAAGCAAAGATGAGCCTTTCAATTGAAGACTTTGATGCCTGGTGTGTGACTGCCCACTACATACTACCTGCTCACAGTGGAAATTTGTGATTTATTACAGCACCTGTTTTCACCCACAAAGGGTCGAAAAGTGTAGAGCTTCTGTCTTTTACCCATGCTCCCTTTCAATAAATAAAAATATATCGATTTATGTTTTTATGATTCCAAATATAATATAGTACAGAGATCAAGATTTTCTGAGGCCTAAAGCTTCGTGACTAAAAAAAACTACCACATTCAACTAAATACAAAACTAGGTAGTGAACATTAATTTTTAGTGGGAAAAGATATCAACTGTGGATGAAAAAAGGTTCTATCGAAATTAACCTCACAGGGTGATCTGATGGTATTTTGGACATATTGGGTTTAATACATTATATCTTTAAATGGATTTCATGTTTCTTTGCTCCTTAGTGATGTGGCTATGAACGTTCCCCGTTCACTCTTTATAGGTTCATTTGCTCAGGTATAGATTCCTTCAGTTACTGGATGTCTCCTCTGTCCATGTCAGGGATTACGGGCTCTCCAGCACTCCAGAATATCAGGGTGCCATTTCCCACAGCAACAAAGAAGATGAAATAACTGGGAATGATGGTAATAGGAAATGGGAAGAGATGTATTGGGAGAAAAGTAGAACATATTTGAACAATGGGAAAATATAAAATGTTCTTGAATACTAAAACTCATCTCCTGAGTTTTATTGATAAAGATAACAATCCCAGTATGACTACCGATAGGGTGCTGACTCTATCTCTGAGTGGGTGTGGGGAGAGGATCCCAAAGTACATAAAAAAAAAAAAAAAAAGCAAAGTAATCCAAAAATAAAATAACCAGAGAATTTTGGAAAGAAATAATGAGAGTGAATTAGCTGTGTCAGCTACTAAAGTCATATCAGAACACCCCAGTTTAGTGAACATCCCATTACTATTTGCATCTCTACTGTGGAGGTCATAATTCTCAGCACCAAAGACAGCTATGAACAGTACTAAAAACACAGATACTTGAAACAGTGAAATATATGTAAAAACAGTACTTTATGTATGTATAGACTACATATATATTTAAGCAGTACTTCAAACAGTGATTTATGTATATAATTTTTTAAAAGTTTTTTAAAAAGTGTGATCTCGAACCTTAGGAATGGCCAAAAAGATCAGAGGAACAAAATAGAAAACCAAGAATTGGTCCATTTATCCGTACAATTTAGTCTGTGATAAAGGCAATAAAGGTGTCATCTCCAGTGCGGGTGGAGGGAGGGAAGGTAGAACTGGAAGAGGAAGGAAATGGCCTTGGGGGGAAATTATCTACATATATATGTAAAATTTAACATGTAACATGCATATATTCATAAAACAAGCATTATTCACATATACTAAAATACGGAGAGCTCAAGGGAAAGGCTTATTCTTACAAAAACAACCTAGATTATGATGTCAGTACAGCTGGGCGGGGCAGGACAGGGCGGGGCAGGGCGGCTGAACTCAGAGGTCACCAGCACTAATACGGAATTAACTCATCAACGCTGTATCGGGGGCCATAGGTGAACAGCTGAGCTGCAGGCCCCCCAAACCCGTTTCTGGAACGTGTCTCGAGAAAATCTGCACTCAGTGTAGTAAGAAGAGGCCTCTAGACTTCCTCAGGAAGAAACGCCGTAAATACAAAAAAATCCACAGATGACAATGTCAGTGACGATAAAGCTGTTACTGCTATCACCCCCACTCCTGGACACAGATCCGATAGATTGCCAATAGTTTTCCTCATCCCCGTAAAAACATTTGGATTGCACACACATAAAAGAAAGGCTTCTAAAAGCACCAGTTTTTAGATGTCTGTCTATCAGGAGGGGCCACGGCCGAGTGGCTCTATTGGAGCGCTGTCCGGTGCACCAAAAAGGTTGCAAGTTCGGTCCCCAATATGGGGGTGATCGACGTTCCTCCTCTGTCTCTGCATCCCTCTGTAAAATTAACGTATCCTTGGGTGGATTTAAAGAAATAAACGGGGAACCGCCAGTCTGGCCAAGATGGCGACGAAAAGTTGTTTTTGATGCGCTCAGATCAGTCACACCAATGTCCAAAATTGCAGGGTGCGAGGGACAGAAACACCGCGGTGCAACCGAGCCCTGGGTGGCAGCCTTTCCTCAAGTGCGCTTTTTTGTCGCCAAATGCAAACAGTAATTAGAACACACGAAAAGGCGCCCGCGTCTCCTTTTCAAGGGCTGAACGCCACCAGCGCGCCGGGACACACCAACCTGACTTTGGAAAACTTGTTCCGTGTCCCCATGAGACATTCATTTCTACTTCTGGCAGAACGAGCAAACTCAGCCTAATAGAAAAGAAAACCTGAGACAGGACCGGCCGCTGCCCAATTAAATCTAGGATGGAAATAAAGCTTAGAGTAATTAACCAACCCGGGAGCAGGCGGGACTTTTGACTTTCTGGGCCAAGACACTGGCTGGTAATACCGAGCAGTTGTCCTGTCCCCAGGCGTGGGGTGGGGCCGCCGGGAACGTTTCCGCACAGCTGACACCAAGCGGAGCCAGCACGGGACCAACTGTCAGGAGGGTCCCAGAAGTCACTTCACAGCGGTGCCCTCTCCAACGCCCAATACCCTCTTCCGGGAGGCTTCTGCAGCCATCTCAGCGACACTAGAGAAGTAAGAAAGGCAAGAAAAAAAGGGGGGCGGGGCCCGTAGGGCAAGAGTGCGCAGCTCTCTTGGTGAGATCAGTGGTGGCTCTGAAAAGAGCCTTTTTGGGTTTTAGAAGCAGAGCGACCTACTTCTTCTTGGGTGCAGCCTTCTTAGGCTTCGCAACCTTGGGCTTGGCGGCCTTGGGCTTCACAGCCTTGGCTGCACTCTTGGCGACCTTCTTGGGCTTGGCAGCCTTCGCTTTCTTTGGACTCTTGGCTACTTTTTTGGCCACAGTAGCCGCCGCCGGCTTCTTCGCCTTCTTCGGGGTCTTCTTGGCGCTCTTCTTGGGGGTGGCGGACCCCGCGGCCTTTTTGGGTTTCTTGGCCGCCCCAGCAGCCTTCTTGGGCTTGGCCGCGCCCGCCTTCTTGGCCTTGGGCTTGACCTCGCCGGAGGCCGCCTTCTTGTTGAGCTTGAAGGAGCCCGAAGCGCCGGTGCCCTTGGTCTGCACCAAGGTACCCTTGCTTACCAGGCTCTTGAGGCCCAGCTTGATGCGGCTGTTGTTCTTCTCCACGTCGTAGCCCGCGGCCGCCAGCGCCTTCTTGAGCGCGGCCAGCGACACGCCGCTGCGCTCCTTAGAAGCAGCCACAGCCTTGGTGATGAGTTCGGACACCGGTGGCCCGGACGCCTTGCGGCGCACCCCTGCAGACTTCTTGGCCGCCTTCTTCTTCACCGGGGCCTTCTCCGCAGGGGGCGCGACAGCGGGGGCGGCAGGAACGGTCTCCGACATGCTGGCGATCTGGAACTTGGAAACAAGTGGCAAAGCGCCGATGAATCGGCGCGGGCCGCCGCTGTATATATAGAGCGCAGGCGCGCGCTGATTGGTGCTCCCGCCGCCCTCCTGGCTGGCAGGCTTCGAGCCGCCGCGGTGCGCCCAAGTTGTGTTTGTTCCACTTCACAAAAGGGGGAAAATATTAAAATGCCCCGCACCAAATCACTCAGTTTTGGTCGGGGAAGAATCCGAGAAGCCTCAGGATTCGTGCTCTACAAGATTTTTTCCCGTAACTGCAAGGACACCGCGTCCAGGCGTCCCCAAATCCCCCAACTCCGAGGGAAGTCCAGGGCAGTCGGAGACCACTTTCTGTTTTTCTTCTAAATTACCTGTTCGCTCCTTTGCCCCTGAAAGTTCTTTTTCTCAGGGGTGGTTGGGCACATGTTTACCTTCTTTTGGGGACAAAAACCGAGTTCTTTCCACTTACATTTTCACGGTAATTCTGTTTCTTCGCAAGGGAAGTAACACAGGTCCTCTGTGAATTCTGCATGCAGACCCACAGGAGCGGGGGACTGGGACGAGGTTCTGGACCAGCCCGAAGCAGTCAGGGAGATATGGGAGGGGGCTCATGAGTTTCGGAGGGGTCCCGGGTGGTGGCAGGGGATAGACTTAAATTTCTGATTTGAAGACATTGAAACTCTTTATCAATCCTTTTCACAGATGGGGGCGGGGCACACGCTTCACTTTCCAAAGGCGAGAATTTGGGCTGTTTTTAAAAAGCTCTCAGGTTCCCCTCTGGGTTGTGCAAGCAGGGGGTCTGGCCCTGAAGAATGGGGATAATAAGGAAAGAAAGGAGACCCACTAAGCCTACAAACTACCCCCAATAGACTTGGCAGCGGGGGACAAGTAGATAATCCGTTTTCAGGGAAAACCTGCCTTTATTTATTTTTTCCTGCTGCAGTTAGGAGATGACGTTCAGTACGTGAAAATTCCAGGTTTCTTCCAGTCACAATATATAACACGTGTTGTGATATACAGGGAACTCAAAATGGGAACTCAAAGATGCAGATGGAAATAAAGCTGTCTTTAATAAGAGACACTCGGACCTGTCAGATGAACTACAGTTTGGAGACAGAAGTAAAAGTGGATGACAAAGCTGAGAACAAATACAGGAAAAGTACTAGAATATATAAATTATTATAACAGTTTTTATCGATGAGTTCATGTCTTTTCATCCCTCTGAAAGCTGACCTTATATGTGTTCTATTGTAAAATTTGATTTACCACTTTAAGTTTTGTTACTTCAGACGTTGCCCTTTGGCTCAAAGCAATTGCAACTTATTCTTGAAAGAAAAGGCTAAGGAAATGTTCTGCTTATATATTTAATACAACCACTTTATATTTAGCACAAAGGAAGTACTACAACACACTGGAGATTCCTGTTTAACAAACACATGTCTGCATGGAAATACACATCAAAGGTGCCAGGCCTAGACTGTGGTGGTCAGGAGTGTGAGGCCAAGCATCTCAGGGTACGGGCGGTTTGTACTAAATGCTGTTCTTTCTAAACGTTAGCACATACCACAGTGTTTTTGCAGACACGGCTGCAGCCTGATGAAGTTGCCCACTGCAAAGAAGTCAAGTGCATTGAACCAAACCTGGATAAGTGTAGCCAACTGCAAAGAAGAAATCGACATGAATTGTTGGCTGTGGAGGCTTTCACTGGGCATGTGCCCAGCAGAGGACTTTCTCCTGCTGTTTTTTTAAAAATATTTTCTTTCTTTCTTTCTTTTATTTTTAGAGAGAGGAGAAGGGAAGGAGAAAGGGAGAGAAACATCAATGTGTGGTTGCCTCTCACGTGGCCCCCAGTGGGGGCTGGGCAGACAACCCAGGCATGTGCCCTGACTGGGAATCGAAACGTGACCCTTTGGTTCGCAGCCCGCACTCAATCCACTGAGCTACACCAGTCAGGGCTTTCTTTCTCCTGCTGTTCTTATTCCTCTCCGGTGAGGATCCTTTCAGCCTGCCTCGGGGGGTTGGGTGCCAAGGCCTGTGTGTGCCCTGGGGAGCCTGCGAAGCTGTAACTGCCTGTGAAGCAGGCCCCGTACTGGGTTCAGCCTCCCAGCTGATCAGCTTGATGTCTCACCCTCTTTCCCCCCTTCCTTTATTAGTATCTAGCGACCAACGCTAACATAGTTGACCAAAGAGTGTCTGTGAGCCATGGTTAGAACTTTCTTCTAGGAGACAGAGCTTTGAAGATTATTCCTGGGCCTCCTTCACTTGCCGCAGTTAAAAATAAAACCTTTTTCTTCCAACAGGACTTGTGCACCTTTGGCTCAGACACCCAAGCAGTGAACGCACCGTGTTGCAGATTACGAGAGGGTTCACCCAGGTCAGTTCAGCGGCAGGTAGACACCAAGGCCCCTCACTTTAGACCAAGTATAACCACGTGTTTTCATGGAGTAACATTCGTTCAACATTTGAAAACTGTGTCTCCTGCGGATCAAACTTAAATCAAAGCAAAAGCATTTCACCGCGTCCTTCCCAGCAGTATTAGAAAATTGAGTTCACTTTGGGCTCGTCTGATGCTTGAAGACAACGCTGTATAATAAAGCAGAATGTAAGTCGTGGAAGTAATTAAAAATTTTCTAGCATCACGTTGAAAAAACTAAAAAGAAATAGGTACAACTCATTTTAATAATATATTTTATGTCACTTAATGTATACATTGAAACTATTAACAATTGAACTTGTAACCAATATCTTAACAAAATAAGACAGTTTATATCCCTTCTTTTCACATGGTAGGTCTTCCAAGCGTGTGTGCCGACAGACACAGAGCATCGCGGTTCGGACCTTCCTCGTGACAAGTGACAAGTGACAAGTGCACAGAGGTCCAGTCTGGCCAATCACTCCCCAGCACTGCTTCAGCCAAGGTTGACTTTCACCTCGTATTGACTTCTTGAGGCGCAGAGGATGTAAAAGTGGAACTTTCACTTGCAGAACATCGATAGGTTCGTAAGGGTTTGGTCCAGCAGAGATGCAAATGAGTTCTTTCCAGTAGAAAAGATAACCCTGCGCTACCATCCTAGCGACTAATAGGACAGGAAGCAACTTTGTAGCGACTAATAGGACAGGAAGCAACTTTGTAGCGACTAATAGGACAGGAAGCAACTTTGTATCCAATTTTCCAGGCTCCTCTCATTCTTTCTTCATGTGATGGAGTATGTACTCCATTCCCTTGTCTCCTGCTGACACTCACTGAGGACATAACTGCCCTGTGACCCAAGCAAGCGCTGGCCATGGGCAAATATTTGCACGAGAGTCATGTTTGAACTTGAAAACTGTAGTTTGACACTCAGTTTGTCAGACTCTTTGGAACCTGTTCTGAAAACTGGAAGAGACAAAACTTGTTCACCGTCAACCTGAGAGCGACCGGCGACCTGACAGATGTCTCGCAGGATCTCAGCTTTGAAATAAGATTGAGCGCACCTATGATCAACAGCAGACCATGAACATTAGCTCCAAGGGGAAGCCCGGATTCAGGGGATGACCTTTCTGTTCAAAATCGATGCTCTTATGGAGGATGCAGTTAATATTGCAACGCAGTACATTGTGTATTCTCAATGCATACACATCCTGAATGACACCAGCTGGGTAATTTTATTTCATATCTTTCAGGTCTGGAAAGAGCTGGTGAAGAAAGTTGAACTACACAGAGCAGAACTTCGGCTCCAAAATGTACTGATGAGGCGACTTGGACTGCGGAGAGAGACTTGGACCACGGATGCACTCGGAGGGATGCAAAAAGAGAAAGGTGAGGCTGGGTGTGGGGGCCACGGCTGGATTTTCCTTCACGTCTTCTGTCTACCGTGACTGCTTTTGCAGCTAACCTGACACTAATAAACCCCGTGACAGGCCCCAACTGGGAATCATTAAAACCTTTTTTTCCTGGGTCACCCAGGGATGCGGCACATAACAGCAGCCACTGCACTGGCTTCCCTGGGGGCAGAGAACACGGCTGAGCAGGTGACGCAGAAGAGAGGAAAGAGAGAGAGGGGTTTGGGGGGGCTTGCTGTGTGGGACACCAGTTGCTCCGCTCACCAGGAGCTGAGTTCCCAGCCTTCCCCACTTCCTTTCCTCCACCGTGAATGGGAGTGAGGGTTCAACTAGGTCACCTGCGGATCGTTCCAGGGAACAGGCTGACCCCACAGAGTCCTGCTTGTTTATTCCCATTAGATTCCTGGCCCAAGAGCCCCTCCTGCTTTCGGTCTCAACCCCGAGAAAGGTGGTATTCTCCTGACATTACAGGGCTGGGCAACAGTAGGCCAAGTCCAAGTCCAACAAGCCAGTTCACTCTTTCCAGGGATGCGCACTTCCCCTGGCTGTCTCTGAAAGGTCATAGGACCTACCAACCATTTTAACCAAGTCTACAAGAAGAGATAAAGCCAGCCTGACAGGAAGGGCTGTGTGTGTGTGTGTGTGTGTGTGTTGGGTGTGGTAGGTGAGCACATAATGTGGGACTGTCACTGTCACTCAGAATCTACCCCATGTTGCTATGCTTGGGTCTCCCTCCTTGCCCCGTCCTCCGTGGTAAGCTCATGGTGACCTTCACAGGGTCACCCAGGCCCAGCCTCCTGTGTCCCAGGTGTGTGCACACTTTCACCGTCCAGCAGGTGAGGCTGTCAGTGTGTAAGGGGGACAAGGCGCTCGGGACCCCTTTCTTATTCCTTCAGTTTGTTTACTGAAGAATTTCAGGTTGTGCTTCAGTGGATAAAAGGCTTCTTATACTTTTCATGGTTAACAGTGTAGTACTTACAACAATTTCCTTTTAGTTTTGTAAAACAACCCAGGAAAAATGCAGAGGCGGCGTAGAGCATTGAAAGACCTGGCGGAGGAGCTGGAATGCCAGCTATAGCCCGTGGGACTAGTGGAATAATTACTCTGTGCCTGAGTTGTCTTGTCTATAAAGTGTCAACAGTAGTCCCTGGATCACAGGTTTTTATGAGAATTAATGACGATACAGTTCTGAGAAGGGGACCAGACATAATTAACTATAAAGGTGTTTACATCTTGCTGTTAGTCCCAAAGACCACTAGATGGCGCTCCAAGCCAACTAATGCTTCTTTTGGAAGCTGTGTTTCAGTTTCATAGCCTTCCTGTAATTATTAATTTGTTACTCCCTGAATCGGTTTTCTTTTTAATCTTCTTGAGTGAACAGAAATCACTATCCTCATTGGCCAGACAATGGCCCCGAGGCCACTGGAAGCCCTGAGACCGCAGTAAGTCCATAGATGAGCAAGAATATAAGAGGAACAAATTAAATGTTCTTTTGTTCTAAGTGGTGCAGAGAAATCAGGCTGACGTTCATTCATTTGTTGCACAAAGACTTAATCCGCGCTGCTCTGGGTTCAAGGAATGAGAGGACACAGGACAAGTCTGCCCTCCTTGTGGGGTTACAGGCCAGGGAGGGCAGACTTGTCCTGTGTCCTCAGGAGGTCTGTGAAAAAGTAGGGTGCTGTCATAGACATAGTCTTAAAATACATGATTTCTTTTCCTTTCTACAGCGAAATGGCCACCGTGGAAGGAAGGCTGACGCCAGAAAAAACTGTGCAAAAACAGGAACGCTGAGACCTGCTCTGGCCTAACAGGGACCAGACTGAGAGATTCCTGGTTTAGGTGTATCCGTTGTGATGATAACGACAGTAATAATAAACCTGCTAACCACCAGGTACTGAAAAATAAAAATAAACACTATGTACTAACAAGGATTAAACGATTTAAAGGGTGTGTGCCTTTGCAAGGTGTGTCAGGTCGGCCCTGCACCCTGATTGGCAGGCTCACGTGACGCCCGCACGTGGCCGCACCCACGTGCAGATGGTCGAAGAGGCCGAGCCGAGAGGCCCGCCCCTCCCCCCTTGTTTTCGTGAACTTGCAAAACAGAAATCCTTTAACTAATTAAATGAAAACGACCCAGGTGCTAACTAGTCATTGTAAAGGGATTTTAGGTGAGGAACCTAATTTTTTTAAGCACTGAATTTTAGCCTTTAAACTTTCCAAGGCTACTCGCATTGATCTATTAAATTAGATCCGCTCCGGCCTCACCCTTGCCCACCTGGAGGCGGTCCCAGAGGAGGATGCTCTTTGCTCACTTGGCCACTAGATGACGAGCAAATTAAAACCACCCAGGGTCCCGCTGCCGCTGGTGCGCAGGGTGCCCAGCCAAGCCATCAATCATTAACTTTGGGTTGACCTTGTATTACTCAGGAGATTTCAAAGCTCGTTTCTCCACAGATTTTGAGAGAAAGAAATGATTAGTACAATTGATGAAGCCGTGATGCTGGAATCAGGGCGCAGAGTAGTCAGACAGAGGCTGGCTCCCAGGGCCTTGGGGAAAAGTACTCTCTACTCTCCATAAAGATAAAGTGTTAGGGGGACAAGAAGCTCACTTTGGATACTTCATGAAATCCACCAAAACAGTTAGTAAACTGGAGCCGTACAGATAACAACCCTGAGCTGTCTGTGACTTAGGGTGAAGGGGGAACCCTGGGAAGGCTAAAATGCAAACGCCGCGTCTGCCAGTACAGTGTAGAAATGAGTCCGGAGGAGGAAGGGGGACCGGAAAATGTCTCACGGGGAAGCTCCCTCAGTGTGTGTGTCTCACCTGTGGGCGGCCATTAAGCATTAGAAACCGGAGATGAAGAGAGATTGCTCAAGTTTTATCTTTATATTATCATTAATAGTGAGGTAACCTGACATAGGCAACCGGTGACATGATACTGCCTCTGCCATGTCACTGATAATGTCATCATCATCATTATTATATTAGTGACGATAAACATGGCCAGCCTTGACTGCATGTCAAGCACTGTATAGAAGCCTTCGTGTGTCAATTTCCGATTTTTTAATTGATTCTAAGTATCGTTTCATAAAGTGGCTGGTATTATCTCCTGTTTCCAAGTGAGAAACTTGAGACTTAGAGCGCCCGTGTCTCTGTGATACAAACCGCCTTGCAGGCTCTGATCCCTGAGCCGTTACAGCCCAGACAGGCACTCACTCATCCGCAACGAGTTTCCATACGGCAGGTTCCGAACACCGAGCGGCGAACGTGAGCGAACGTGAGAATGGACTCTGTCGCTTTTCTGGTCACAATGACAAGGGCATATGGACACTTTTTGAGGGAAGATAATAAATGTCGACATTTTCCCCTTAAGGTTCCTCAGGCTGAGAGAGCTGACAGGTAACAATTTACAAAGTTGCCATTGTTCTGGCCTCGAAGAACTGGTGCCCCCACAGTGGTGTGTGTGGGTCAGACAGCACCTGCCCCGAGGCGTGTGACTGCACTCAGAGCTTGCCATCCGGTGGCTGGCAGGCCACACACGGCCCAGGACGGCTGCGAATGCCGCCCAACACAAAATCGTGCATGTACTTAAAACAATGAGGTTTTTTGTGATTACACGTGGCTATGTATTTAACGTGTGGCCCAAGACAACTCTTCTTCTTCCAGTGTGGCCCAGAGACGCCAAAAGGTTGGACGCCCCTGGATACTACCGTCTGTAATTGTTTGCTTCTCGTGTCTGTATCTGTGAACAGTCAGTGGTAAGAGGTCACTCCCATAAAATATCATTTGCGGATCAGAAACCATTGGCCACATTTAACAGATGGGCAGTTGGAGGTTCAGGAGGCGGGAGCGAGGCCACAGTGCAGGCGCAAAGCAAGCAGGACTTCGGACTCAGGTAACACGTGCACCACGCACTGGACTTGTCAAGAGGACTGGACACCTGGGGACCTTTTCCCTTCACCCACTGCTCCTGTTGGTTACAGACATGACAGAACTTCACTGACACTCGGTCACGTGACCCAGGTGCTCTGGGGACACACAGGCCCAGGAGGTCTTCAAGGGGGGTTGCGGTTGGCTTCACGATTGAATCTTCATCAATTCGCTCACTCGTTTAGTTCTTTATTCACTCCACACCCAAACACTAAGCACGTATATAATCTCCTAGCCAGAGTGCTGTCTGTGAAAAACAACTAATGGGAAACACATTACTAGGTAGACAGGGTTTTATCTCTGGAAAATGAGACTGCAGATGGCGTTTATTTCCCTCTTCTAGCTTGTCTGGTTTCCATTTCCCCTCATAAACGGGGATGGAGTTTGTAAGTCAACTCCTACACCGAGCGGTATGCAGACGATCCTTTGGCAAACAGGACACTGATACATTTTCCCAAAGTTGCCAGAAGTGTTGCTGAGCTGTGATTTGAGCTGCAGCTGCAGAGTTAAGACCCGCGATGGGCCAAACACATGACACTCCGATGGACAACGGTGGGCAAGGGTGGAAGCTGACTGGTGTGCACAACCCACAGGCCTCCCCCCGGATCAGACAAGAAACCTTCCCCCGGGTCCCCAAGCTCCACTGTGTGCATCAGAGCTGGTGGGGGCGGGGTGGGGGAGGTGGCTGTTAAAACAGATGAATAGGCCTCACTCCTACTCTTGCATTGCAGCAGGTTTGGGGTCTGCCTGGGAATTCGAGTTCGCCAGGTTCCCAGTGACTCTGTTGCCCCTGGTCCAAGAACCACAATTTGGGGATCCCAACTTTAAGAAATGCAACCCGCAGTGTTCCTTCAGTTTTCCACTGCTCCGCCCCACCCCTGTGTGCAAGCCCGAGGTTGCTAGGCATCCGGCACTAGCACCTGTAAGACTGTAAGAGCTCGCACCTGCAGCAACCGCCAGGCTCCCACTGAACTTCGCTGGGAGAATTCTCGTCTGCGGCGACATGAACTGCAACGTCCGCAGACCCCTTCCTGGAGCCCATGGAGCCAGGCCCTTCCGGAGGACCTGCCCGGACCCCAGTCCGCTTTGGGCATCCTGGCATCCTGGTAGGCACCGTCAGGCACCAAGTGGCTGTTCCTTGTTCCTCCTCGAGGTCACCTCTCTCCTCCTTAAAATATATACTACATAAAATAATAAAAATTCTGCCGTCCTTCCCCAACCAACAACATGGGTTTGAACTGTGCCTGTCAGTTGAACCACATTCAATTGAAAAAAAAAATCAGCATATAAGTTGGACCAGGGCAGTTGAGATGGGTGTTGTTCCAGGGTCAAGTGTATGTGAAATGTACAGAACCCGCAAGTCTGGAGAGACAGGAAGTAGATCTGTGATTGGCTGGGGGTGGGGAGGAGGGGGCAACCCCTATGGCTAAATGTTCAGGCTTCTCCGTGGAGAGAATAAAAATCCCAAAGTGGACTGTGGAGACGGTTACGCACATTCGTGAATGTACTTGGACCCGCTGAATTTTACACTGTGGGTGGAGGAGTGGTGTGGGGTGTAGATTATATCTCAATAACAAAGCTGTTACGGAGACGGAATAAAGAGAGCGATCAGCCCAGATGCGCTCATCGCCGACTTTCTGCCTCCGACCCACCCCGATTCCCTTATCCCCTGATTTCCAAGTTTGATTTTTTTCCTCCTTGGCTAGAATTTGCCTACGTGCAGAAGGCTTTGCTCACTGGATATATCAGGTCTTTAAAAGCTTTAGGACAATCAGATGTGTTGCATTTGTTACTATGGTTGGAAACGTGTAAGGCAGCATTTCCCAGACTTGGTCGTGTGTGCTTGGGGAGCAGGGCCTTTGAAATTCCAGATGCCCAGGTGGCACCCCCCGCGGATGAAATCAGTGTCTGAAGGCAAGAGCAGGGCATCCAGAAGTTTCACGTTTCTCCAGGCAACTCCAGAAATGTAAGTAACTTACGTGAATTGTAAAAGATGTCTTTAAAAGATAGGCTCTGATTGGTTAATCCTATTGCTGGACAAGACAAGAATCTCAATGTCTGGGGGCTCTTACTAGATGCTGTCCTTGCTACATCTTTCGAGGGAACGTAGTGTTTTGCAGACACAGCTGTAAGGAATTCGCTTGCCTGGAACCCAGCCAGGTAAGTTAAGGCAGCGGCAGAGAAGTCACCGTGTAATGTCCAGGTGGTGTACAGAAGCCACAGCGGAGCCTGCCTTCTGGGCGACGGGGCAATGGACGTGAACCCTTCCCTTCTTCTTGATGCAAGGAAACGAAGCTGCCTGCTGACCACCGCGTCCGAGTCTTAACTAGAACTTCCCAGAGCGGCAGAGCCCTGGAGGGGGGCAACATCATGATAGGATTAATTCTAATCAAATAATGAAATCTAAGCATTCCAACTCCGACAACAAACAGAACCGCATTGAACTTAAAAGTTCTGACAAAGCGTAGCTGAGTTTTTTAATTTACATATTTAGATCAGAAGAAGGTCCTTAAGTGTCCTTTCCTGGGTCGGTCCCCTTCGTGTGGGAAGCCCGTGGCGCAGCCGGGCCCCCGGGTGTTTGACACTCGCCGCCCAGCGGCAGGAAGGACGGTCCAGCTGCGGGAGACGCTCTGCTTCCCACCAGCGGCCGGAAAAGGATCGCGCGGGCCAGGAAGTTTCGTTCGGGCCACCGGAGCCCCGGCGTCCGCCCGGGATGGGCCCGCGATCCGGGTGCGCGCTGCTCCTGCTGCTCGGGGCCCTCGGGGCCCTCGGGGCGCGGACCGCGGCCGCGCGGGGCCGAGCTCGTGAGTACGGCGGGGGCGCGGGGGCCGGGGCACGGGAAGCCGGCTGTCGTCCGCCCCCGGGGGCCGCCGGGCTTGGAGGGAGGCGCCAGCTTCGCGCTGCCCGGTCCCCAACCTTCCTCCGGGGAGGGCCCGGCCGTGGGGCGCGGGTGCGTTGCGTGGCCGCCGGCCCAGGGCCCGGTCCCCTCGCGCTGTCCCCACTCGGGGCCACCGCTCCCTCCCGGACCTGACGCGCCCAAGGGTCGGTCCTGTGTTTCTCCTGGAGGCCGCTGTTGGTTTTCGAGTCTCTAGATTTGGGTCACGGGTTTCCTGACTCTCCGTCACCTCCCCCCTCGCCTCCTCAGAAGTCCCCACCGAGTGCCGCCGCGGCCCGAGCGCCCCTCCGCCTATCAATCCCGACGCCGCCCGGACTGGGGGTCAGCACGCGGTGCGAGGGGCGCGGGGCAGGGCCGTGCGGGAGGACGGCGGGTCCGAACTCCACCTTCCGGGAGACCCGGGTGGCGGCCCCTGGGAGGGATCTGCCCCGGGTCTCACTGATTCTTGGCGACTGTCCCGACTGGAAACGTAATTTTGGAACAGAAAGCCCAGCCGTGGTTTTCAGCGGTGCCCACTGAGGCGCAGCGCGCACAGCGCAGCCTCACTAAGGGGCCTTTACCAGGACGCCGAACACGGACGGTCACCGCTGAACCAACGCCCTCGGTTTCTAAACCTTCTCTCCTGTGAGCGGCTGACCCCGCTTTGCGTTTGGGCGGGAGGACCTGTCCTCCTGTAGATTTTCCAGGCTGTCGGGTTGAATGACTTTCCGCAGGTTACAAAGAATTTAGTAAATCGGGGTTTCCGATGCTGAGTACGGCATTTGTTTTCAGTGGGGCAGACAGTGCTCTGGGGCGCAGGCTCAGGGCTTCGGGCCGCCACAGCCTCCGAAGGACAGGGAGCCGGCGTCCACTTGGACGGACGACAAGGAGGCCCCCTTGCTCACTGGCGTTTTGTTCGGCGTCACCCTGGGCGTCCGACCCAGAGCCTGGTGCCCTGCATCGAGGCTCCAAGCGTTCAACGCCGCACTTCAGGAGACGTTCGGCCTCGGGGTCTGATGGGAACGGAGGGTTTGGTGCTCACAGCCGAGGGCAACCAGCGGTTTGGCCCCGCCGGTCCCACGGCCGCCACGTAGGGAGCCCAGTCTGTGCCCTGTGATACCAAGCGTTCTGGCGGTGGTGGGGGTGACAATAAGCAAACAAACAAAAGGATGTAGAGGCTAAGTGCTCACGCGAACACAAGTGAAGCCCAGAGGTTAGGACAGGCTACTCTAGGCTGGTCGGTGGGCAGAGGTCGGCGTGGTCTCACTGACTGGGATCGGCGCCTCCCAGGTCCACCCAGTGGGCCTGGAACGGGGGTCAAAGTAGGGCTCGAGATCCGGCACTGCTGACATTTTGCGGTGCGGGGACAGTCATGTGGACAGCACCTTACCCTCTACCCACTAGATGCTGCATGTGCCCACAAGTGTCTCCAGACCCTGCCCATCGTCTCCCCCCCCCCCCCGTGGCAACAGGCTCAGCCCTGGGCCCACGGGCAAGTCCCGCAGGGCCCGCAGGCGGCGGGGTTCGTTCCAGCTCAGGTGCGGCAAGGTCAGCTGCAACCAGCTTGCACGGCGGGAGGCAGGATGAGAGGGGCAACGATCAGTCGGGCGTTCTGCACCAGGTGGGGCCAGAGCGGGCGGGCTGTGCCAGTGGTGGGAATCGGTTGTGTTTTGTTTTGTTTTGGATGGATATGCTGCCGGTGAATGTTAAATTTCTGTTCTTGAGTTTGGCCAAGGAAGGATTCAGAGCCAAGAACCTAATTTAGAAAGTAACAGCTGGAAGTGAGCCAGCTGGGCTGCGTCGACTCAGAAAACAAGTTAAACAAGAAACAGAGGGGCCTAGGAACTTGGGAGAAAGCAAGCACAGGTCAGCACCCGAGGGCGGAAGGGGGCAGAAAGGCCCAGGGGAGGGAGAGTGCCTGCAGCTGGGCCCTCCGCTGGAGGGTTCCGACCTGCTTCCTGAGGTGGGGCTTTTAGGGGAGGTCTCCGGAGAATCTCACAAGCATATTCATCCAGGTCCTTGTCTCTGGTCATTGATCGGCACTGGAGCGGACGGTCATTAGTCACCCCAGCTGGTCCTGACCTCGGCCATGGCCTCGTTTCCTTGCTTTTGCTGCTTTGCTGGGCCTGGAGCTGACCCCCGGCTGGGGTCTAGATGCGTCTGCAGGTTGGCCCGACCTCAGCAGACCCAGGCCCTCTTCCTAAGGTTATTTGATACTGATCAGAACCTCATTGTCCCGAGGGCTCAGTGCTTAGTGCCAGGGCCTGTGTGACTGTCCTGCAGCCCCTGTCCCTCCTCTGAGGGGGTCTGCACTGCAGGCCCCAGGACGTGCTAGGGGGGAAGGGTCACCTGGGGGTGAGGTCTTGCCTGTAATAGTTGTTTCCTCTAGTTTTGCCCTGTTGCTAGGCCCCCCAGGGAATTTCTGCCCCAGGGACAGTCAGTAAGTGGCCTGCCCTTCCTGCTGTGCTCAGGCCTGTGTGACTGCTTCCTCTATCAGACATTTATAGAAGGAAGTTCCCGAAGGGTCTGGTCTGTGTGTGGTGTGATCTAGAGAAAGGTCAAAGGTGACTCCATCAGCCTGAGCTACAGGGTGACGCAGGCGATGCTGCTTCTGAGATGGTGAAGGCACAAGAAAGAGCCGTTTGGGGAAATGGGCGGTTTTGGGCTGCAGTGTGCGGTTCCGTCGGCCATCCCACGGGCGGGAGAACTTGGAGTCCTGGGCAGAGGTCAGCTCCCGGGGCTGTCCTGTGGTCGCCCCCCAGCCCTGTTCAGACACTGGGACTCGGCCTGACTCCCTCCCTCTGCACCTGAGGGAGAGTGTGGGCAAACTCGCCCGAGGGGAGGGGGGGCCTTGTCCTTTCAGTTTACGGGCCCCTTCCATTTGCTTTGGAAGGAAGTCGTTATCAGTGCATCTTAGCCTGTAACAGCCCAGGGAAGGGTTAGAGACCAGCACTGAAACCCAGCTGCGCGTCCCCGTGGACCGGGGTCTAATGAGCCCTGAGCACCGACTCCTGGGCTCAGGGCCACAGCCAGAAACACCGCGGGGCTTTCCAGAGCCGAGACCCCAGAGTGGCCTGTCCCAGTTGGGCAAGTGCTGGGCAGCCTGGGGCGGCAGCCGCACTGGGCAGAGGGAGGGCGCACCGGGGAGCAGACTGGACGGTCACGGGGAGGGAGGACGCTGCAGTCACTGCACAGCTGGGCCTGGACCACTGGGGCCGGGGGCAGGGTAGGAGCTGACTCGGGAGAAAGAAGCCTACGCTTCCCAGGCCTGCCGGGGCCCACTGACCCCTGTTGTGTCCCCAGGGCCACACTCTCTGCGCTACCTCTTCATGGGCGCCACCGTGCCCGACCTGGGGCTGCCCCTGTTTGAGGCCTTGGGCTACGTGGACGACCAGCTGTTCGTGTCCTACGATCACGAGACTCGCCGTGCAGAGCCCCGAGCCCCGTGGGCCTGGGGAGGGGCGGCTGGGCAGCTGTGGCTGCAGCTGAGTCAAGGCCTGAAGGGGTGGGACCACATGTTCACAGTGGACTTCTGGACCATCATGGACAACCTCAACCACAGCAAGAGTACATGGGGGCTGGGGGGCTGGCACTGAGGTTTGGGGCGGGGAGCAGGGAGGAGGGAAGGAGTTTGCTCCCCAGGTCTCTCAGTTCCCAGAGATGGCAGACACAGCTTCCCGCTCCTCTGGTTGCAGCGATGAAGCCCGGGGCGCCGCCAGCGTCCCACACCCTGCAGGTGATCCTGGGCTGTGAGATCCTCGAGGACAACAGCACCAGGGGCTTCTGGAAATACGGCTATGACGGGGAGGACCACCTTGGATTCTGCCCCAAGACGCTGAATTGGACGGCGGCAGTGCCCGAGGCCCGGGCCACCAAGCTGGAGTGGGAAGTGAGCAGGATCCGGGCCAGGCAGAACAGGGCCTTCCTGGAGAGGGACTGCCCGGAGCAGCTGCGGAGGCTCCTGGACCTGGGGGCGGGGCTCCTGGACCAGCTAGGTAATGGTGCCACACCCTAGGGACCCAGGGCAGAGGGGGAGGGGCGCAGACCCGCCCTGGAGTTTCCAGGTGCCTCTGGGGAGGGGCTGAGGTCTGAGGTTTACCCCTTCTAAGTGAGATTTGTGATGTGGCCTAGAGTCGGAGCTTCTGGGTTTTTTTTTCTCTGCGCTTGTGGCCAATGACGCATCCGGTCTCCATTGAACCAAGACCCTGCGCGCATGTGTGCCCCGTAGGAGTCAGAGACGTCCGTTGTCACAGGGACACCAAGGCAAGAAATTGCCAAGGGAGGCAGCCGGTCAAAGGGCAGCAGACTGGGAGTTAACGTCGTCTCCCCAGCAGGCCACGCCCCCGCGGCCTGGCGGTGCTGCCACGCCCCTCCCGGCGCTGCCACGCCCCTCCCGGCAGGGAGCCTCCCGGGGTTGAACCTGGTGGGAGACCGGGCCGTGCGCAGTCCTTCTCTGCGCTCCAGAAGGGCGCTCTGATCAGATCCAACATGGTGTATTGACAAAGCACAGAAGACACGGCAACAGGTGTGTGACTCTGACACGCAGGACAGGACAACAGGCTGATGTGGCTGTGACGGTTCCCCACGCGACGCCCCCTCCAGAGCGGAGCCTTGGGACGCTTTTAGCGCACAAGCTGGTGTGTCTTCCGCTCGCTTGGTCCACGCAGGGCGTCCCCTTCCTTCCGACAAAGAGGAAGGGAAGTGAGAGCCCTGGTCCTCGCGGGAGGGAGGAAGAGTCCCCTCTCCAGATTCTTCCTCTTTCCTGCCCAGTTCCCCCTTCGGTGACGGTGACTCGTCACGTGGCCTCCGCAGTGACCACTCTTCAGTGTCGGGCTCTGAACTTCTACCCCCCCAACATCACCATGAGGTGGCTGAAGGACAGGCGGCCACTGGATGCCGGGGACGGGGACGTGCTTCCCAACGGGGACGGGACCTACCAGGGCCGGGTGGCCGTGTCCGTGCCCCCAGGGGAGGAGCGGAGGCACGCCTGCCACGTGGAGCACCCGGGCCTGGAGCAGCCCCTCACTGCCACCTGGGGTACGGCCGGCCGGGGCTGCCGACGCCCCCTGTGGGTGGACCGGAGCAGGCCGCGTGGCGGGGAGGGTCGGCCCTGGGCCTGCCGCGCTCAGAGCGCTCCCTTTGCTGTTCCAGAGCCCTCGGTGTCCGGCCCCCTGGTCGTCGGAGTCATCAGTGGGGTTGCCGTTGGTGCCATCGTCCTCTTGACTGGAGTTGTGTTTAGATCCCGACGGAAGAGGCAGGCTTCCCGTGAGTAGGAGGACGGAGGAGGGGTCAGGCCCTCTGCCCAGGACGCGCTGCGGTCCTACGGAAGTAGGACGTAGGCCGAGGGAGGGGCGGTCCCTTCCCTCCGTCTTTGGAAGCACTGGCCCCTCCATTGGAGGCAGTGAGGGGTTTGCCGTTCCTGTTGGATTCTCAGGAGCCGCGCATTCAGTGCCACGTGAAATCCGTGGCGCGGTCAAGGTGGGAGAAGGGCGTCTGGTCCAGATGCAGCCACGAAGCCAGTGCTTGGATGTCACGGGGAGGAACGACCTCGCTGAGCTGGGGGGCAGGAGGGCTCTGGGTGCTGAAGCAGCAGGATTCCCTTAGGGAAGGAGAGGACCCGGGTGGGGGCGGGGCGGTGGTGACCAGCCAGAGCAGCTGTGCCGGGAGGTCCTGGGAGGCCAGAGGTGATTATTGCTGCTCGGCCCTGTGGCCCGTCCGGCCTGTCTACCCCCAGGGCATCTGTGGTTTGGGGGAGAGAGTGGCAGGCAGACCCGCCCCCAAGGAGGCCTCAGGCCTGCGGGAAGTTGCATCCTGAGCACTGGGCGCAGTGTGGGGACAGGAGCAGAGGGACACGGTGCTGAGATGCAGAGCGTGGGTTGTTAGAAGGCGAGACTCGAGGCTGGGATGCCAGTCAGAAAACGAAGAAGCACCTCCAGGGGAGAGGAAATGGTGCCCGAAGTCTAGTTCCTTTCTGGAGAAGCACAGGGAAGGGTCGGAGCGGCGAGGGAGGCGGGGGGCAGGGAGACCGGCCCAGCCTGCCATGCGCCTTGTCTTGGCAGGTGCAGCCCCCGGGGACTACGTCCTGGCCAAATGCGGGTGAAGGGCCGCCTGCAGCCCCGCTGGGCAGGAGAGAGGCCAAGACTCCGGTGCACTGGTGGGTTTCTTGGTGTTTGAGGACAGAACTGGCCCAGGAACTCCCTGCCCTTCGCCGTCCCCTGTTCACGTTTGTGACTTCCTATGGGCCGGCAGCCCCTACAGTGACCGCTGCCAGAGCGGCTGCCTGCGTCTTCGGCTGCCTCCGGAGCCCAGCCCAGGCTCCACACACCTGCGTCAGGTCATCTCCTACCTCTGCGGTGAAGCTCCAGAAATTTCAGGGACCGCCACTCCTTCGGAACGTGTGGGAAGAGCTGTGGACCTCCTCAGGGCAGGCACTCGCCTATTGCTGCCGTTCACACATCCAGGCTTTTTTCCTGGACCCGGTGCAGTTTCCATGCAATCCTCTCTGCATTCCAATAACTCCCCCGCCCCCACGCCCCCGTGGTGTGGATGCTTCCACCAGAGAGTGGGTCCGGGTCACGGCCAAGGCGAAAGGGGAGGAGGCACCCCTTCCAGAACAGGTATCCTGCACGTTGGTGTGCTTTAAGATAATTTCCCAGGAAGTGGGTGGGAAGCGTGTTGAGGAGGGCGCCTTCGGTCTGGCGCGTGGAGTGGTCACCCGGGTTTCCCAGACCAGCGGTGGCCACGGCACACGGCCTCTGTGCTGTGCGGGGCTCCGCGTGGAGCAGTGATTTTCCCGTGGTCTCTGCTGACTCTTTCCCCGTGTTCTGACCACGAACATGCTGACAGTAGCTCCACTTACACAAAAGCACATGTTGGAAACAGGCTCCGTTTCAAGTCTGTGGGGAACATCGGTCTTACTTGGAAACATTTGCTTGGTAGATGTGGCTACACTTACCAAAAACACACTGACTTGGAAACAGACTCGGTCCAGAGCACCTACGTATATGCATTTCTTCATATGATTCTTACAATAATTCTTTGACATGAGAACTATCTTTGTCTTTAGTGAAGAAAGCGAAGCACAACTTGCCAGAGATGGAGACAAGTGGGTCTGATCTCACCCATCCCTCCCACTGCGTTTAGACGCCCGGCTTCGTGGACTGAATGGAAGGGAAGAGCCGTGGTCACAGATGCCGATGCTCTCACCTCCTGGTCTTTGTTCTCCGGGAGCTGGGCCCACACGCCTGCGGGGCGACAGCAGCCAACAGTGTCAGCCAGACTTCCTCTCCAGGTCCTGTGGGGAGGGTCCTGGCATGTGCTCTCCCTGCCTGTGCTCTCGGGCGTCCAGGCCACGGCTGTGACTGCTGGTGGCACTGAGTGGCTGTGTGCTGCACCTCACAGTGCCCTCCCTACAGCAGTGCCTCCGCCGTCAGACCCCTGGTGGCTTTTCCCTCCACAAGCTGGAGCAACCTCTGTTGTATTAAACCTGGTAAAACGAAGCCACCGAATGGCCTGGAAGGTCCCCAGCATCGTCCTGGGGTTCCTGGGAGTCTGGTTCTCGTCCCCAGCTGTGCACATCCAAAAATTTAATCTAACCAGCCTCTCAGGAATGAGCAGACTATGGTGCAGTGGCTCGTCCGACTCTGTGTGAGGAGTTCAAGTGCAAATGCCTCAGCTATGCACCATCTCGGTGCCACCGCCTGTCTTTGGCAGCAAAGCTGTGGCCTGAGGCGTTCTGTGTCAGAGGGCAGGTGCCTTGAGAGACCAAGTAGAACTCAGAAGTTTGCTGGTATGGACTTAATTTGGGCAAAGAGATTTCAACTATTTAAAATAATTTTTTTCCTGGTTGCAAAAGTTAAGTGGATAAGGGGATATGTAATGTGAGCTTACATTAGAAAAATTGAAAATGAATTAAATAGAAACTGCCATTCCACTAGCCAATGATGAGCTCTTAATAATGTCTGCTACTCTCAGGATTGCTATGAAATCTATGAAGGCATCAAATGCGTCTGTTTTAATAAACACATGGTAAGTGTGTTGTAGGCTGCATGATTTGTTGTCGACCTTATGTCATTTGGGGAACATTTATAATTCATCTAAACATTGTACATTCGGCTTCATGGAATATTTCTTTTCAGCTGTGATAGGTGAGTTCATCGTTTTACCTCACTCTCGTAACAGCGCCATCGAAACTGTGACCCACTGGTGGTTTTCTTAGTTGTGACAAGGGTCTCTGGGTCTGGGCAGTTCCTACTGCTTTTCTCACTGTTAAAATGTGGCACAGACTTGTGAGTCCGGAGCCATAAGATGAGACTGACCAACCAGGTAAGTGAAGTCTGGCTGCAAAGAGGAAATGAACATGTAATTCACCACGTAGCGTGTACAAGCCACTGCTGAGCCCCCTTTACTTGCGGCAAATCAGCCGCACTAGCCAATGACGACCATCTCACAGTCTTGCGCACAGCGCCCCTAGTGGAACAATTTTCCCTCCCAATCATGCTGGAAACACACCGACCAATTCTCCCACTTTACAAATGTATCTTCCCGTCCCCAAAGCCAACAGCCAGGAAGTTTTTCTTGCTCTTCTACCCGATGCAGGATATGTTACAATGAATTAGGCAAGCTTGTTTTCTAGTGGCTTACATCACACAAGCGGTCCCAGTAACACATTTATTAAACATCTGCCCCTTTGACCCATTAATTTTCTTTTTTTTAGACACTGAATTTATAAATCTCCATTGTCCTTCAGTATTTCTTTAGCTAAAGTTTTCTGGCCTCGTTCATCACTTAAGCTCAACCGCATTTGGAAAATCAGAGCTCTATCTACATTTTCAATTCCATCTTATTTAGCCGCGTGTAAAAGGACCGAAGCACAGCACAGAGGAGGGCGCCATCTGGTGACCACAGTGGAACGCGTCACAAGGGCCCTGTAACTGCAGAGCTGGCACTGGGGACCCTGGAGGTCCTCAGTGAGAACCTGAGTGTTTGAGGAAATAGGAGGAGACCACCCACTAGCCACACGAACAGCTGGAACCGCAGAACAGAAGGAAACCACCACTGATCATCTTTGAGCAGTTGTGAGAGGTTGAGGCAAAATGATGATGATGATATAGTGTGATGGTACAGTGTGTACTTGATGTATTCTTAATTGCACACACACTTTAAATCAAGACACCTTCAAAATGCTGAAAGATTCTTATAAGCTAATTCCCCCCCACCCCCCAGGCAACCAGTCTAATAATGATTAGAATTAAAAAATTATATTCTGATCAAGTTAGTCCGTGGAGGGTAGTTCTGGGCATTCCATATTTTTATGGGACATTTGCACAACACAGTTTTATTTGAGTATTTCATGTGTCCAATTAGCCACAAGGTGTTCACGGGGCTGCTGTTGAAGGGCCAGGCTTCCACGTTGGGTGAATGGGTCCTGGGGGAGGACGGTGAGAAGGATGGAGAACGGGAAGCCACACAGGGTCTAGCGGGAGCCGCCCTCTCCGAAGCCCCAGGACAAGTTAACACCTGCGTGTACTCGGCTGAAGAAAGGACAAAGCAGCCCCATCTGCTCCCGTGGGACCATTTTCCCAGCAGGCCTGTGACCCTGTTGAATGTGATGCTGGTTTACTCTTCTGCGCGTGTCCCCAGGACTGGAAATGACAGGAACAGGGCTAGCCACTCCCTAAAGGCCACGGGAGGAAGGTAACATTTGAACAAACTGCAGCTTCTGTTACAATGTCCCCACAGCCCAGGGCCACACAACAGCTACTCCTCACCCTTTTGTCATCCAATTATAACCCCAGAAAAGCTCAAAGCTCCTACCGACCTCGACCTCGATGCTGGCGTAGCTCCCCACACCGTGCTTTTCTCCTTCCTTGGAGAGTGAATAAAAACGTTATTCTCTACACTTTCTCCTCTCTCTGAATTCTTCCACAGCCCACGTCACCGACCACCCTAACAGCTGACAGATCCTTTTTTCACATAAGTCTACATGTGTGTACCTTTAAAATATTTCCGTTCGACATTCATGATTATTGAGTCAATGTCATTGAGAAAAATTTAGAAAAGGGGGAGTTAGAAGTGGCTAGGAAAAAGGGAGCCATAGTTGTACACATTCTACTTTTATTTTTATGCATTAAAAAGAATGGAGAGCCCTGGCTGGTGTGGATCTGTGGATTGAGTGCCAGCCTGCAAACCAAAGGGTCACTGGTTCCATTCCGTCAGGACATGTGCCTGGGTTGTGGGCCAAGTCAGGTCCCCAGTAGGCGGCGCTCGAGAGGCAACTACATATTGATGTTTCTATTCCCCTCTCTTAAAGAAATCAAATCTCAAAAAATAAAAGCACATGGAGATTTCAGTTTTACCTGTGCCCTCTGACCTTGCACTTTTTCCTTGCAATGTTTGACGTTTCTTCCTATCTAAGTCTCCACTGGTTACTGAGTCCATGTGCCCAGCTCCTCAAAGGGCCAAAACTAAAGATGCCAGGGTTTGGAGTGAGGACAATTTTTATTGGTTGAGACGCCTCCAGCAGAGAGGAGGGGAGACACACTGGGCCTCAAATCCATTTTTCTTGCTGGACCAGGTTAAGGGGGTTGAGGAGTTCAGGGGGGACAGGTGTCCAAAAGCCTGGTGGGCAATTTCAATCTGAGAACCTTGAAACGTTGTGGAAGAAACGGACCAGCTTATGGAGGCCTGCGAGGCAGGCTTACAAACACAGAGATCTGAAGTAACCACAAAAGATGGTCTAAAATGAGAATTCAGTAATTAAAGCAGTTCATGGCGGCCAGTCCTGTCCTAGGCCAGCGTCTTTCCCTAACAAAGGTCCGTCTGTTGTCTCTTGGCGGCTAGGATAACAGACCTTTGGAATGTCCAAGTAAGTTCCCTTTTTACCCAAACCCCTCGGGCACAAGCTGAGACCCCAAACCTCCTTACTGTTATTTCTAAGTGAATTGCTGAGTGTTAACTACCCCCATGCACCTGTGTAAAGAACCAAGCGTCTGCCATTGTCCCTCTCACCCAATCCCAGGGGCTCCCCCCAATTTCCTTTTTCCTCCCGCCTCCCTGACCCATCACCAGTGGATTTCGCGTAACCCTCCGCGTGGCTCCTCCTTGGATCCAAGATATAAATTAAGGCGTTAAACTGCCAGTCCCCGGAGCATTTCTCAGTCCGTTGAGATGATGCTTCCCAGCAACTGTCGTCGGTTTGGCTCAAACTCACCAAAACTTTTCTGCAGGTGTAACTTCCTTATGTCAACAATGGCAAGAGTCCCGGACAGCGGAGCCTCGGCTTCCGAAAAGGTTCCATGGTTGAGTGTCGGTCCTGCCCCCCAAGTCCCGGGGTTCTTTTCATCGGGTGCAGCTGGAGGTCAGTTCTCTCTCCTCTGCACAGGTCTCAGCAGCGGGACGTGTGATTCTGGTTTGCGGTCTCTGAAGCGACTCAGGGCTTCCTCAAACAGGCGGGGCCGTTTCGAGCAGGTTCTGTGGTTACAAGGTGTGTTGCTGTAGGAAGGGAGTAGTGAAAGTCCAGAACCTAAAAACGCCCTCAGTGTGGGGTTGACGTGTTTCAGAAGCGATACAAACCGTGCGTCAGTTTTCTCACTTTCTCCTCAGTCTTTTCTGCTCCTCCCCCCTTTTTTTTTTGTTTTTTTACCAAAGTCTGAGGTTATAATTATGGTCATTCTAAGGCCCGGCTCATTCTAAGGTTCCAAAGTAGGCGTTTATTTGTTAACCAGAATGGAGACAGGTGTTTCTTTTTTCTCTTCTTTCTTTTTTGCCATTTTAACAAGAGTGACTCTTACAGTTGAAATTTTCAAAAATTACTGCAGGAAGCTAAGGAAACCACTTTTATTTAAGAAGTCCCTCTGAAAACTACATTCAGATCCAATTCTGCTGTCTTCTGGCTTTTTTTTTTTTTTAATGGGATTAGTTTTATTTAAAACAGCAATAATCCCATCAAAGTCCTCTCAGGGGTAGGACCTGAAGGCTTCGTAATGACCTCAATCTGGTATTAGCTACAAGCGATCCTCAAGAAACGGTCAGCTAAGTGAAAACTGGGGAAGGTTGAAGAGGATTAATAAAGGAGGGCGGGACAGCTTGTTAGGACCTACAGGCGGGCCTGTGGTGCGGGCTCCCAGGCTCCCGGAGTTTGCAAAATAGAGTCAGCCAGATGTTTGGTTGAAGATAAACTAAGAAAAGGAAGCAGTTTTAATTTGCAATTCTTCCACTTGTTCATCTTTCCAAACACAAGACTTTTAGGGCCAGTGCTCCTCAGGGCTAGGCTTACACTGTCTCAGGCAGAGAGAAGGGGGTTAAAATGTGTCCTTTTACATAGGAATAGTAAAAGGGGAGGCCCCTGAACTACACGTACACACTCCTTTACTATTTCCACATTCCCCAACAAGCCATTACATCATTTATTAGTAACCAAATGGACATAAAAAATACTGAGCACACGGGCCTGCGAACCAGACAATCGCGGTTCGATTCCCAGTCAGGGCACATGCCGGGGTTGCAGGCCGGTTCCCTGCAGGCCACTTCCCAGCAGGGGATGCATGAAAGGCAACCATACATTGATATTTCTCTCCCTCTCTCCTTCCCTTCCCCTCTAAAGATAAATAAATAAAATCTTTAAAAAAAAATACTGAGCAGACACCTGCATCCAATATACAAATTAGCACGGGGAAAAAATATGCAAGGCGAGAAATCAGTTTTTATCTCAAGGAAACCTGTCCCACCCCTCCAGCCCCAACATCGCGAGACTCACTGGCCAATCACAATGCTGAAATGTTAATATCCTTCCGTTGCTCCACCCCCGGAAAAACCTAATAAAAAGAGCCCACGGGGCATTTGTTTTCAATCAGGTCCGCTAACATTCTATTTAAAGCAGTGTGAAGGGTAAGCACTCGCTGAGTCTGCAACCATGTCTGGTCGCGGAAAAGGTGGGAAAGGTCTCGGCAAAGGGGGCGCCAAGCGCCACCGCAAGGTGCTGCGTGACAACATCCAGGGCATCACCAAGCCCGCTATCCGCCGCCTGGCCCGCCGCGGCGGTGTTAAGCGTATCTCCGGCCTCATCTACGAGGAGACCCGCGGGGTGCTCAAGGTCTTCCTGGAGAACGTGATCCGGGACGCGGTCACCTACACGGAGCACGCCAAGCGCAAGACAGTCACGGCCATGGACGTGGTCTACGCGCTCAAGCGCCAGGGCCGCACCCTCTATGGCTTCGGCGGCTGAGTCAACGTTTCCACAAGCCTAAGTTTTCCTCCAAAGGCCCTTTTCAGGGCCGCCCACTCTCTCTCGGGAAGAGCTGTGCACCCTTTTCGCGCTGGCGCTTTGCAAACGTTACTCTGGGTTTGATGGTAGTGGGTTTTAAAACTTGGCAGTAGTTGGGGTGTGGGTCCTCCCCGACAGGTCTGGGCCAGTCTGCTCAGGCACCCACGAGCGTGGACACCTCGCCCCGTGCAGAGGAAGCCGGGGTTTCTGGAGGTGGCCGACAGTATGAAGCAAATGGGGGGGGGGGGGGGGGGTAGGGTGGTTGCTAGTTCCCGACTCACTGAAAGACCTAAAGCTCTAAAAAACCCAGGGGTTTTTCTTTTTGTCGCTTTTTGGTAAGGGCACGCCTTTTGAGCTCCAAAGAAAGGGCCAACCGCTGGTTCCGGTTGGCGAGAAGCAGTTCCCAGCAAGGCGAAGCTCTTGAAGCATCCCCAGGCTAGGTCTTCAGTAAATATTTCCACAAATGACGAGTCTGCGACGGTACAGCTAGCAAGCTAGCAGCCCAGGGGAGCCCGGGTCGCTTAGAAGTCGACATCGCCCCAAATGCTAGCCTGGTATGTTTGCTCTGAGCGACCTCAGGAAACGTTGGCACACTTTGGCCTCACACTCCTCGCCATTCTTTTTAGTCATCGGGCTGAGTCTCGCCACCCCAAACGGTTTGGGTTAAAATGTAATAGACGGCCTAGCACTTGTCTCTTCTCAGGCTGGGCCCCACCCTAAGCCCGAGGCCCAGCAGTTTGTAAATTACCCTCGACTGCGGGAGGGGCGGTCAGTGTTCTAACCCGAGTCTCTAACTTCCTCTGAGCCGGATGGTTTTGTATTTGTGAAGGGGGAGCTCCCTCCTGCGGTAATGGGCCTCCAGCACCTAACCCACCGCACTCCCAGACTCCCAGCTCATCTTCCTGTTTTTGACTATTGCCTGCTGTCAGCTGTATTTTTTTTATGGACCATTCAAACACTACAATAGGGTTATAATTTTTAAAAATTATATCCTTAGGTCAAACTCACAAACTCCCTCTCCATAACAAAACCAAAGGCCCTTATCAGGGCCTCCCACAAAAATCGCATCAAGGGCCGGTAGGAGTTGCCCAGACATTAATTGAGCAGATAATTTGGATTAACAGTTCCCATGAGGTTGCTGAAAGGTAGAGGCATTCTCTTGCAATGTGATTCTATAACTCAGTCATGGCATCTTGCCACACTAAGGTGTTAAGAAATTTGGGTGTTTTTTACAAACCAAAGGTAGATGCTTTTAAGGAGTGTAAAAGCAAAAACGAGCAAATTATGCCAGTAAAACAACTGGCTCCATAAGAGAAATGTTCGTATCTTGTGCATTTTGAGGCCTTCTGAGGAAGGCCCTTTGGATTTAGCGGATGTTGGGCAGCGCTGGCTCCATAAAGGTTCACTCCTGTGGCCCCACACGCACGGGGTTATGTAAATGAGGCCTCTTGGGGGAGCTCCCGGAGGACAATATGGGGTGTGGCATGGAAAATTATGTTAAACTGAGAAGGGCAGGATCACAGCGACGGTTTTCTATGGCTAAATGAAAGGTTGAATCTCAGTCCCCTGAGCTGGAGAAGTAAATTTTATTTCTAACTTTACGTGTGCCAGATGCTAACAGGCTGGGGGAGCACCGGCGAATGGGGTCCTGGAACCCGTTCCAGAGGCTCTGAGCAATGCTGGGAGGCGGGCAGCCACTGGGCGGGATGAGGCCACTTGCTCACCCCCTTCCTCTGTGGCAGGAGGGTCTCCAGGTCTGAGGTCCACTCACTGCTCGTCGGCCAAGCGAAGCATCTAACGCAGAAGAACTCCCTCCTCCAGGGAGACTGGACAGCATATCCCAGCAAGGCACGCACGGTGGGAATTGAAGCTAGTGTGGTTAGTCACTTTCCTTAGGGGACACAATGTAATTTTCTTTCTCAGACCTCTGATTATAGACCTGAATCCTGAAAGGGTAGGTCCTAGTGAGTCACCTGCAGAAGGTGCTCAGATTCCAAGAGTGCACTAACAACCTTTTGCACGAAAATGCCAAACCCCAAAACTGGATGAACAGTATAAGATTAATGCTTCCTGGATTGATCTTTAAATAAGAATGCTAAATCACAAATTCCGTGAAAACTGCAACGAACCAATTGTGTTTAAAATGGGAAACAGACTCACGCCATGAGTGCTTTGCAATACAACCAGGTTTTCTTTTTACAAACGTTTGGTTCAGACCCTACCCACTGTGAGCTGCCTCCAACATTCCCCCCAAAGCTTTCGGTTTAGCATTTTTCTGCCCGTGGAGTCCAATCTGTACACTCTTCAAAAGTAAAGTGGAGTCCAATCTGTACACTCTTCAAAAGTAAAATGCGTGGTATTTCAGTTGCCTTAAAGCAATTATCAAGCCAATTTTTAAGACTTGGTAGCAACATGTGCTGACCAGTTTAACTGTAGAAGTTTGGAAATAACGAGGATCGCATCATTCATGGGACAACTGCAAATTTGATTTTTACTGGCTAGTCACTCTGGGTAATTAAGCTTCTGTTAAACATGAAAGAGATTTAAAAATTCCCTAGAGTCATAATGACACCTTGACTTTTATTTCTGACCCCCACAAAGGCCATAGACGCCAGACTTACCCTCACTACGCTGTCAGGACACCCCATAAAAGCCTAGAACAGACACTTGAGAAAACAGAACTGTGTTTGGGGGCCTGAGCTACCCCGCACTCCTACACGACGTGGGTTTCTGTAGTCAAGTAATGTGTAAGTTTGCACAAGGCCTGCATGACATTCTCACTGACTCATGCACAACCCAGCATTTTGGGGTTGTGTAAACACTAGCGTACCGTGCCAAACCCCTTACGTCACCTCCGTTAAATTCTCTTTAAGCTAAGGAGATTGACTTGCAGTGTCAAACTTCCAAGAGAAGTCCAGTGTTACGCCACTTTAATGTCAATTGGGTGGCTCTTAAAAGAGCCTTTGGGTCTTTCTGAAGATCAGCCTCTCACTTCTTAGGCGCTGCCTTCCTGGGATTCGCCTTCTGCTGGGTCAGCACGGCTCTCCCGGCGGCGGGCCTGCCCGCCCTGGCCTTGGCAGGGCTCTTCCGCGGGGGCTTGCCCTTGGCTCCTGCAGCCTTCCACACGCCTCGGGCAGCTTTCTGACCTGCTGTCGCTCTCGGCTTCGGGGTTGTCTTCTTGCTCTTGGCGCTCTTCGGAGACTTGGACTCTCTGGACAAGACCAGTTTCTTGGTCTTAGTAGAAGCGGGCTTCTTGACCTTGACATTGGTGAGCTGAGCAGCTGCCTTCTTGCTTAACTTAAAGGAGCCAGAAGCACCACTACCCTTGGTCTGCACCAGGGTGCCCTTCCTCACCAGACTCTTCAGCACCAGCTTGATGCGGCTGTTGTTCTTGTTCACGTCGTAGCCCGCGGCCGCCAGCGTCTTCTTGAGCGCGACCAACGACATGCTGGCTCGCTGCGGCGACACCAGCAAGGCCTCAGTGATGAGCTTGGACACAGACAGACTGGGAGTCTTACGGCCCACACCTGTCACGTCCTTCTGCTTCTTCCCTCGCTTTTTGACTATTGGCTTCCCCATAAAAGCAGGGCCGGGTTCAGCCTGGTCCACAGGCGCAGTCTCAGACATCACAGTAAAGAAAACGGAAGTTGAGAACCAGTGGAAGCGTGAAATTCCGCAGGGGCCCGCACGCCTTATATAGGGCAGGACGGGCTCTGATTGGTGCATCACCCGGGCACAGCCCCGCCCCTCGAGGGAGGAGCATTTGTGTTTGTTTTCCCCCCAAAAGTCGAAGCCCACAAAAAATCGTCTGCACAGAGCCACCCAGTGCTGTTGCCGGGTGATCCCCGGAGACTCGAGCCTCGTGTGCCTTCTCACGTTTTAACAAAATATGACCCAGCATGCCGAAAGTATGCGACAAAGTCCTCGATTTTCAGCAAAATTCAAGGAGAACAAAGTTTCCTCTCTTCTTTGTGCATTTAACACTGATTTTTAGCAAGAGACTTATGTTTTCTCAGTGGTCTTCCAAATGCTTGTCTTCCAATGGGTGGGAAAAATCAGCCATGCCCTGACTTTTATGGACGATTAAGTGTGTGTGTAAGAAAAGTAACACTCTAGGGTGTCTTACTGCGGAGTCGGCTGTAGAACTGTAAGGGGATGGGGGCCTGGCCCAATGGCTGGGCGGAGGGAGCAGTAACCCCAGGAGCAGCGTGAGAGGCTGCACCCCACCTGGTAGGGGAAGGATTGGGAAGCGCTGAGGACTGCGCATGGGCAGTTGCCCTGGCAACTGGGCAGCACAGGTGAGTAAGAGAAGTACCTTTGTCTACGTTTCCCCAGTGCAGAGGATTTGGGTCCAGACCGTTAAGGGGAGAGTGGGGAGCGTTGCCCTACTTGTTCTCCCCTTTCTCGGCCAGCGGGGCCCGAGTTCCTGGGTCCTCACAGCCTGCAGGCCACAAGGTTCAGAAAGAAACCCCGGCCGGCGGGCCCTGAAAGCCGTTTCCCCCGCCTCCCCCGGACACGGGAGGCTGCCCGGCACTGGCGGCTGGCGTTGCACATGCGGGTCCCGCACATGGACGCACGGGAGGGCAGCGAGCAGCCGGGGAACAGGACGCGGTGAGCAGGCCGTCTGGGCGCGCCACCTGAAAGACGCCCCGAGCCACACAGTGACGGGAAAGCAGCTAGGCCACTTGCGTTTCTTACAAGGCAATACTTTGGGGTTGCAGATGTTCTGGGCACAGCCTCGGACCGAGCCGGCAGAGGTTGGCAGGCAGATTTTCTTTGGCTGTAAACGGGCTTTGAAACCCGCCATTATTTCAAACCATAACCTTTGAGCAAAAGATTCCTTTCCACTTACACCGAATTCTGCCTCCAGAGTTTCCGCCTGTTGGTTTTTCCATTACAGGATCATCCAAAACGTGTAGGCGAGGTCCTTAATTGGGCAGACACAATCTAATTAACCATAATGTACAACGTGTGGGGGTTGTTTGCACTAACTCCCCGGGGTCCCGGCGGCGTGAGGGAAGACCCTTCAGGATGGAGTAAGAGCGCGAATCTCACCCGTGACACGTTGGCTCAAATCTGGTCGCCTTCCTGGCTGTGGTCCTGCACCGAGAGTCGCTTCTACTTTCATTCCCTCAAACTCCGACCCCCTATACCCTCCCCGCCCTTCACCCCCATCCCCAAATACACAGAGACGCAGGCAGAGTTCCTGCCTTCAGTTAACAATAGGAGAGCGGGGCTGAAGAGCTCCGTGGGGACCACGGGCCCAGGACTGGGCTGGCGGTGTGCCGAGCTCAGCTCTCTGCAGAGCTGAGAGGCAGCAGGTATTGGGACAAAGTCCAGGATGCTTCTTGACTTGTCCCTGAACTCGCCTTAGTGAGAGGTCAGGACGTGAGTTTGCTCCCCAAGGCAGTGTCCCAGGAGGCAGCCAAGGAAACTCCACAGTGGGGTCAGGGCCCACGGGTCAGCGGAGGAAAATCCGACTTGCGAAGGTCCCCAAAAGCCTCCCTCCCTGAGAGTCCTGGCAGTTACTCTGCAGAGGAGGGAGACACGGGAGGCCTTTCAGGAGAGGGTTTGTGTACTGCAGTTCAGGGGGAATTCAGGAGCCTTATGAGACATGATGTAGGTAAAAATGGTTTCGGTCAAAAACAGCCAGTTTGTTAGTCCAGCAGAGGACTGGGCGGGAGGCACCTGATAAATAGTAGGGTTTGTTTTTTTTTAAATCTTAATCTAAGATCCTTATTTTTTTTTAATATAATGCCTCCCCACGCAATGGTTGCAGTATGTCTATCATTTTCCAGCAGTTTATTTCTTATGGGACCATTACCAATAAAAACACGGGCAGGGGAGTATTACCCTCAGTAATGATGAAATAAATCAAAACTTCCCTCAAAATAGTTTGGCCAACCCGTCAGGTTAACAGTGCTTCCAAAAAAAAAAAAGAAGAAGAAGAAAAGAAAAAGAAAAGGTTCTGTGTAAATTAAAAGCTGTATCACGGAAATTTCCATATTATGTTGGTATTATAAGTTGGCAGAGTGCTTCTGGGTAAAAATTTGGCAATGTGTATTAAGAGCCTTCAAATGATTCTGACTTGCAATCTAGCATTTCTACTACTAGCAGTCTAGCCACCCCAAAAGAGTCAAATATTGAACCAAAGATTTCTGTACAAAGATGTGTGATGTGCATGCCCTGTAATGCATAAAGATGAAACCCAAGCTTAACGGCCCATAACAGAGGACCAAATACACAAGTAGTAATGCATCTGTGAAACTCGTGTTTCTAAGCACAATTACCTAGAAAATGAGATAAATGTATATATGGCGTGATAGCTACATTTGCTTTATATATTTCTCACTTTGCAAATTTCTACAATGAACATTTAATATTTTTATATTCGGGGAAGGAAGAAAAGATGTTTTAGCCAGGTTCTCAGTGATCCTCCCACAACTGTTAAAAAGTCTTTATCTTCTAATGTCTCCCATTTCTTGGGTTTTGAGATGCCAGCGTCCAGCAGTGACCCGTGGTGGAAAAAGACATGTCTAAGGCTTGTTTGTCCTTCCTGTGAAAAGAAAGAGATTGATTAATTCACTTCTATAATTCATCAGATAGCTGACATGGTGCTCGACTCTGCGAACAGCCGTGATAAGGGTGCTGAGCTTTGGTTGATGCCAGGTGCTGCTCTAAGCGCTTTGTAGACTCCAATACATTTAATATCTAACAGCCACTGTTCTGATTTACCAGTGAGGAAGGCTAGGAAAGATAGTTTCCCAGGGGTCACGTGTTTTGGATGGATAACCCCCCCCAACCCTGCCCGACCCTGAGCATTTGAGTTTCTGTATAATCTTAACTAAAGGGTGAATGTTACCTGTTCAGTGTCCTGCAACTTTCAACTGAAGGGTCAATAGCAATGTGCCAGGTGGTAAACTAGTTACTGCTTTTCACTGAGGAGACAAAGTAACAAGTGAGTTCCCGGTGGTGAGCTTGTAAGGAAAGAAGGGCCTTGCATAGCTGAAGAGTTCGAGTTCCTTGTTGCCATCTGAAGCAGTTGTAACGCTGTCCAGAAACCTCCCTTCTCTCAGGTGCTCATCCATCTGGCAAATGCAGTCATCCCTCCCTCTTTTTAAGTAAGTCGAATGGAAATGCACCCCAATAAATACTTAGTCTACTCTTGGGAGTAGTACAAAATGTATTTTTCCTCCTGCTGCTGAAAAAGCAGCTGCAACGAACCTAGTTTCATATGAACAAGTAGCTGTCTTGAAGTTTTCATGCCAGGAGCTGGCTCCACAGAGACCCACAGTGGTCAGCACTCCATTCATGGACTGCACCGCACCTTCCTCACTCCCACACTCCTCTCCCTCCTGCTCTGTTTTGTTCTGTCCTGTTTTGTTTTCTCCTCAGCACTCACCTTCTAACAGACCAGACGTTTCACTCAGGTGTTTATGTCGTATTCGGTGAGAGTCCTAGCTCTCAGGGAAGACATTTGTGATTTTCTTCACTGAGGTATGCATACAGGTGCTTGGTACATGCGAGGCATTCAAACACATTTATTGAATGATTTAATTAATTCAGTTATGTTTGCTCACTGAGTGCATACAGGCTCAGTAACAGCCTCTACAGATGCTGTGGGGACCTAATCAGAGCTCAGAGCCTGCTGGGGTGACAACTAAACAAGTGATGACAAGTGCAAACTCGGTGGAAGTTACACAGAGCAGCTGGGAGGGGGAGGGAGAGGGCCAAGCAGATGCCTGCAGAATGAGTGGGCGTTTGCTAGGCAGGGAGGAGGGGAAAAAACAAAAATCAGAGGCGGAGTTCCAGCAGACGTGGGAGGCAGGAAACCAGCAAAGGCAGGGTGTGGGCAAATCTGGCTGGGGAACAGGAGAGAGAGGAACAAAGGAGGCCGTAGACAGAGGGTGGGGCAGGATCCCTGCAGACTATGCAAGGCATCTGGAAAATCCGAAGGGCCGGTTCCAGAAGCTGCTTTCCTCACCTTGGAACAGTGCTGTGCAGCCATTTTATGAGCACTAGACCATTTGTGGTACATGTTTCATTGACCCCCTCACTCCATCTTTGTGACCACATCATTATTGTGCAGGCTCAGGGTGGTAGCATCGTCAGAGTAGGTCAAAGACACTTAGCTAACGATTAGCACACTTGTGATGTGAACAAGGTGTGTAAGCAACAGGCTGTTCTCCTCCAACCAAGTGAAAAAGGTAATGCACGGATGACAGAGGGGAGAAGACTGTAGACTGCCTCGGATCCGGGCATCAGGGCTGTGCGTTATTTTCAGTAGCAAAAAACGATTCCCAGTCAGGGCTCATGCCTGGGTTGCAGGCCAGTTCCCTGCAGGCCAGTTCCCAGCAGGGGATGCACTAGAGGCAACCAATACATTGATGTTTCTCTCCCCTTCTCCTTCCCCTCTAAAGATAAGGAAATAAAATTAAAAAAAAACAAAAACAAAAACAAAACCTGACTGTGGACAATCAGTCCTCACAGAGAACAAGTTTTAAAGAAAGCAGAGTGTTTCCCCAGAAACTTGCAGGACTGGCTGGGAAGCATACGTGACAGGGTGCCTCTGGGGACCCGCATTCGGCACCCCCGCCTTGGCCAGCCACCTCCGCACGGTTCCCGGCCTCACATGGCAACTCCCACGCTGTGGTCTCCTAAAGGCTCGGCCGTGTGGGTTTCAGCCTCTCTCACATTTACTCATCACTGGAGAGATGGCCTGGTAAGGGATTTGTAGAGAGCAAGAGGGTGAAAAGTCACAAATATGAAGTATTTGATCCTTTTGACTCCAAGTATTTAAGTATCTTTTCTTTTTTTCCCCTAACCCAGGCATGTGCCCTGACTGGGAATCGAACTGGTGACCCTTCGGTTTGCAGCCCATGCTTTAGCCACTGAACTACAGCAGCCAGGGCTAATTGACTTTTCTTAATTAGAAGAATAGGCTTCAAAGATTAGTTCGATTGACTTCGGTTAAACAGATCAGTATTTAAAAATGATTTAAGGCTTGGCAAAGGCACAGCAATCTGTTGGAAGTTTCATTTGAGTCCTGATTTTTTTTCTCTTTCTGGTAGTGGTTTTTTTTCTTAATTCCAGTAAACCTTAGATAAATATCATGATGAATTCATATAATGACAAGATCATTTCTAAAGTCTGTGTTATCAGGATAAAGAAGACAGTACATATTGCACTGAACTCACTACATTAAGCAACAGTAACTTCTTAATAAACAGACTAAGCACAGCCATTTGTGTGTGTGAATATTGTGTTTCTCGGTAGCTGTAGGACTTGGTAGAGTGTTCGCCCTTCAGAAAGCAGCCAGCAGTGTGGTGTCCGCCCCAGCCCTGAGGCAGTGGGAAGCAGGCAGTGCTGACCGATCCGCAGGCCCACCAGCACACAAGGCCTATCCCCTTTCCCAACCGAAGTGGCAAAAATAACCATGTCTATTTCCACTCCCCTAATGCATCCGAATGTTCTATAGCCTGTTACTCTACGGTCATCCTAACCTGTGTAGAAAGTAAGAGACTTGCATAAATCAAATGGCTATATCCATGACTGATTTGTACTCTCCAAAGCAGAAACAGTCTAGGTTCCTAAAGATTAAGCATGAATATACTCGATGTAAATTCATCTCCATTCTTACAGTTCATGAATTCAGTGTTTGAGCCGACACACTGAATCCTTGTAATGTGTAACATCATAAAAACCGAAGGCATTTAATGAAATTATCTATTAAAATTTATTTTAGTTCAATGTCTAATTTGTAATTGTAAAATTTTGAAAAATGTGATGTTACCTCATCTCACCAGGAAACCTAGAGAAAGAAATTTAATAAATTCAACTTAATATTTTTTTTTTTAGAAAATAAATTCTAGACTTGTGAAAACTAAAACACCGTGCTATTATCATTTTCCATGAAGGCATTAATACATAAAGTCATAGAACCCATTTTTGAAGCAAAATTAAGCCATTGAATTTGTCCAAAAAGTTATCTTGATTAGAAATATGACTTTCCCCTAGAAAATTATATACCATAAATTAAATTTTAAATGGTTTACAACGGTGGAGTAGTTTGTTTTTGTTTATTACCCTACTGACTTTTCATGTATTAGTTGTTAACTAAAAGAACTAGTTAAAATCACAGCTGTGCTTTTCCTGTTAGAATTTAAAAACTTACCACATTTAAAGCACCTAAATTCTGACTGAGTTTGTTATTTTGAGATGATTTTTTTAGTCTTTGTATAAGCCATTTAAAATTTAACTTTACATTGGGCTTTGTTAATTCCCTAGTGAGGTAAACAAGCTGCTCAAAGTTAAATTGCAGGCTCAAAACAGGAAACATTCCCACTCCTGAGAGTCGGAGGAGCTTGCTGTGCGTTTGGAACAAAATTTGAAATAGGGGAAAACAGACGAAGAAGAAGGCGTTGGGCCGCTAAAGAAGCCGAGCAGGACTGAGGTCAGAGAGACCTCTCAGGGGCGCCCTTGCCGAGAGTATGAGCAAAACCTGATAGCCTTTCTAAGACTGGGAGGAAATTCTGGTTCCTAGTGCTATGTCCTTTACAAAAAAAACCCAAAAACCAAAAAAAATAAACAAAACTCAGCAGGATTAGAAACGGAAGTGTTTGTTTTATCCCCGCATTGCAACCCCCCACCCCCACCCTGTATGTTAGACTCCACAGTCTTATTTACAAGGGTACTTCTCCTCCCTCTCTAACCTTAAAGAACCCGAAGGCACAGAAACTTAGTGAATCACAAACTGCAGAGGCGATCAAGACCAACCGGACGTGAAACTGAACTCCTGCATTGGTGTAGCCGCCCTAATTAGGCCACCGCTCCGCCACTTCCCGGGCAGGCGCCAGCGCACAGCTGTGTTCCGGCGGGAACCCTTCCAACACCCCGTGTACTTTAATAATCCTCCCAGGTGCCAAAGGAAACTGCCTTTACAGAGCAGATTGTTTTAAATTGCACTTTTAGTGTTGTGTTCTTTTTAACACATTTCATCTTAATACACCCATGTTTTTAGTGAAAAAAAAAAGCACAACACAAGCTGCTTAAAATGTTTTAGAATATCATTCTAGTTACTCCTTTCATCCTTTACAAAGTCCTTGCTTGAGTCAAGAACCACAAGTGCTAAGTTTAAATCTTTCAGCCCCACAATTTCCCTAGGGTTCACTCCTGTATGTTTTTGTAACCAACACTCTGATTTACTGAGCACAGCTCTTTTTGAGAACATGTGGGTGGCTCTGAAAAGAGCCTTTGGGGTTAGGAGGCCGCTTACTTGAATTTACTTGGAGCTGGTGTACTTGGTGACGGCCTTGGTGCCCTCAGACACCGCGTGCTTGGCCAGCTCCCCAGGCAGCAGCAGGCGCACGGCCGTCTGGATCTCCCGGGACGTGATGGTCGAGCGCTTGTTGTAATGCGCCAGGCGCGACGCCTCGCCCGCGATGCGCTCGAAGATGTCATTCACGAAGGAGTTCATGATGCCCATGGCCTTGGACGAGATGCCCGTGTCCGGGTGCACCTGCTTGAGCACCTTGTACACGTACACCGAGTAGCTCTCCTTGCGGCTGCGCTTGCGCTTCTTGCCGTCCTTCTTCTGGGCCTTAGTCACAGCCTTCTTGGAGCCCTTCTTCGGGGCGGGCGCGGATTTTGCCGGTTCTGGCATCTTAGATTTAAGAAAACCAAGGGTAAAATGAACCTGGGGAAGGACGTGTGGTATTTATAGGGCCTTTATGCTAATAAGGGATGCAGAAAGCCTTTCAGTTCATTGGCAGACAAACGCTCAGTCTGTCATTCATGGGCTGAACTATGTAAATGAGGTATGGAAATGAAGTTTTTCTATTGGCTACTTGACTGAATTTATTTTGAACCAATCAAACAGCCCTATTTGCTCCCCAGGAATTGCCTATAAAAGCAGCCATATTCGGCCTACTCATACAAATCATCTGTTTTGGGGAGTGGTTTGTGTGCATTTTGGTTTTTTTTTTTCTCCTCGGTAGCCTTTCTTTGTCTTCAATGTCTGGACGCGGAAAGCAGGGTGGTAAGGCGCGCGCCAAGGCTAAGTCTCGCTCCTCAAGGGCGGGCCTGCAGTTTCCCGTGGGCCGCGTGCACCGCCTGCTCCGCAAGGGCAACTACGCCGAGCGGGTCGGGGCCGGCGCGCCCGTCTACCTGGCGGCCGTGCTGGAGTACCTGACGGCCGAGATCCTGGAGCTGGCGGGCAACGCGGCGCGCGACAACAAGAAGACGCGCATCATCCCGCGCCACCTGCAGCTGGCCATCCGCAACGACGAGGAGCTCAACAAGCTGCTGGGCAAGGTGACCATCGCGCAGGGCGGCGTGCTGCCCAACATCCAGGCCGTGCTGCTGCCCAAGAAGACCGAGAGCCACCACAAGGCCAAGGGCAAGTGAATCGACAGACATCTCAGTTTCCTAAACGTTTTGAACACAAAGGCTCTTTTCAGAGCCCCTTCCACTTTCAGAGAAAGAGTATGTAAGTTACAGGGAGAAACATGCCCAAAATTACGTTCACTGCCCCCCATCCCCCAGGTACGGCAACATAAAGATACCTGAGACCTTTAGGAAAGGATCAGGCTCTTGCTAAAATTGGGACTGCCTGTAGAAAACGGAGAGTCAGCATGCTCACGAAGTAGATGCTGCATTCTTTCCAATACAGTCACCTGACCTGACTGTAGGGAGGGCCTGGTTACTGCACAGTCCGATTGTGGTCTCTAAACTCTGATCGCCTTTCAAGTGATTGACATCCTGGAAGGCAAACTTCCGGGGCGGGACTGCAACCTCCCCGCCCTATCCCGGGAGGGAGTTAGGCTCTCGGCTTGGTTTAACGATGACAACACACCTTCTGAAGCCTAACTGGGCGGTGAAAGGGGCGGTGATTTCCTGGTGAGCTCAGAATTCCGCCTGAATCTTAACTAGAATTCCACCTCCTTCCTATTTACGGATTATGAGATAAGGACCAGTTTCTAACCTCTCATACTGAGTTTTGTCATCTGTAAATTGGAGCTAGATTAATGATGTCTTTAGATTCTTGTACCAATTAACCATTTAATGCTCCAAACCCAAATGGGTTCTTGATATTCGATGAACTCTGTTTTATATGTTAATGATACAAGAGGCTCTAATCCCCATGTTTCCAAAGCAGCTGAAAAGGGAATAGCGTGGGCCTTAGTCTTCCCCATAAGAGTTCTTGCCAGGGATCCGGTAACTTAGCTGCATCAAACCCAAAAAGGGGCGGTCTGGTCTGTGCAAAATCCCTCAGGATCCTCTTTTCCAGGATTGACTCTCAGCAAGGATTTCTTCTGGTTGATCCGTCCCCAAGCCCCCCCCCCCCCCGGTGCCATGCAACCACTAGCCAAAGAAGTGACTGGCATGGTCCCAGGTACCATGGACATGAGCACTTTGATAGCCCCTCTTTAGAATTTCCTGATGGGTTTTTCGCGATTCCACTGGGCAAGCAGACTGAGAATCACCGAACTGGAATTTCTGGCCTTGGCTTTCCAGGTCAGCGTCCACTGAGAGGACAGGGTTCCATCCACCCAGCGTTTCTCCTATGTTGGAGAACTTGGATCCCCAGGGGGAAATTGCTTTACATGATTCTTAGGACTGTTTTCATGAACTTTCCAGGTTGTGTATAAACCAAGCCCCAACACTTATTGGGTGTGTCACCTTGGCCAGGAGTGGGGGCTGTCCCTGCCTCCCTGACTCCTGTGCATTTGCTCACCTTCTGACGATTGAAGTTAGGTGTTCAAGATGAATGGTGGACACCAAGCCCTGTGTTCGGCATCTGTTTACCCAGCACCCTTAGAGGTCACTATTCTCCTCTCCTGAAGTAAAACCAAGGAAACCATAACAGAGCATGTCTGAGTCCGGAGATCAGGAAGCCAGTACTTCTAACCACAGGCTATTTTGTACCTAATGGTTCCAAAGACCTTATTGCTAGAGCAATGACACCAGTAAAATTTCTATGCGTCATAGGTTGACTTTGTCTACATACCAGAATGTTACAATCTGCACCTTAAACTCAGTGAAGAACTTGAAGGAAGAAGGCGAGATCTCCTTGGGACATAGACAGCTGGAAGTGAATCTTGAAAGTATATTAGCACTGTAAACGCAGAAGAAAGTCAATACACCTTTGCTTGTGTGTGTGAGAAATGAAACAAGGGAGTGAGTGGGAGATGGCCTGGTAAAGGGCTTGATAAACTATTGTGGTGAATAAGGAAAGGAGTTAGAGACTTGACTTTGAAGTCTCCCCAGTGGCCTGGCTGCCAATATCAAAACTTTCTATTTGACTACTTAGTAGCGAGTGATACCTGTGTTGATTTCATTCATTTGTTATATCTTCATACAAAACTTTAAGGTCAAGGGCCCCATCAGGTTAAATTGTTGATAAGCCAGCTTAGGCCCTGGCATATAATAAACACGAGAAAATTCTTTAGCGGGCAATACACTCAGTAGCTTCTGTTGGTTTCCAGCCTTTGAGCAGGTCTCTATCTAATATGTCCCAGGGGTCTGAGGAGGGTTTACATGGAGGAAAATTGATGAGAATGATAAACCCAGGCCATCTGAAGGCCCCAGGCCCCAGAAACCAAAGATGATTTCAGGGACTTACTGAGGTGCCCGGCAGAGGCACGACCATTATTTGGTTATATGGAGTGTCCCAACCACAGTTCAGATAGATGAAGCATTGCCAACTATTCAATCCAATCCCTTTTTTTTTTTAAAGATTTTATTTATTTATCTTTAGAGGGGAAGGGAAGGAGAGAGGGAGAGAAACATCCATGTATGGTTGCCTTTTGTGCGTCCCCTGCTGGGAACTGGCCTGCAGGGAACTGGCCTTCAACCCAGGCTTGTGCCCTGGCTGGGAATCGAACCATTATTGTCTGGTTCGCAGCCCCCCCCCCCCCAATCCACTGAGCTACACCAGCCAGGGCTCTCAATCTCCTTTTAAATTTGCAAATAATCTGTGCAGCATTATCTTCTCTTTTATTTCATCCATCATTTGCTGCCGATTTTTTCTTTCATTTGAATTTTTTTTTTACAAATATGGTTTTCTAATCAGTTGTCAACAACTACATGTATTTTAAGGTGAGAAGTTAGTATGTGTTTGTCATCTGTTGATCCTAACTTAAAATTATAAATGTAAATACTTTAAGAATAATGCATGGGCATCAGAAAATATTAGGACTTCAATCAAAGATTCCTTGTGCATACTGAAATTGAGACTAAGAGCTCATATGTAGCTCCAGAATTCTCCCTTCAATTTTATTCCCATGCCTTAATATTGTACCAGAGATAAGCAGCCCTAACAGATCTACTAAAAGAGAACCATTGCCTGTACTTGCAAGTACAAAACTGTATCAATAAATAAACAAATCTGCCCTGGCTGGTATAGCTCAGTGGGTTGAGCGCTGGCCTACGAACCACACGATTGCGGTTCTATTCCCAGTCGGGGCAAAGGCCCGTTCCCACCAAGGGACTCAGGAGAGGCAACCATACATTGATATTTCTCTCCTTCCCGTCCTCTTTAAAGATAAATAAAATCTTTAAAAAAGGAAGTTTATGGGTAAAAAACTTAAAATAAACAAATCTATGACAAGTACGATCATAACTCCAAGAGAAATGAAAATATGACATGATTTCAAAATACAGTGAATTTTCGGACATGATTTCAAAACACAGTGAGTTTTCGGTCATAGCATCAACGTCACCACATTGAAAAAGTATGAGCTTCACTGGCCTTCTTATGTTATTGTTGTTTGGGTCATAATATAACGGGGGATTCCCGCTCCCACCTTGCACCCCCACTCACTCCCACCCCCACGAAAAGGGGGAAGGGTCGGGAAATGCCTAGTATTACGCACACAGGCCTCACCCCGGCACCCGTAAATACACACGTGACTCAGCAGAAACCTGTAGGCTTGAGGACAGGTAGGTAATTGGATGGAAGGGGCATGCCCTCCCATCTTCTTCCGCCGGGGGGAATTATGGGGGCCATCTTTAAAAGCAGAGCATGGACACGCCCTGCGCGCTTTCTGCTGTTGACTCCTGGCTGGTCAGTGCGCTCCGTGACCTTAGGCTCCTGAGACTGCGGGCCTTCTGGGGTCAGTGTGGTCTGAGAGCATTCCCCGCCGCTGACCCAAAGCGCTCTCCGGGCGAGCCGAGGCCTGTCCCTGGCACACGAAGCTACCTACGCGGTTCTCCGGAGGGGTTCCATCAGTCACGGTTCCCGCCGCCACTCTGCCCACTCCAGCCCAAGCAGGACCTCGGACCCACCACACCAACCTGCGGGTCTGGGTTTTGCAGTCCAGTCAGTGCCGATTTCGGAAGCTGTGTGGCCAGCAACGAGCCCCGCGGCCATCTCTCATAAGGAAGCCGTAGCCGCTCTGACAGTGCTGATAACCGGAGATGTGCTGCTTGGATCCTGCTTCGCCATCGGCGCAGAGGCACCTGAGAGCGACAGCCGAAAGAAGAGAACAGCGCGTGCGCAGCGAGTAGTACATCTGCACACACAGACTTCGAAGAAACCTGTCTTCAGAGTTTTGCCTGTGACCAGCCAGCGGTAGGACCCCCGGGTGGTTCGGTTGCAGTAATGGTGTCCGACGGGGCGCTGTAGACTCTCATAGAGGGTTGACTCCCAGCAGGTGGAAGGGCAAAGGGTTTGGGAAGGAAGAAGCACCATTTGAGATTTCAGGGCCGCGCACCAGGGCCTGGGTTGGGGTGATAATTGGTTGAGTTTTGGGGAGGCCATTGCTTGCCGGGTCACTGTGAGATCGGTGGTTTCTGTGCGCTAATTTAAAAAAATGGAGCCCATGCTAGTTGTGTTTATATGTTCTCAGTTTGCGTGGGGGATTGTAGCGTTCATACTTGTGGGCCTTTACTTCAGGGTCGTCAGGAACTGTCATAGTTCAAGATTTAGAGGAAGCCCACTGGGCCAGATTATAGGTGAATTGATTTTTTATTGCAACAGTGTATGGCCTACGTACGTTTTAGACTGTGGGGAAAAATGGCCCGTGAATGGTTCCTTAAGTTACTGTACTATCATGCAGTTGAACTTATATTGCCAAAAGTTAGGCAAGTGGGACGAGATCCCTTATGTTAGGGCATTTATTTCGTTGCAAAATAAGGTTTCATCAAGAGCAGGGAACCCTTTGCTGTTGCAGAGGAAGGAAGAGGCTTCCAAACTCGAGCTCTCTGATCATAAGACAAAGGAAAGTTTCAGTGTCCGGAACCCAGAAGAAAGAAGATCGGTAGGAGGAAGATCTCTTCCTTGCTGTCCCGTGAAGCTGGGCTGGCGCCTCTCCACTACCATGACAGAGCTCCAGACAGAGCTCCAGGAAGACGGCATGGGGGGAGCGGCAGGGAGCCATGACGCCAGCTACCAAATGGAGGTGGATCAGCAGAGTGAGGACCAGGGCATTCGGGCTCCTCCTCTCCCTCGTGAAGGTTTGAAGGCCATGAATGGTGACGTGCCGCTGGCAGGCAGTCTTACCAGGGACAGAGTGAAGGAGCCTGATCCAGACGCCATTGCTACAGAAGAGAGGGCGGGTGCTGCCAACAAAAAGGCATTTGCCAGAGTATTAGGCCTGGCTCGTAAACGCAGAGATGAACTTGACGCTGCCATTGCTTTGAGTCTACTGAATTCCTCCAAATGTCACACTGAGGGAAAGACTCTTAGGAGGCACAACACTGTGTCTGCAGACACTAAGCGCTCAAAAAGAAGACACTTTGAAGTCTGGGGAGAAAACCGCAATCCCAATGATTGGAAGCGAGTTGATGGTTGGCCAGTCGGACTGAAAAATGTTGGCAATACCTGTTGGTTTAGTGTGGTTATCCAATCTCTCTTTCAGCTGCCTGAATTCCGAAGAGTCGTCCTCGGTTCCACTGTGCCACAGGATGCATTGGAAAACTGTACAGATGAGCGAGAGAAGAGGAATGTGATGTTTATGCAAGAGCTTCAGCGTTTGTTTGCTCTGATGATGGGATCAAATCGCAAATTTGTTGACCCTTCATCAGCCTTGAACCTCTTAAAGGGAGCGTTCCAGTCCGATGAGGAGGAACAGCAGCAGCAAGATGTGAGTGAATTTACACACAAGCTCCTGGACTGGCTGGAGGACGCGTTCCATCTGACGGTTGTTGCTGACAGCAACCTTGAAAACCCAATGATGCGATTATTCTATGGCACGGTCCTCACTGAAGGGGTTCGTGAAGGAAAGCTGTATACTAACTCTGAGACCTTTGGCTTGTATCCCCTTCAGGTAAATGGTTATTGCAACTTACAGGAGTGTTTGGATGGGGCTATGGTAGAAGGTGACATTGAGCTGCTTCCTTCCAATCAGTCAACAGAGAATGGACAGGAGTATTGGTTCACAAAACTGCCTCCTGTGTTGACTTTCGAACTCTCAAGATTTGAGTTCAATCAATCCCTTGGTCAGCCTGAAAAAATTCACAATAAGCTGGAATTTCCTCCGATTATTTATATGGACAGGTACATGCACAGAAATAAAGATCTTGTTCAAAGCAAGAGACAGTGTGTTCGGAGGCTGAAGGAAGAAATAGTACTCCTACAGGAAAAAATGGAAAAATACGTGAAGTACGACTTGGACCCTGCTCAGTCCCCACTCCTGAACGTGGCATCTCAAAGTGACAGCAGTGTGACATTACCACTCTCTTCAGTGACAGGTGAAGGAAACTCTCCTCAGAGTGTTGCAAGTGTCTTCTCTGAAGATTGTCTTTGCAAGTCTACCACAAAGAATAAGCCTCTTCCATCTTCCCAATCTTCTGGGGAAATGCCTGCCCAGCCAGTTCCTCAAACAGTCACAGATGAGATAAACTTTAAGACCTGTCTTCAGAAACTGAGCAGTGAGACTGAGCAAGATGTACAGGATTTAAAGAATTTCATTGCAAGCACTACCCAGGCTATTCAGCAGATGTACTGTGATCCTCTGCTTAGTCAGGTGCCTTATCGCTTGCATGCAGTTCTTGTTCATGAAGGACAAGCAGATGCTGGACACTATTGGGTCTATATCTATAATCAACCCAGACAGGTCTGGCTCAAGTACAACGACATCTCTGTTACTGAATCTTCCTGGGAAGAACTAGAAAGTGATTCCTACGGAGGCTCAAGAAATGCCAGTGCCTACTGTCTGATGTACATTAAGGACCAGCCACCCAACTTCAATGCAGATGCAACCCCAAGTGAATCAGAGCAGATGCTAGGAGAATTAGAAGGCTTATCTGATGAACTTAAGCGTTACATTGAGGAAGATAACTGGAGATTTGAACAGGAGATAGAGGAGTGGGAAGAAGAACAGTCTAGGAAGATTTCTCAAATGGAGCTTTCTGACAATCTGGCATCACAGGATTTCCCTACATCACAACAGCCTTCAGGGGCCTCTTGTGGGGTTCGCAGCTTGTCATCCGGGCATGCCGTGATGTTCAAGGAGGAGTCTTCCCAGGACACTGCAAACCCGACACGTGCGTATGGGAAAAGCGGTGTGGGAGCAATCCAGAATGAGGAATACTCCAGGCCCTATTAGCAAGGAAATGAGAGACCAAAGGGCATCTGTCTCAAAAAGTCAAAATACTGATTTCCTAAGTTTTTATGTGTTAATAATATATTTACATTAGTTCCTTAGTAGCACTTCTAACCCATCCATTTCCTTGCTTGAACTTGGGAAATGGAAGCATGTTATCTCACATTTATTGGTTGTTCCCATATTACTTTTAAATTGTAAACAAATATGAGTGCTAGTGTGGCCAAAAAAAAAAAAAAGGAAAAGTTAGGTTTGTGTAGGAGAATGTGTTTGCACTTTTAGGGACTTTGAGCTCCTCGATACAGAGTTTGAATGTGGTCTTTTCCATCACTTAAAAGGACAGGGATTGAAAGTGAGTTACGGTTATTCTGAAGCGAGTAAAGTTTATGAAGGTTGCAGAAGGCACTTATAAAGTTGTGTATGGAAAGATCAGAAAGTCTGTGAAAACTATAATTTCAGGGACCTTTTGTACAGTTTGTTACTAGAGAAGTTTCTCTGAATGTGTGGAGCCCCCAAGACCCTGAGGAGGAAGGAGATGGGGTCTTCTCTCCTGCGTGTGAAGCCGGTTCTTGGTGTTGCTTAGTAACCGCCACTGATGGTCATTCTTCCCTTTTGAGGGAGTAGGAGGGAGAGAACACCATCTTGTGTGGTACGCAACAACAAAACAGTTTGTGAGGGTTGCATAAGGCCATGGAAAGCTATGAGACGTTTTTAAAGGAGAGAAACCTTAGTGCTTAGGCTCAGTTATTCTTTGCTTTAGGGTTTGTTTCTTTCCGATGTTTTGGGGGCTTGGGGAATTTTGCTGTTTTCTGTATATCGGGGATCCTCTCTCTCTGCTGTTGGTGCCAGTTAAGTGTCCAGCTGAGGTGAGAGGTCACCTCACGGCTGCCAGGAGACCAGCGGACCCACCAGTGGGCGAGAAAATGTCTGCCACAGTGGCTTTGTGCCATTTGGACCTCTCAGGCCTTGTGTTTGTAACTGATGGTGTGAGACAAGATTCTGAGGCCGGTTCTAGTCTCTCCCCTCACCCCACCTTTTATTTTGAAGCTTTTTTTTCTTTTTGCTTTAGATTTTGTGTTTTTAAAAGAAATTGAGGCTCCTAAGCATTAAGCTTTTGTATTAGACTAGAAGTAGTGGAAGCATGAGACATGGAAATGCAACTTTAGAGGCTACTGGAAAGCCAAGGATTTTCCTTTTTTCTTTGTATTTCTCTCCCTATTTGATCCCTCCAGATTTTGGCATTCTTAATGAATAATGACCTAAAATTTGTTTTGCATGAAACCAGTAAGACCAGCTTCAAATTATGGTTTTAATAACCAAGACTTTGACTGGAATCTTATGCCTGAAGAAGGTATGCCTGGCTCTGGTGGTTACCAGAAAGCCTTGAAGAACTGAGATTGACTCTCAGAGCTAATGAAAGCCCACTGAAGAAGCAGCCTGGTACCGTGGTTTGTCGTGTGGTTCCTGGCAGTCTTTCCAGGGAAGGAACGAAGGTTGCTTTTCTGAAGGATGGCAAGGAGGAACCTTAAGACACCTTGGGAACTTCAAGGACTGAGGAATGCAGACAAGTACTTTAGACCAAGCTGAATGGCAAGCGTGGGGCTTCCCTTCTGGGCTCTGGAGAGCTGACTAAGGGTCGATCAAAGGTTCTTCCTGTGAGTTCCAGCAAAGCAGATTTGTGACCGTCTTTGTGACCAAGTGCTGCTCTTGTTGTTTTCATGCAAACAATAAGGCCAAATTGAAAAACTGGCAGTCTTTTTTATGACAACAAGGGTGATCTTAGGGAGAGGAATTGGGTTTTGAGGAAAATCACAGTGCTCAGTCGTGAACGTCAGACTTCAGTGCAGCTGCCTTCAGAGTCTGGGGAAAAAAGCCTCGCTTCAGACGCTTATCTGCATCAGCCCCTCCTGAGACTCAGTGGTTTGACTGGACTAGATGGTTGAGTTAGTGAAGCATAGGGTGGCCTGTCAGCTTTATTTTGAAACTGGTTTCCTTTTCTGCCTTCGTAGTTTGAGTACGAAGGCTTCAGAAGTTTTAGGCTATTCCTCTCTGCCTAATTTGAGTCTACTGAGCAGTAGGGCTTCAGGCAGTTGTGACACTCCTTGAACACCTTCCTCCAAAGAAGCTACTTTTTCTTAACTGGGAATCCTGTAGAATTATCTCTGCCTTTGCCATTTAGTTGTTATGGTTCAGATTGTACCTTCTAACTCTCTTGCCGAATTTGTTGCCTCCAGAATACAGCAAGGTTGCCAACTTGTTCAGAAATGCCATCCTTCGGACATCACACATGCTGTTTTCCAGGGGTGACCATCTGACCTGGACTTTGCGAGATTTTCTCCGTCGTATAAAGTCTTCCTTCCAGTCCAAGACCCCCTTTTGCTAGGGATCTCTGGACCAAGCGGTAGGTAGGACTACGTCCTTGCCACGCAGGAAGTAGTTACAGAAGAATGAGACCTTCGTCCATTTCCCCTTGTAAGAGTACAAGTGTCCAGACAATGGGGGGGGGGATTGTAACAGGACCCCCTCCCCTGTGCAATGGGGGAGGGGTTGAGAAGCACTGAGGAGCGTGCATGTGTATGTTACCCTGGCAACCAAAACAGATATGTGTGACTCAGCAGAAAAGCATGTATAATGCTTATAGCTAGGGTAGTGTTTGGATGGAAAGGCCACACTCTCCCATATACTTAATTTGTGCAGAGTATTAAGGGGGTTGTCTTTAGAAGCAGAGCGTGTAGAAACTGAGCTTTGCTCTCCCCAACCCTGGCTGGCAGGCCGGCCACCAGGTGCTCAGGGCCCCTCGGGGGGACTGTGTGGTATAAGAGCGTTCCCCACACCTCTCCCCCACACAAGTAGCTGTAGCAGCTGCCTGTGTGGTGTCTTTGGGGAGGGAGGGTCAGTCAGTAGCAGGTCCCACCATCGATACTGCTCTGACCTTTCCAGTCTGGGAAGGGCCGGGACCCACCACACCAGTGTGTGCGACAGGTCTTAGCAGGCTGGTGGGTGCTGTTCCCGGGAGTGGCATGGGCAGGTGACAAGCCCCATGCCCTGCTCCCACACTAATGCTGTAGCAGCCCTGCCAACCAGAGCTGTGCCACAGGGGTCCTGCCCAGCCGGGCACACTGACACACCAGAGCGCAGCACTAGAGACAGAGGACAGTGCTCCATGAGTGGGACACCTGGATTCAGACTCCAAAGGAGGCCCAAGACCAGACCAACTGGAAACCAACTAAGCCGCCTGCATTTCTTAAAAGAACATTGCCCTTCGGTGGAAGAAATCCTGGGCAAATGTGAACTGAGCTGGCAGAAGGTGGCAGGGTGTTTTTTTGAGGGGGATGTTTTAGAGAAAAGGGGCTTCGAGGCATAAACCCACTATTATTTTATGCTGTGTGTACCTTAAATAAAATTCCTGTTCTTTCTGCTAAACTCTGTCTCCAGAGTTTTTGCCTATGGGTGGCAAATGGCAGGGCACCACTGGTTGTTTGGTTACAGTAGTTTGGGCAAAAGGAGAAAAACCAACATTTCTCAGGATTGATGATGTCTACAATTAGAGTTCAGGAAGGTTCTGAGAAGACCAGGTGTGCAGAGTAAGCTTCAGACTCTGTCGTAGGTGGTTTGCCTGCCAGTTGGAATTTAAACCTCTACTGAGCTCCTCACTCAGGGACACCAGGCAGTGGCAGGAGAGGACAAAGAAAATAAGTGCTAACCTTGGCAGTCGTTTGTTAGGCATGTAAGGGATACCATTTCTCACCACTGACCCCAGTAATCCCCAGGACTGCCGAGAATGAGGAGCAATGGTCACTGTCATAAACTTTGGAGAAATTATTCTGGTAATGTGTATGCAGTTTATTAACAGCCTTTTATCTAGTGAGGCAGTGTTAGATAAAAAAGACTCAAGAAACAAAGGAGAAAAATAGATACACTGGGAGAGAGGGTATCTACCATCTAGAAATCAAAGCCCTACTATGTGAGGTTATAGGAGATTGTTCACCATTATAAATATCTGTATAAATGGTTAAAGTGTGCATATATTCAGTTTGTAACTTCAAGCACAGAATACAAAAAGTAATCTGCCTTCTTCTCATGCCAGATCTCATCCTGCTTACATTCCTTAAAATACAGTCTGTGGATGGAAGGGCCAGACTTACTACCAGACTTCTTCTTGTTTTCCTCTGCTCATTATTCCATGACACAGGTACCTGGTCTCTCTACCCACGGTGACGTTCTAGCACCTGGCCTGGCGCCCTGCTCCTGGCCTTTTCAGACCCCAGCCTGTGGTTATCGGAATTTCTACACAAAACTTGGCCACTGACCACTGCTCCGGGAATGGGTGGGATTTGGAAGTACATCCCACCTGCAGTCCACACTTCTTTTCTAGACTTAATGCCACATGGTCACCCTCAGGCAGCACTTGGTCCTAAGGTTCTGGTCTCTGCTGGCTGATAGGCATGAAAAGAGTCCTCTTTAATTTGCTAGTGAGTCTGTGGTTACTGGGTGTCGTCTTTAAATCACTGAAAGGAAAGGGTCATCCTGCTGGTGCGTGTGACAAAAATCAGTGCTGTTTCACCCACTGAGGGTCAGCTCTGTGCATAAGAGCATCTCGCTGGCTTTGCAGTCAGATGCTAGGATTGGCCCGTGGACACTCCTCTGCAGGGTGCAGTCAAGCTCACCTGTACCCTGACCCCTTACATCCTCCCCAGAAAACATCTTTAGGAAGGGCTGGGAATGAATGCTCAGAACCAATTCATTCTCAACATTTATTTTTACTCAGAAATGGAGTAATCACTGAGCCGCAAGGGCTTGTGAGTTCGCTCCTGGGGTATGCACCGTTCTAGCCACCACTCAGTCTCAAGTTCTAGTTACTGAATTCGGAGGGAGGTTCATGACTGGTTGGCTCTAGAGCTGCTCTGTCCCATGCAGGAGCCACTCCCCACACGTGACATTTTAAATCTTAATTAAAAACCTGGAAAAACTGTACTTGAAAAATAACTAAATAAAATTAATTAAAAATTTTAAAAAAATCTGGGAAGTTACACTAACCACATCTCAGGTGGTTGGTGGCTACTGTACTAGACAACAAAGGTACAGCATTTCTATCATCACAGAAAGTTCTGTTGGTAGCATCTGAAGGGAAAAATCAGAATCTTCCCAGGAGCCTCCTGGGTCCTCTTATCACCCAGAGTTTTTATGTCAAAAATTGAGAAAATGGGTCTATATGTTTTCTGCTTGTGCTCAGAAAACCTTAGAAGTTCTCAAGCACAGTTTTCTCTGGTTTCATCTGACCCCTTAGCCTCCCAGAGTTGCTCACGGGAGAAATGCCTGGTTCTGGAGCATCTGTGAAATTCCAGTTCTCGGATGTCCATGGATGGATGACCTTGTCCTAACATCACTGGTAGATTCATCACATTACTTGCAAATTTTTTCCTATTAAAAACAATCTTGGTCAGTTTTTTTTTTTGTGAGTGCCTTGGGGATAAGGAGAGGAAAGGGGGCAGAAAATACTTTTGAGGGAAAGCTCTTTAATACAACGGTCTAATTTTTAGAATAATACATTCAGGGGTTTCAAACAAGTCATAATAGCATGACATATATTGAGAATCTACTTCCTCTGGATGAGTCCACTGTTCCCTGGGTCGTTCTTAGCATGTGTATGTGCCCATTGCTAATTCACACAGATGTAAGAATGAATGGAGGTTTATCCTTCCTCCCCGCCCTTCATTTTTAAGAGATAAAAAGACTATTTACTCTGTTCCACACTTGCCCCATCCATATATCTTGGAGAACTTTCCAGGCGGGAGTACAGGGAGCTTCCTGCCCCCCATCACATGCTGCTGTGCCGTGTGGATGCGTCACAGTTCATGTGGTCTGTCCCCCATTGCTCCGCACCTGTGACAATTCTGGGACGATAAGCTCCCATCTACAGGAAATGAAAAATTGTCATATTCTGTGGGGGCAACTTTCCTCAAAAGTCCCCCCATGTGCCACGGATGAGAGTAAACATGACTGAGACGTGATGTGATCTGCTTGGGGAGGAGAGGTGGCCAGTTTCTCAGAGGAAAAAGGCCTCGAGCCCCTTCCTCCATGGCCTTTTATTGGGTTGTAATACACAGGAATACAGGGCGGCAAGGATCAAACAGTAGATAACATTTCAAAGAACTCTGAGGGCTTAGTCTGAGTCAGAATCAGTCAGGAACAGAGTTTTAGGGTTTCTTGCTTGAACCCTTAACATATGAATGAAAGCGCTCTTAGTAGAGCAGATTTCACAGGTTTATCAGGAAGTCTTCTTGATGCCAGATTTTCCCCAGGACACGCTCTAGCAAGGCAAGGAGCTGCACCTCTCCCCATCAGGTTTTCAGGCTTAAGGAGATTAGAGCCAGGAAGCGCTTCTCCCAGGGAACATGGAACTCGGGCTTTGACAGAGCCGGGGGGGGGGGGGGGGCGGTGAAAGTCCATTTTTCTTTGTTGCAGCCCCCCAAGTCCTTCCATGAAGGCCTCCCAGGCAGTCATGTCTGGCGTAGGTTGCCCTTCCTCTTACCTGTCTGACCATGCTTTGGGGGCAAGGAGGAAACTGAGGCAGCATTTGCTACCAGAGACAGGCTTTGTCTCCTGCGGCTCGCATCCCAGGGGTCCTCCCTCGCTCATCCTTAGCCACAGGGTAGAGAGTTACAATCCCTAGGACCAATCAGAGGGGCCCACAACAATATTCTGCTAGGGAGGTGGGAATTGGACAGAAATCCCAGTCACTTGGAGGTTGGACTCAAGGTTTTCCCCATAAAAACTCAATGGTTTTAGCCAGGTTAGTAATCTCAAACCTCTGTTTTCTTTAAAATGCTGGTAGTGCTTCCACAGCATGAAAAAAGGTCACGGGTTAGGAATTCTTTGACAGTCTGGAGAGCAGCACCAGTGAAACGGTGAGTTTGGGCACCAGTGTTGTCATGAAGAAAGGGAAGATGATGGAGGTGGTTTGTCGTATTAATTGACGGCTTAGGACACCTGCCCAGTGAATGGGCTCTTCTGCCCTCCTCACGGAGGAGCTGGAAAGCACACCCTCCCCACCCACCTGCCCCTGCCCCTTCAGCTCTCCCCTGCAGTCCAGGGTGGGTTTTAAGAAGGCTACTCTGTAAAGTCTGTGTTGGGGGCTGGGGGCCTGTTCAGTTCACTGTCATAGACTGACCCTCAGCGTGGTGCCCAGCATTGACAGGTATGTACTAGAACCTCAGAAAGTGCCTGATGAACTCATAAGTCTGGGCCGTAAGACAGAGACACCCAACGTAGACTCAAATCTATAAAAAGCAGTTTGTGTGCACGCACATGTCTCTACAGCAGGGTTAACGTGGAATCTGGAACCGGAGTGTTTGGGGTTGGGCGCCAGCTCTTCTACGTAGCAGCACTGACTTGGGGGTGGGGCGGGGAGCCACCCGTCACCTCTGAAAATCAGGCATTTTATCTGCAGAATGAAATAGCACCTGTCAGAGTTTTAAAGAGCCAATCACACGGGGTGACGCATGAGAAGCCCTCTGTTCCTTATGAAACGACACGTGTAAATACGTGCATGAGCATGTAAAAACTACATAGACACAAATCTATCCACCTGTTTCTCTACCAACCTATGTATCTGCAAACGTGGAAGAGTGGGAGAGGAAGGCAGAATTTCACACGTATGTGGGCTTCACTCTCTGAGATCAAAGTAACGGGTTTTGCTAAACCAGAGCACCGCCTGGGTCTGGGTCACTGGCCCCCGTGGCAGGAGCGGCGCTCGGAGCGGTGGTCCTGGCAGAGGCGGCGTTGAGATGGCAGCGGAAGCACCCACCCACCTCCCACCAGGACTCCAGGTGCAGAAGAAATAGCCCCGGGGAGTAGGTGTGTGTTTCACACTCAGCTGGGCCTCCTTTCCGAGGGCGTGGACCCCCCAAGACAGGGCGCTTCACACTCTGCCCGCTCTGGTGTTTGGTCAGTGTGGCCCCCTGGGTATGGAGAGTCAGCCCTGCTGGGTAACTGAGCGACCTTGGCGGAGAGAAGAGAACTGAGGGTAAGAGGGGCCTGAGGAACGTTGGCTGCCATGGGAAGAGAGTAAGCGATGGGTGGAGCGGGGAAGCTTCTCTGGCCTGTAGCTCAGCCCCCTCCCCTTGTGCACAGAGACCGGCCCGAGTCAGTTGGCCTTGTGGGCGGTGGCAGAAGAACTCTGGGCTCACACGTGTCCATGTCTTGCGTTCTAAGGCTGCCCTGGGAGTCCCATCCTCTCAGGCCTCCAGTGGGAAATGGACACGTCACTTTGAACCCTCGACTCCTTTCTACTGAGAGTTGGTCTGTCCCTGGACGCCGGAACTCGGCAGGAGTGGCGGCGGTACGTGCACCACGGGCATCTCAGTACCGCGCAGTGGAACTTCGTTTTCCTGGAGAGCCCGCTGTTCTACGGTTACCCCCGCACCCCTGCTTTCCACACTGCACTCCTGCCAGGCAGG